TGGTATTAATTAGTTCTTGGCAACAAGTCGCGAGACAGTAGAACACAACGCTTATGTACGTCCAACGCCAGTATGTATAGCAGTCCAGCTTGCCCCGAAAACAGAAACGAACATCCCAAACAGTATAAACAACAAAGAAACGCTCGCGGGCCGGAGAGGCGTCTACATAATCTTCGTGACCACGTCTTCCTCAACCTGAGGCGGCATTAGCTGACGTCGACAGAAGATGATGGTATGGCTCGCTGGGAATGGAGGAATTGGTTGAGGAAGGGGGCAGGGCGGGAGAAACGATGTTGTGGAGAGGGGAGAAAGGAGGTTATCGCAGGAACTGATCAAGATGTCGGGACATCGCAGGTATAAAAAGGGGAGCGCCGGGAAAAAAAGAAAATGTAGCGATTCGACGCTCCAGATGCCGGTACTCCGTGCTCATGTTCCAAATAGGGGGTGCAGGGTGTCACGAAGCAATAGACGCTATCGACTCACCTCCATGTCTTCCAGACTGTCCTGCTGGCTGATGCATCTCAATACATTCTTCTTGCTGCTCTCCTGCATTTCTCCCGCCAGCAATAGCTCATCGAGGATGAAGTATGCCTTTTGGAAGTTGAAAATAATATCCAGCTCGCAGACATTGCCGTAGTACTTGTCCATCTGCTCGACGTAACGATGCACGACCTCGAGGGTGATCAATTCATTATCGGTAGACGCACAACCGGCGATGAAGAAGAGGGAGGCATAGCGACGGTAGACGACCTTGGTGTCTGGCGAAGACGAAGCAAGTCAGATGCAGTCCGATCGGGGCTGGTGGGCGAGCTGCGGGGAGGATCCAAGTGAGGGGTGAAGCCGATTCCGACGAACCTTTGTATTCGAGGAAATTGCACATGCGGGTGCGACGCGACAGAACCAGCTGGGTCACATCCTTGATGATCTTGGCTTTCTCCTTGGGAGAGAGAGTGGTGAACCATTTGGCAAGGCGCTGGGAAATTTTGTTGCGTTAGTCTCCGCTTCCAGCCAGGTCACAGAGTTGGGTGGGCCACGAAACGAACCACTTTGCCCTGCCTCGACAGGAGAATCAAGTAGCTGCGGAAAACAAAGGTCAGCGCATTTCCGGCCAATTCAGTAGCCGATGAGAGACTCACTGGATTGCCATTGTGCGAAAGAAATTTGATAGTGGGGATGGGGGAAAAGGGGGGTAGAGAGGCAGAAAGGCCACGAGGGAAGTTGTGGGAGGAAGAGGGAGAGCCGGCCGAGCTCTGGAGAAATTCTTTGCACGGGCCGCCCTGGTGTTGCTGCCCCGCCGATTTCACTGCCTCTTCGTGTAGTTCGTCTACTCTGTATTTGCTGCTACAAATTGCTCATGGGGAGAAACAGGCCAAATAAAATAACTGACTAGGATAGAAGAGAAATATGGACTTGGGAAGGATGACTTCTGAGAAGTTGAAGTGCATCAACCATTTCGACCACCACATCCGATGAAGTGACTCCAAATAAACAAACGCTTATCCGTCAGCGAGGTCTTGTATATTCTGGTACTTCAGCCTCGCAACACAGAAATGAGTCATTGATGCTCACACAGAGGCACTTTAAGGCCAAATTCGAGAAATCTGATCTAGTAGACGGGCATTCTCAATTAGACGGACATTCTCTCCAAGCACCTATGGAACAGCATGCTAGCGACATGGACACCTTCGGATTATGATGATTCTCAGCGTACTTTACTGTAAAGGACTGGCTAGAAGGTTAAAAGATACTGAGAGATGCTCTTGAGCAAGATGTGCTCACTATCTCAGCATCCTCTGGACTGGGATTCACACCCCCTGCTGCCTACTACTACTACTACTACTACTACTACTACTACTACTACTAGTAACTGGCACTTTTCAGATTTTGTGTAGAAAATGTATACCAGTCCTGTTTATGAAATGATGCTAGTATGTACTATTTCAGCCTCACTGAATCCACCAATGCACTTACTGCATGAACTGGCATCTACTATCAGGAGTGTAACTGATTCCAACCCCAGAACCATAATCACAGCATTATAGTATAGCACACATCCCCTAATTCCCGCACAAATTGAACAAAGAAAATGAAATCAGCCCATGAAGGGGAAAAAGTAATCCTGAGACATTCCCAAACCAGGCATGTCACACAATAACGACCAAGCAAGCAAGAAAGATGACCGAAGAAAGAAAGAAATGAAGCATGCTGGCAACTCCACTCGGCCCGTCCCATCAGTCATTCAGGCCAACTGGCAGCTGTCAGTCAGATCACACACTATCACGATCACGATCACGATCACGATCACGATCACGATCACAGCACTTCTCTTTGTCTGGTGGTGGTTCTTAATATCCGCTTTCATCATCACCCGAAAGTCTACTACTACAACTACGAGTATCTATCTGCAAGTCGCATAGTTCAGAGACAACACACCACACACGGAACCAAAAACCGAAAGAGAGCCGAAAGAGGACCGAGAGGGAAAAGAAAACAAGGAAGAAGGGGAAAAAAGAAAATATAAACTGGAACCACATCTGTACGCATCCCAAGAGAGTAATCATTGATCCCTCAATCTTTTCGCTTTCTTTCTTTGTCAGGGATATCCTGGACGGGGAATCTGGGCTAGAAATGGGTCCCGAGACGACCGAACAGAAACCCCAATCAATATGAAAGCGACACGTTCTTTCCGGCCCCCCCAAACTATCATGACTTGACATGGGAATCTGACAGGGGATATCCAAGTACTACAATTTAAACTGACTTGCCATAAGGAGATACATACATATTGTAGACTCAACTGAAGGAAGTAAGTCAGTACCGAGAGTTTCCTGCGGTGTACCCGGGATATGAACTAACTAAACTGCTCCAAAAGACGAAAATAAAAGAAGAAAGTGGAAATGTGCCTGAATCAAGTCAAAACTCGACGTGGCACATGATACTAGTATACAGTTCATCTTGCCCATTTCCATTCATTCCCCTTTGTCCGGAACACACTACTAGTTATCGGTTGTCTCGTACATGAATCACCACCATCGTCTATCTATACTCCGCTAGTTATGTTTACTATGTGTCTCCGCTAGACTAACTTCTCTGTTTCCGCATGCGTCTACATTGATCCCCTGTAGCCACAAAACAGACCATGCTGGCCTTGTGACTGACTTAGTAGTATAGTAGTGCTTAGAGTACTAAGCCTCATGCTATCTTGTATCCGTCTCTAAACTTTGGGATCAATCACACCCATGGCCCCCACCACACCTCCACCTACCAAGGCAGCAAGGTTCATCCCATCTTATCATCCATCATCCATCCGCTAGACTGCAATAACACCGCACGGATCGTAACACCTCCAACCTTCCCACCCACCACCTCCTTTCCAATATTCACAAAGAAACATACGGCATAATGGAAAGGGATCTCCACTGCGCCACCTCAGCCACTATAACCTAATCGTGCGGCAGATAGGGCCCCCCAGTCCCGGAAATAGTAACTAATAGTTAGTAGTCATCTCGGCAACGATCCTATCCGGGAAAGAAAATGAACGAGATAGTCTCGGATGGCTGGATGAAATATGATTCAAGGCTTATTTACATCCTATCCAGGATAGGCAAGACCTTCGTTCAGTTTCCAGGTGTATGAAAGTAACCAGGTTCACTAAGTACCCGAACCTATACCCACCCAACTATATCGAAGTACATTGTACTTTTGGGGTCAGAGGAGAGTGTTCCAAGAACAGGAATTGCCACAGCCAACAAACAGACCGATAAACAAGTGGAGACACATGAGTACCGGTGTAGACAGTACTTTGTGAACATACTATATTTATCCCAGCTGGGGAGTCGGTGACAGACAGACAGACACTCTCTGAATAATAGGACTGAAATGGAGGCGAAGTCGTACTTGTTGCTAGGAAAGGTAGTAGAAGGAAGGCATACATCATCATCACTCCGGAAGGAACCTCCGACAAGCCCTCAGATTGTACTTTGAGGGAAAACCAGAAACAGAAACAGACACAAAACAACGCAAAACAGCAACCGAAGCAGCAGCAGCAGCAGCACGAGGGGGATTAAGTTTCCGAGTGGATCGGGCCTTCTTTAGTGCGCCTCATTTCCTCTCGGGAGTCAACTAAGTACTACTAGACTACTATCGACCAGTGGGTATCTCATGATGGGATAAAATCATCGAAAAAGTACGTCTCTATCGGGCACACTGGGATGGACAGAATTGATACATCGTCTTTTTGGGATCTCTCCGGGCGCCATCGGGAGCGGGAAAGATGGCGATTTACCGGAGGATTGTAGTTTGCTTTTTTTTTTTGAATTTTTTTTTTTCCATTTCCTATCTAATTTCTTATTTTTCGCTTCGTCTGACGAAAACCGGGAAGCGCTGAAGGACTGGCGCATGGATTTGCTTTTTTTTCTACTTAAGAGGGAGACATTGAAGGATCTGCCGCCAGATGCAAGTTGGCAGGGATCTTACCCCACGGTTCTCTTAGTGTATCCTTAGCTTTGGGCCAGCGATCAGATCAAGAACTAACGAACTAAGTACTAGTTTCTAAGCCCGAAAGTATCCATCTCCTGCTATGTCGCTCTCTCGCTCTTTCCCTCCCGGTTGCTTCTTGTTGGGAGGGCACGGTCGTGCCTGGACTGCCGGTCCAGGGTTCCTTTGTTGGGATTTTCGACTTTGCCAGTCTGGTCACCTGCCTCAAATGCGATCTATGCGAATCACGCGGCAGCTTCAACGTTACCACTCACTCATACGAACCCTTTCAATTACATGTCGGACACTCAATGGACGAATTAACCAGGGTATACACCATAAGCATCGTTCATATGGTTGTTATCATGAATTGTAAGAATCAAAGTCAACATAATCCTAATCATCTCGCATGAACCCGTCATCACTGTGTCCAGCATGTTATGCATACGCCTTGGAATACCCATGCACCCCCTGCATGACTCTGAGCGCACCTCCCACTATCACCACCCCGGAAACACCAAGCATCACGAGAAGCACCATCTCAAAGAGGCCCACTCCCAAGCATTTAAAGGGAATCGTCCACATCGGGTGATAAATCCAGGAAGCCTTTGTCGTGGCCGCATCACCAACCCTGTATGCTTCTTTCCCCGTCTGCTTGCCGATTCGGGGCACATATCTGAACTCGAATCGAGTGCGCGACTTTCGCTGGACCACTCCACCATACAGTAAACTTCGGAACCCCTGCCCAGAGTTAGTATCTGTGCACACCGTGAAGGATAAGATTCCACCTTACAGCAATCAGTAGTTCATCCAGACTGAGAAATAGCCGCTGGACCCACGCCATAGCTACCACTAGTGCACAATACCCACAAAAAGCCAGATAAAACAGGAGCCCTGGTTTGCCAAGTTCCAGTTCATCACACAGCTCGTCACCATTGATCCATCGGCTGCCCACTTCAATGAATCCCTTGGAGACCTTGAATGGCCCTGGCAAGTTCGTCACGCATTCCACAAAGTTGAACGCCACCGTTCGCGACGTATCTGTGGTACGGAGCTCGTGCGCGAGAAGGCTTTCCATAGTGCATTTACTCCGCTCCACCGTTTCAAAATACGATGTGGGCGTTCCAAGGAGAAAGCCTAGGTACCGAAAGAGCGCAATATAGTCCTTGACCTCCTCCGGAGTAGGCTGAATGCCGAACTTGGGTAGTTGAAGCCACATAGGGTTGCAACAAAAGGTGCTGATTGAGTGGACAGAGTCCAGGGTGTTCACCGGCACTCCAAAGCGTGCCAGATCAAAGTAATCCGGCCTGGCTCGACAGAGTTGAATGATGCGTTGGCGAACGGAGGCATGAAGCAACCTGACCCGAACGCTGGCAATGTGCCCTTCGCCGCCGGGGCGAATTGATGTAATGCAATGGGTGACTTGGATTAGCCACTGAAAGGTCTCAAGCAATCTGCCCAGAAGCATACGGGTGGAGAAGCCTCCTGTTCGGACAAGGACCTCGATAACCCCAGGTGCAGCCTGATGAGCATCATTAGATCCCTCGTCCCTCGCCTATGGTTGTGCAAGAAAGAACATACCGAGTTTTCCGCCACAAACCCTTGCAAAGCGAACCCCACAATATTGGCAATGGCATAGCGATAGAAGAATTGCTGGCCACGTTGTAGCTGCTCCCAGTCCACCCACTCAGGCACAGTGTTCACTTCGGTCCAGAACTTGGCTAAGATATCGTCATCCCCCCGGTGGTCCCGTAGGAGGACGTAAAGATCACTAGGTGGTGGGCTCGTCCCCTTTGCTTTGCTTTCTTCCATCAGTGTAGCCCTAATTGCTTGTAGCCTCTCCAGCGCGTTAGCCGCAGAGGTATCATACTGCTGGCGCAACGGCTCTAACTCTTCCCTGGACAGATGATCCCTTGTCCAGGAGAAGGAGTAGCCCCAGCTACTGATTCTGTCGCCAGCCTGTGGTTGGGAGGAAGAGGCCATATTGATGAGTTAACGAGCAATGCTTGCCAATATTGACTGAAATGAGGTGTCTGTTAGGCCAATGCCTAGTCATTGATAGTTGGTCCATTGCGCCCTTCACCCGCATTTTATACCGCAATTCAAGATACCAAGCTAGGATTCGACGGACTGTAGAGCTCATGGAGCTGAACGAAAGCAATGGCCACTCCATGTACCGGACCTGCCTTCCGCCAGTGTTACCTGACAAAAGCAATTGGGTCCTGGGCCGCCCCTCACGTTCACCCGTCCTTTTGGGACATGATCTCTAGTGAAAGCTACTAACGATGCATCGTGCTCCGGGCGGATGTTCGAGCCCAGTCCCGTGGCTGCGAGGCGAGACACCTCGTGGGACCCACCGCAGTGCCCCAGCAGAGTGGCCCAATGGTATGATCACGATCAGATGTACTCGTTCCACCATGGCCAGACTGGTGATCAATGGACAGAGCCGGCGAGAAAATCAAGAGCAAAGGAAAAAGCAACAAAATGTACCAGTCTCGAACTTAGAGGCGCTAATCAATGTCTTGGGCCCCGTTGTCATGACTGCCCAATCGTCCTAGCATGCAGGTTAGCCAATCCCCCGGGAGAGGTCGCCAAGAATAAGATGGAGAGACCGTGCTAAATCCCGGATACCGGGGAGAGATCCGGCTTCCGGGCCGATCAAAAGCCAAGATCCAGAGGCCGTAAATGGGTGCTCTAGACGTATTCGGGCAGGGATCGTCAAATCCATACCGCGCTTTGGTGGACGACCGATCATTGCTCTTGAGAAGCCTTCAGCTCCGGCGGCGGCGGAGAACATCCAGGCACTAGCTCCTCGGGCTGAGTAGCGCTAGACTTTTGCAGTCCTTAATTGATGTATAACAGACGCCATTATTATTTTTTCTGACTTCCGGGTATTGCAGGTTACCAACTGAAACCTTATCCTTTTGTCTGGCGCCATTGAAATTCGAGTACCGGGAAACGAGATCCTGAGGCTGGACGATCCTGTGGGCCCAGGTCGTCACCAAAGCCCGAAGTCTGGGCCTTGTACAGCCAGGTCAGTTGTAGGATCATCCTGGCCATTCGTACGGTTCCAGGCTTGGTGAACTCAGGTCGTAGCATTCGTCTGTATATAAAGTACCATGCACCGGCACATGTCGTGGTGCTGTCCAGATCCACCTCGTTTTCATGTATATAGTGATCGATCCGTTAAATTCTTCTATATTGTGCTCGAACCACCGCAGTTCTAACAGTCGCTATCAGTCGAACATGGCCGTCACAAGAGTCCAGCAGAGTATATCTTCGCCAACAGTCAAGATACCCCGGCAAGATACTTCTCTCACCATCCGCCTCCCTGAAATGTTCGTGTTGTTCTTGTCGGGCGAACCTATAGTAAATCGGCACTATAAGTCTGTGAAAGAGCTGTCAGAAGCATGGATCTCTAGGTGCATATCGCCCCCTAATGTGGGCATCACCTTTCTCTAACCTAGCCACCGCCATGACAGGGAATGCTACTTTGATGAAAGAGGCCGAAGGCGACTACAAAAGACGGACTTCGCTTATTTCTGTTCCATCGCAGCTCCAGATGCTGAGCCCGAAGAGTTGCGGACAGTTATTGACTGGGGAAACTGGGTGCGTTTCATAACCACGACCGACCGCATAAAGTTCCACTGACTAGATCTAACCATTAATTCCCAAGCAGGTGTTCCCTTTTGATGACCGTAAGCACCATCTCTCTTGGAAGGCTTCTGTGTGATGACTGAGCTTCGATTCTAGTCTTCGATAATGGAAGCCTCAAGGACGACCCAGAACGTGCCCAAATACTTGTTGAGGATTTGCGAGCAGGCATGGCCGACGAAGCTGGGCAGAGGCCAGTACTCTCAGATTACCCAATAGTACAGGTGCACAACTCAGTATGGCACCGAATCACTCAGGTACGTTGATCATTATACTGTACTGGGAGTGCATATTGACGTCTGACGGTATTGCAGGCTCAACCTATCGGTATGTAGCGCTGGGATTCCTCTACACACTTTAGGGTATCTGCTAACGTCGTTTAAGGGATTCGTCGCAGGTTTGCACGTGCCATGAATGACTACTGCACCGGATGCTTGGCTCAAGTACGCTCATGCTCCAAGGGAGAGTTGCCCTCGCTTGAAGAAATGCTCTGTCTGCGTAGGCAGTCTGCAGGTGTTTCGCCGCTCTTTGCCTTAGTAGAGTATGTTATGACGTCTGCTTGCCTGTGAATGACACTAACTTGAGGGATATTGCAGATATGCCCACAAACTAGATATCCCAGATCATGTGTTTGAATGCAAGAGCATCCAAGAGATCGAGAGGATTGGTACTGACCTCGTGTTACTGTAGGCTGCCCCAACACATCACCCAACATCTGAATTCACTAACGTATCCTAGGCAAAACGACATACTATCATACTGCAAAGAAGAGGTTAGTTGTCTACATTGAAATACCAGCTCTGACCCGCATGACTTACAAAAGAATACAGAAAGAAGGTGTGAGCCATAACTTAGTGGCCATCTGCCGTCACAATGGCATGCCAGCGCAGGTAGCGTTTAATCATGTCGGCGAAATGCTCATTGAGCGCTACCGAGACTGGTACCTTGCTTTGGCAGCACTGCCAACCTGGGGGGAACGGGTCGATGCAGATGTTCAAGAATACATCCGAGGCGTGCAGAATGTCGTTCGCGCTAATCTTCACTGGAGGTAGGTGTTGACTAGCGATCTTTGTTACCCAAAATACTCACGATGATGCCATAGCTTCCGGTCCGGGCGATACTTTGGGAAAGCAAACGACCAAGTGCGGAAGACCGGAATGGTGACTGTGCGGGGCAACAACGCCGACTTCAAGCTGTCTATGGCGTAGACAGTAGCTTTTCCTTGATCAAACCCAAATTTGCGAGGTGTTTGCGCGTTTTATGGTGACCATTCCTTTATTCCCAGGTTATTTATTGGCGTTTGTCTCTGTTGCGGGTGACTGGTTTTCAGCGTGGGTATCCAATCTGGACATGGTAATAGTTTGTTTTGCAGTTAGTATAGCGCTGGTGATAGTCGGCCATTAATGAAGAATTATGAACGAACTATAACTCGATATAGACGTATTGTAGTAAACAACTACAGTATTCCATGCGTTGCTGTGAAGAGAGGGAAGAAGTGCTGGAGGTTGCACGGTGCTTGTCACGTTGTCAGCGGGTTTACCTGATTGGGCAGGGGGCCACAACAACAACAACTACTACTACTACTCCAGTACTAGCTAGCTTCTTGTGCCTAGCGAGTATTTTTGCTACATTTAAATCCCCAGATGATGTTGTCGTTTGCCTTTGAGAAGGAGGTATATAAGCTTTGAATACATTACTTAGGCTATGCCTGACATCATCGGAAAATGAAATGGGAGACAATGCAGTATGCGACCTTCGGTTAGATTCCATACTATATGTCCAAAGCTTCAGTCCCAGAAATATATTGGATATGGCCCTAACCCCATGTTATTGACTACTGGTTTGCTGCTAACGTAACGTATACTCTTGACGATTCTACAGCATCTGTTTCGATGATGGTGGACAACCTCGAGCACTTCGCTAGTTTTGCTTGGCGCCAGGGACAAGCGGTATACTGGCTATCCCTCTTGTTTCTATATTTACGGATATTAAACCCACAATCAAAGTCATGATGCTGGGTAATGATGAAGAGGATGAGCTCTGAATTTCCCAGTCTGTCCCCTCGAGCTCCTTCCGCCATATCTCATACAAGCACTACCTTAAAGCCAAATATCGTAGCATCATCACACCCTGAGCCTCTGCTGATCATGCAACTGCCGGAGAAGCGACCCCGATCTTTCGAAAAGCTCACTAGGTGTGCCATATTCAACCATCTTTCCTCCATCAATGACAGCAATCTGATCGTAATCCAGAAGGGTAGAAACCCTATGCGCAACTGTAATAATAGTGCAGCCTGCAAACTCAGTGCGAATTATATCTTGCATCAGGGAATCTGTCTCGTTATCCACATGGCTAGTGGCCTCATCCAGGAGCAAGATTTTTCTTTTCTTGACAATAGCTCGAGCCAGGCAAATGAGCTGTCGCTGGCCTGCTGATAGGGGGAGGTGATCGATTTCAGCATCGAGACCACCAGAGCTCTGGACATGTTCGTACAATTGTACTTTTTGTAGTGCATTGAGGACAATCTCATCGTCCATGGGGCTGAACCCAGCGATATTATCACGGATAGTGCCCCGGAATAAGACAGGCTCTTGAGGTATCACTGTAACTTGATCGCGGACGGTGTCACGAGGGCATGATTGTAAACTCACGGCATCAATATAAATGTCACCACTTTGTATTTCAACCATGCGAAGAATGGGAAGAAGTAGAGAGCTTTTCCCACTTCCAGAGCGCCCGCATACCCCTAGCTTGGAACCAGCAGGGATGGCCAGGGTTATTTGTTGAAGAACAGGGGGAGAGTTCAGATCATAGCATATGCTGACATTTTGGAAAGCTATATGGCCCTCTGATGGCCAATCTGTACGAGGAACTACTTCCTCTCCAGGAAGATCCTCTCAGGGAACCTTTTGAAAATTGCGGATGCGTGTAACTGCACCAATACTGGTCTCCATGGATGTCCAGAAATTGATCAATTCCGACAGCTGCTGACTGAACGTGATTAGAGAGACAAGCGAAACACCTATTGGCCCAGTTCCGCGCACAAAAACTGAGAGTATCACTAGCAAGATTGCAATGCCAGCAACAGACAGATCTAGACCAAGAATAAGCCCCCGCTGTATGACAACCAGCATATAGTAGGGCCGGTTGGGTTTTTGGAGCAGTTCCTGGTGCTCTTCACGGAAGCTGTTTTGCCAGCCAAACGCGCGGATAGTGACAAGCCCATTTATGGTCTCGGTAAATTGGGTGTATAGTGGTGACTTGCTCTCGAGGTCCAGATGGCGAAGTTGTCGTGATGTTCGGAGGTAGAACTTCTGAATTGAGTAAACAACAATTACTGATAAGGGGATCAGGGGAGCCATGTATTTGGCACCAACACAGATAAATATGGCGCTCATCAAGCATTGTGTAAAATTTTTCGATGTTTTAAGAAAGTCAGCCGGAAGTGATCGGTCAATTAGAGTCATGTCCTGACTGAAGTGATTTAGAGTGATGCCGCTGTCGGTGCAGGTGAGCCAGTACAAAGGAGCCTTATCGATCTTCATCACCAGATAATCATGGAGCCTGTTGGAAGACGTGGGGACAATGCGGCAGAAGACGAGCCACATGCACCATGCCCATAGGGCAGCTCCTAGAGCAGCCAGAAGAGCATAGACGCTGATATAGAGGGCTAGCCTTCCGAACGGCGTCCGGGCATTTTCTTCTCCCCACCATTGGACCCAAAGATCTTCGCTCCTTTCATCAATGAAAGTCGACCATGAAGGGAGGTAGACTTACTGGGAAATTGAGAGCAGAACACACCTATCACTAAGGATACGAAGTAGATCAATACCTGCCAAGGGCCGGCTGCTCGGAGGTAGTATGCATATATGCCCAGGTCGCCTATCTTCCTGTTCATCTCGTCAGCATTCGAAGACGCAATGCCTGCAGCCGCCTGGCTACCCGGCAATGCTACTTGGCGCTCCTCGATTGAGCGTGAAGTGGCCGCTGATTCACCCGATAAATTCCGTGGCTGAAGCAATTGAGGATGGCCTTGTTTCGTGATCACTCCGTTTTGGAGCAAGACAGCATTATCGGCAAAGGCAAGAAGTTTCTGATCATGCGTTGCTAATATAGCAGCAACTCTATGGCGGCGCAAGATGCCCTGTGCCCCGAAAACGCGTTGGAAAACTTGCTCTGAAGTTTTCGCATCCAGAGAACTTAGAACGTCATCGAAAAGAGCTAATTGCTTGCGTGCATAGATTGCACGGGCAATAGCAATGCGTTGTCTTTGTCCGCCACTAGTTGCCATACCATTACTACCAATGATTGTGTGATCTTTGTGGGGAAAGCTTTCAATGTCTTGGTCGAGCGCAGTCGAATAAAGCACAGTTCGGTACCATTGCTCATCAAAAGGCAAGGGTTGGCAGATGTTCTCACGGATGGATCTGTTGCGAATCCAAGCCCTGCTACTACAGAAAGATATTTCGCAAACGTTGCTGTAAATGAAGCCCTTCAAGCAGGGAACCTCACCCAGAATTCCTTGAAGCAGAGTGCTCTTGCCCGATCCAACGGCCCCGGTAACCATGGTAAGCGAAGAAGGAGGGCATCTAAGATCGATGCTCCGCAATGTAGCTGGCGAACTGCGATCCCAACCAAAATCAGCCTGGTGGATTTGCAGCAAGTCCGACTTTGCTGCGACAGAACGATGCCCAATGCCTGTATCCGATGGCTTTGGCTGCTGAAGCTCAATGGGGCCCACCCCCTCGGTGTCCATATCAGTCCAATTTGTATACGGGGAGACATGCTGATGACTCGGGGGTATAACTCGATCATCGAGTCTGGGACTTGCTAGTAAGTAAGCTTGGATCCTTTGAAAGCATTCCAGCGCCGCACTAGCTTTCGGGCCCGAATAGATCAGGTTTGACAGAGGGCCACTCAATAGAGAGATTATCGAAAGCGATGTGAATGTTTGAGCCACTGTCAATGGTCTTTTTCCGGTATGGAGTGCAACACCGGTGAAGAGACTGAGTGTGAGGACCGGGCTGAGATTGGTTGTTGTGCCCGCTGAAAACACCGTGAGTCTCGACACAATTTATTCTCGCTCAAACTGAACTTACCGAGCAAATTCATCTTCACCATCAGATGGCGAAATTTTGACTGTCGATTCAGCTCGTCAATGCGCAGTTGATGTAGCATTCTAGAAAAATGCTTTTGGAGGCCAAGCATCTTGATACTTACACTCGCATCGAGGTAACTCGAAGCAAACGCAACTCTGTCACGAACAGCCTGCATCCAAACCTTTTGCCTCCCCGGTGCAGACTTCGACAACAGATGGGTGGAATAGAAGACCGCAACAGAAAGGGCTGCCGGAACTGTAGCAGCCCAAGCTACCTGACGCTGTAACAAGTACAGTGCAATGCCCACCTCTATGGGACTCGCCCAAACTTCATGCACATTCTGGATCCCCGATGCAATGTTGTCGATATCATTGCTCATCAAAGTCAGCGCTGCCGAGTCACTGTACTCATCGTACTTTAGCTCAAGCGTCTTATCATAGATGACAGATACCAGAGCGCCGCGTATCTGCGTTATAAGACGAAATATATAGTGCTCATAAAGGCAATTCATGACCTATATGAAGTTGATCAGGATAAATATCAAAGGAGCGGGCTAGATAGCATACGCCTTTCAGAATGAAGACCAGTGCAAATGCACCAATCAGGCCATAGCCATCATCTTTACTAGGAATTTTCTGGCCAACGTAAATCGTTAATCTGGTTATCAAGAAAGGTTGCGTATAATCCAAACCAATCCTCATCAACCTCGACAAGAAGGAGTAAAAGACTGGGGCTCTGAATGCACGGACAGCGCAATAGGCCAACGCGTTCTCATATGTTTTTGGCACTGAAACTAGTCAGCAGACACTGAAAATGCCATCTGGCTGCTACTTACTTGAAGCCCAGTGAGCGGAAAACTTTCGATGTAATTCGTTTGCTGACAGAGCCCGATCAAGGTACGGCAATTCCTCGAGAGACACTGACTGCTTGAAACCGAGCAAGAGCAAAGGATTAACCCACCAGAAGAAGGCGCGATTATAGAATCTTCTAATTTCCTCGTCGCCATATTGCACGTTTTTCTTCATGAAATATGCCAGTTTGGACTTCGTCTCTAAATAGAACCAAACCGATTTGACCGCAATGCTTGCTGTATAGAGAGTAGCAATAACGGTATACGAGGCCAGCCATAAGCTTCTTGCACGTACGGCATCGAAGATAATTGTCCATGATAGGAACAGGTTCAGAAGGGAAGAGGGCTGCACAGAATATAGGTGTTCCAAATGGGACAGGAACAGCAGGCCAACAGATGTAATTAAAGTCAGAACCGCAGCAGCCAGGGATGCCTGTGTCCGTGGCGTGTGAGGGAGGAGCCATAAGACTAGAAGGCAAAGCTGGGATGCACCGAAAACTTGTGCTGAAACCTAGTAGATAGCGGTGCGTGAGTTAGCTAGCGACAGTTCATTCCTTGACAAGACGCACGTACCAGCTTAGCCCAGTATGCCCAGCTTTGAGAGACGATGACTGTCCGATGTTTCCATAGCTGCTTGTAGCGCAAGGGAAGTACAAGCAGAAGTAATGCCGAGGGAGCGATCGAAAAGAAGCACTCTTCAAAAAGCAGGGTGAAGTCGAAGTTCCCTCGACAGTGGACCACTCGTGGACCGAATTCATCGTCTCCGCAAACATGAATGTTGTCCATCCTCGTGGAATATCCTCGATACGCAGGTTAATGACGAGGGAATGCTAAATAGCAATGGGACCCGGATTGTAACGGTTGAAAGGTGAGGTTAACGAGGGAGTGCTGAGGTGAAGTGAGGCTGAGTGTCAGGTGAAATCGAAGCAGTACCTTTTAAGGAGCTAATCTCGCTGGCCCATCCACCTCTTTAATCTTGGACGGTGTTGTAAATCCAGCAATTAGATGGCAGCGATAAGGTGACTGGGTGTAAAAACCCCTGTCGCAAGTCTACTTAGTCCTATCCAATAACCCACAGCGCGGAGAGAATCTGGGTTCTAGACTGATTTTAGCCTCTTCCATTCCCCATTCATGTCTGCCTGGTACTCTCCCTGCGAGGCTGCTACGCACCATTAAGCTTTACCGTCCTTTCTTGGGGCCGCCTTATAAGTCTCGCGGCCGTCGGGGCTCCGTGCAGTCATGATAGCATATTACCATAGAGTTAGGCAGTCTCATTCACATTATACACCAACTTGCACCCCTTGACTCTACCTTCTTTCAAGAAATTCAGTCCCTCAATGACACCCTGCAAGCCACCAGACCCAAGCTGCACAGGATGAGGGACAACCTTGCCATCCGCCAACAACTTGGCCGCCTTTTCGATCCACTCTGCCGCAAAAGCCCGATCTTCTGGTTTTGCAGGGATATGCACACCCCGAAACGTCAACTCCTCTCCGAATACCGTATAACCCAGCGTCCAGCGGCTGCGCACATCCACACGAGGCACCTTGCTGTCTATCATCGCAGTATAATCACCGCCCTGGGAGCTCATAGCCCTTCCGCAAAATGCCGCCGTCTCCTCCGTCGAGATGGTATCCAGCACCAACTTCAGCTGATCCTGCGTAACCTCGCGGATCTTGTCAGCCGCCCCAGGACTCTTGTAGTCAACTACATGGTCGGCACCACGGCTCTTCACTAGCCCCTCGGTCTCGGGCGAACACGTCGTGATCACCTCGTACCCGGACAGCTTGGCAAATTGAATTGCCAGAGTTCCTGTGGCCGTAGCACCGCCATAGACGAGGATGGGTTCCGGCTGGGCAAGGGGATGATCGAATGATGCGAGCTGCAGGCTTTGGTACAGAGATTGAGCAATGGTGCCCAGGCCGACTCCTAGGGTTGCGGCTTCCTGGAAGCTGAGATTCTCCGGTATGGCGAACTGCAGGTCACCTAGAGCGAGGACGTACTCTGAGAATGCTCCATTGTAGGGGAGGTTGGGGTTGCAGCCGCGGATGAGGCCAAAGACACGATCACCGACCCGGAAAGGTTTCGTGACTGCAGAGCCGACAGCTTCTACAATGCCGGCGTAGTCACAGCCAACAGTAACGACGGGAGTGCTTCGAAGGGCATTCTTCCAGTCTGTGGGATTAAGCCCGACGCTCACCACTTTGACGAGGATGCAGTCATCACGAAGGGTAGGTTTGGGCCAGTCGCTCACCACGGAGATAGTCTCGGGAGCAGTGACGGCTATAGCTTTGACCATGGTGATGATGTTCCGGGTGACTAATGCACCGAGGCGGAGAAAATCATAGAATAGTTGAGGATTTTGAAGGTACTATAGAGCATGAGCAGACGAGAGAGTCTTATGTATGTAGCTGTTGGAAGGGAAAGAGGAGAATGCTTGACTTCTCTGAATTGATCGTCCGGCGACTAGTGAGGAGCTGAAATGCAGCCTCCGGAGCCTCCGGAGTGAGCTGACTTTCTAAACAATCGGTCTACTTGCTTCTTCCCCGGTCGGCATGTAGACATCGTCGTCCAGGTCATCGCGTCTCGGCGTTTCTCTAAGAGTTTCGGAGCAGCATCCCACATACCACCGTAAATCAAGAGTTGTGGGTTGTGGGTAGGCATCTGACTGGAAATAAATATCATCTGACATTTTGACAGTATCCAAGAGCCTTATCACATTGGATCGATCAGTATTACGAACTATCAAGTACATATGACTAAAAAAAAAAAAGAAAAAAAACATAATTAGAATTACACACAAAACTCCTTTCCTCCCGATTATAATTATCCCCGGCCATGATTCCCGGCCAAGTACAGCCAGGACTTCTTTTTTTTCTCTGAATTAGTAATGAGTTTGATGAAGATTGTTAAGTCGGTTTCATCAGCCAGAATCAGCGCCTTGTGTCCAATTGCATCTGATTTCATAGTTGGCCCAGTTGCGCTTCGTCATTCATTCCATTCCATTCCTGAGAGTGACATTCACATCGAACAACGTAATCTCAGCCGAGGCGGAGAAGTGGATATGAACCACTCTTTAAACTTGGGCCATGCTGGGGCGAGTAACGCCGCGGGCAGGACCGGTGCGTCCACGAAGGTTGACACTTGTCTGGCGTGACATGATGATCGACAGAATCATCGAGGCAGTGTAGCCAGCCCAGGCAAACCACAGGAATGCCGTCGAGGCCTGAGCCTCGCGGCAACGCTTCGTGCGGTTATGGGCTCCATTGGTGATTTCGTTGTTCAGCGTGTAGGACTAGGGTAAGTATCCACAAGTCAGCGTTGCCTTAATATTATTTTACTGTGGTGCATCATCTTTTTTGGAGTTCGCGGGACGAAAACTCCACTCTCCACTTTTTTTAGTGGATAGCTTCCCCGACTGATAAGGCAGAAAATCATGCACTATACGTACATCGTTGCTGCAGCTGTGGCATTCCAATTTCGCAGCCAGAGCGATACCAGCCGTAAGGAACAAGATCGCATTGAGCGTGTCGATGGCGATCAAGAAGATTGGGTGAATAGCCCAGTCAATATTGATTGACGCTGGGACTAGATAGAAGAGTGTGAACATCGAGAAGGCTGCAACAAACATGGTGTAGTTGATGGTCGCCGGGTTCCCGGCGAACGCTTCGGCGATCATGTTACCGATCAAAGCCATGATGAGCAGAGTCCAGATGAACTGATGCCATCTTCAGCGTTAGTCCAGAATTCCCAGCTGCTTCACTTGCTTGCTTTGCAGGTCCAGCCAGAGCAAGGCTCTCGGCTCGAGACAGATTGACATACCTCCCAGATCCGTAGGCCGAGCTGGATAGCTTTGGCAACCATCTTGGTGGTGTGATATGAATGAGTGATGAGTGGTGGTAGTGAATGAGAGTTGTTGCCGATGGGGTGCGTGTCTGGTGGGCTGTGCTTCTTGTAGATTGTCGATCTGTTTCAGTAGATCCGGCACCGGGAAATTAATGAATCGGGACGAGGGCCAGTAGTTATTAGTTTAGACGGAGTTTGATAATTATAAGAAACATCATCTCAGTGCGGGATGATCGGGCAACACGAACGATGACGATATGCGCCGGTTCAGGGATCTGCTACGTCATGCGCCGGCCCGACTCATGAAATCACCACCACTGCTGCACCCTTGGGGTTTTCCACCACAGAACATCAAGCAGGTGGGATAGAGCCAGAGAGCGGTCTAGGTGGTTTGTCATTCAGCACTGACTCGTAGTTCCATGATGAACCCAAAGATGCCCAGCCTGGCGCCGTTGGGCGCTTTTGCAGTCTGCTCCAAGCATTGCCCCATTCATACTGAAGAAAATCCTACAACCCTTTTTTCCCTCCCTCGAGGCGATCGACCGCTTCGATTGAAAGACACATAGAGAACGCCGCTCTACAATCATCGCTTCCGAGGTCATCCGAGCATGAAACATTGATGCCGTCACCTATGGGCGGAGTCAAGCTGCACTAGTCAAGCTTGTGATGGGGATGCGAGCCTCCATTAAGCTCTCCAACCAGTGGGTCTGCAAACTTTAAACGTTGTAGCTGAAAGAGCTTCTCACTTTTCGACTGGCCAAGCATGATGCCCGACCATACTAGAGCTTGCTGGATTTCCATGAACCACACATGCAGCAAACAGGAGCCGACAGATCCTTGACCGGATGATCTGCTTTGTGCCGCAAGTGTAATTGTTCACTCTCTTCCAGCGGCCATGAGAGGATCCCGCCCACACACTCGCAAGCCCAACCCACGCCTCGGTTAGGCAAGGCTGTTTGAATAAATAAACTAATAAATAGATAAATAGGAACCAAAAGTTTTCAGCAGTCACAATCACGGGGAAGGTGAGAGTAAGAAAAGCAAACGTTTCCATATCTACCTTCCTATGACGGATAGCCCCGTCGACTTTGCGTCGGTGGTACGACCCCCATAACCAGTCATCCCGAAGGCCCAGCCCAATCTAATATCCATCTGTGGGTGTTCCAAACTCGATCATTGGGAATGCGTGCCGAATTACCTGGCCACCTGTACAAGGCTTCTTGTGTCTTGAAAACTCAATTGGCGCCAATGTGTATGCAGGAGATGCGCCGGCACTTAATATTCCCAGCATATCGGCAGCGGTTGACGCAGATTGTTCGCTAGATGGTCGATCAAAGCCATCGATGGGGTAATGCTAGCTCGCAATATACCCCAGTGAGAAGCCATAAGGACGATCAACTTAAGCAATAATCGACAGGCTTGGCAAACAAGTGCCGAAAGATCTATATGCCCACCTTCCCTTCTCTGAGAGACTAGCATGCCACGGACCCCGGGCTGCTAGCCAATCTCGGGATGATTGAAAGCATCTGGAGGCAATATTCGTGTAGCGGATAACACTACCGATTATACGTTGTCTATCTTCCGTTCCGCCTCCTCTTCTGTGCTCTTGTGTTCAAGATCCACGCTTCCAAACTTCCAGGAGGTGTCCTAAACGTAGATGTCTTATCCTCTTTGGACATTGAACAGGAAGCATCACTTGTAAATCTGATACTCCAAGATACCTAACAAATGATGATCAGCTTGTCGATAACGAGATCTCGAGCTGGACTTCAACACGAAGGACAGATTAGCACACCATCATTCAATTTCGTGTAATCAATGAATACAACAAATACAATTATAAAACAAACGGTATCTTTCACCGACATCCTGTGGACTTTGAATGCAACACAACTTATGCATACCCTCCACTCTTAGAAGTAAGAAAGTAATTCACTGAGCAGATGAATATAGCCAGCTGCGCTGGTCACCTTCAACTAGACGTATCCATGCGTTTCTTAGGAAAGGGGCAATCTTCGATTGGGGAGATGTTAACATCTCCGAGAGAATCGAATTATCCCCTCTATGGGCACGATAGACGCAGAAGGAACAACGAGAATCCCGCTCACCCTTTGTCTTCCCCGTTCAGGGATTATCAAGCATTACGCATAAGAGTTCTTCAGACACAGATGAATAGATACTAGCCAAAATTCCAGAGCCTTAGTAGGTACGTAGTACATGTCTACATATGCACATATACCACTGCATCACCACGACACACTGGAAGAACGGCATCATCAATCATACAACTGTGTTTCACAGAGCAATCACTACTAGTATACCACTGAATTAATTTACCACCACCCATTCCAACATCATGCACGGGTACCGAAAGAGAAGGCAATACAACCCCAGCTACCTTAGGCTTAAACTCAATTCATTCATCGAGCCTAGGCTCAAAGCTGCCAATTGCCGAATCGTCCATCCCGCCTTACGACTCAATTCGCCACTGATAGTTGTACTGTAGGCTCGGTGGATCCACAACTTCTCGAAAGCATGGAAATTCACACCCAGTGTTTGGACTGAATGGAAAGAGCCAGCGGTAAACTCGGCAAGCAAACACAGTAACATCACTTTAAGAAGATTCATACAAACAAGCCGAAGGGGGGCAGTTCCGTCTCGCTTGTGTCGTGATGTCATCGCTGTCCAACTCGGAAGGGAATCCCGGCAAAGCAAGTTGAACAAAAAGAGAGGCACCGGGAAGAGGTGGCAGGCAGCTACTAACTTATACGGTGTATATCTACAAGGACAAATTACATATATAAAGGGCCGTGGTGACCAATTCCTGTATTGAATTATACTGCATGATTTGTGATTAAGGTTTAAATTGAGGCCAGCGACCAATTCTCGTGCCACGGCGATTGTTTTATTCTCAGAAAATACTAGCCATCATCCTTCTACCTGACATTTCGTCCCGCATCCACATCCATAAGTATTCGATTTGATCATCATGCCAGTTGTTCCTGCGCTGAAAGACACCCCGTTCGACACCGATATTCGTGACCGTCATTTAATATACGATTACGCCGCGCAGGACGCCCAAGGAAACCCCGAAAAATGGCGCTATGAAATGTGGTTTTATAACGAGGACCGCATCGTCTACGCCATCCATGGCGGGCCCATGGCCGGCCGGAAGAACTTTCAAACGGCCACGTACCAGTGCATTCGACCGGGCGAACTCTGGCAGTGCAATTGGCTCGAGGAGACCGGCACCATATGCTCGTTGGTGTATGACATTCCACGAAAGCGCATCACCACGTTGCTGGGGTTCTCCAAGGGGCATTGGGAAGAAAGTGAGGCGGCCCACGGCGACAAGAGGAATGCGAAGGATTTGGAAAGATGGAGGGGATTGGCCACGATTGGCAAGCAAACGGACAGGAAGCTCCTGAGCGAACAAGCCGACATCCTCGAGGATTTCCGAGGCCCGGGCGATTTGGAGCCAATTGACATGGAATGGCCGACATTATAAGCGAGGCAGGTTCGCGGGGACGTACGCACCGCAAGAGGGGTATGCGGTTGAGGATCGATTATAGGAGAAATGGGGAGCTTTAGAGTGGTGGTTATTTGGAATGGCATTCTAATCTGTACTTAGTTCGCAAATTTCCAGTATACCCCTTGTGACCTTGACGTGTCACTAGCAAACATGCAATGCTTGTCTGGTTTACGTCTTCTTTCCATGTAGGATGTAGATGGGTGACCCATTTATGTGCATCTGAATTGTGCCACCGGATTTGACGAAGGGAGAGAGGCCGGTCCGATCATGGAAGACGCCAAGTAACGGAAGCCAGCCGAGTCATCATCCGTAATCGTAGGCCTTTCCCTCAGATGACATTGCAGCGCCATATATCACAGCAGCTGACCTCTCAACGACTGACGGGATAGTTTGCGTCTGTCGCAGTATCATGTCACCAACTCTTCGGGTTGCTTTAGGTCTTCTTGTAGAAGTGCACCACAGAGCTGTTCATCATATAAGGTCGTGTAGGAATAAGTACCCTGTTGGTCGTCGAAGTCAACTCAGGCTAGGCACATCTCATGGCGAGATAGCTCGCCAGTCGGGAGCTGTGTCTAAGTGCACCTAGATGAGTCCGTGGGTGATCTCCAAGACTGTGATGGATATACACATTGCGTTGATTCATGTCGATTGTTCTCCCAAAAATATGGGGTCAACCGTAGGTCACGAGCCTTGACTTGACGAAGAGCTTCCTGTAGATGGAGCCTGAGTACAAACGAGCTCTACTTGTATATCATCCACATATTTGGGAGGGTTGCCGTTGTAGGATGGAGCTCTGCTAATAATGGCGACTGCAACTTGAGCTGCTTGGTCATTAGCAGTCATATTATCAATGAACCATGTCTTCCAGGGTTCACTGCTGGATCCGGACGTTTGGAGGGTTGCAATTCGGGTGGTATCAGTTTCCTGAGCAAAAGCTGTATTCAGTCAGTAAGGACTGCAAACAGAAGGCAGAACAAACAGCGGAGCCAACATACAGATAGAAGGTATGGCAGCAACGTCGAACAGAGGCGGAGGGCAATTGGAGAGTACGGGCTGGTTGATGAGCATTTCACTCAACACCGTATCCAGTGGGTCATCATAGTAACTTCCACTCGTGGTGAGTCCATACAAGGCCTGCTTCAACAAGGTGATCAAGTCGTACGAGCATTGTGCGCCCCACACGCCATCGCAGCCATTGTTGGAACCTGACGGAGTTCCGGTAAGATTCCCCACCCGCAAAGCAATCTCAGAGGTGCGGTTGGAATTGATGACAGAGCTATTGAGAAGAGCACTGTATCCGAGCCAAAAGCTAACTTTAGTCATGGGCTCTTGGCCTTTTCCTCGGGAGTTGGCGTCGAATCCATAGTAGAGGTTGAGACTCTCCTCAAACAGAGGGGGGAAATTGAAGGAGACGGCAGTCTGAGCCAGGGCATCGAGACAGCTACCGCTCCAAAATGAGCAGAACTGAGCGATTGCTGGCGATCCAATGACAAGTAAAAGAACGAAGGCATTTAAATAAGATCGGAGGATTGCCCCCATTCCAATAGGGCCGGCCATTTGGTACCACGAACGGTCGGAAATCGTGCTGAGAAGAGAGACCGATCTGCTTCACAGACACTATAATGATGTAATGGGAGCCGTTGAGCGGGCGAAGACCATGCTCATAACCGTCAATCGGTGTAAATCAAGGTCAACTAAGAGGCGGTGGGATAGGTGGTGGCTTAAGAAAAGGTCAAAGTCGGGAGGCGGTCGCCTGAATCATGCCAGAACTGGACTTGCTATAAACACATAAAAGGCGCGGAACACGACGGGTTCGCAAAGTCCAAAGGTGTCGGGTGATGTTCTCAAGGGTTCATAACAAAAGTTCAATTCGTCTGTTTGCCTGTGATGGACAGTAGATATGTGTAGATTTATTCGCGTCCGCAGCCGCGACGATCGGGTGCAGGAGTCGCGACAGACAGGGCGGCAGGCTGACGGCTTATCGGTCGAAGGAGAACTTCGTTCAGAATCGAAGGATGCTGAAGGTTATCAAGTCAAGGCTGGAAGAACAGACCGGGTCGTTGGGGGGTTCCGGCAGTTGATAGACGAGCAGATTGCCCCAAGGCGCCAGGGTCTCTGTTTGAAGATGATGGGGAGAGGGGTGATGGTAGTGGTAGTGGTGGTGGGAGGTGATGAGCGACGGTCAATGATGGGTGCGGACGGAGCAACAGGGGCCGATGATCGGTTGCGGAGAAGGGAATCAAGAAGAGGTATTTAGCCAGAGATGAGAGACAGGAGGGAAGAGAAAGAGGGGGTAAGCATAAGGTAATCAGGGTGTGATTCCCAGTGTGGTAGTAAAGTAGTGAGGGTGTGAGTTAGTATTCATTAAGAATTGGAGGTTAAGTCAGAAGGAGTAGTAGTAAGTAGTAGTAGTATGATGCCCTGCTGCTCAATCCTGGACAGATTATTCTTTTCTTGCCAGGGCGAGTTGGACTGTCTTGCCCGTGAAACAAGGCGTGTGGATACGCATGGGGATTGGCCCAAGGTGCCTGGCTTTCGGTGACTCCCTGACTTCCCAGAATCCTCGAGGCATTCTTGGCGCTGCCCGGTCACCGACGCTAACTGGCAGCCCCCGCATACCTTGTGCCGAATGCGGTAATTCCGGAGGGTAATCCCGCCCAGGGTCGCAGCAGGGAGCCAGTCACAGGGCCCATTCACCACATATTTCGGGACTGGCGCCGCTCCTCGTCTCTCTTCAGGGGCCAATAGACTCGCTTATGTTCCAGCCACCATCGTAACTAGGAGGTTAGGTGGTATTTTTCTCTTCCCACATCCGGTGACAGCCAGAAAACGCCGTCTTTACTTACTTACTTACTGCTCACAACTACTGTGTACTAACTTAAGTAACCAACAATCTAGCTGTGCGCCTGGTGAGATTTTCACCCTGACTCAGGGTCCAAGGTTGTCTCCTGGTAACTAGCTAACCAACTAGTTAGTAATCTGTAGTGCTGACTAGAATATGAGCAGCGTCGAGGTGGTGGAGCTCAGAGACATGGCAACTAGTACTGCTCCCAGTACTGTGACCGGTCGGTATCTCGTATCTCAGGTAATATTGTGGTAGTTCATACCAAGCCCCGTATTGGAACCAGTGTTTGAAGTGACTGATTATTTATTTTTATTTTTATTTTTTTTTTTTGTTATTATTATCCTTATTCTTGACTGTTCGGGAAACACCATGATCTTCCGGTTTCAGGGTCTGGTCACTCAATCCGATTATGGGATTATTACTTATCTAATATCTACCTGACTAGAGTGGCCGGTAGCGGGTCCTTCAAATCAAAACTAACTGGTGATAAATTGCACTTTCTTTTTTTGGTACAGTAACTATCACGCTTTTGGCTTTTTCCACCATCATCCGGCCCCTCCGGTGACATCGAGAATGCTTCAAGTCCTGCCTTTCGAATCATTCGGAGCTCCTTCCGAACACATATGCTCGATGATTTGTCCATCTCCATCTCCCACTTTTCGAGGAGGCAGTCAAGGGTCAATACACTGGTCTTACTCTTACCAGTTACCACCCCAAAAATCAATCCCCCTATGAGCGCAACAGTAGAAGCGGATAAGGTCTGCTTGCAGGGGGACATTGGAGGACCGGCACATTTAATCTACACTTTACAGTGGACAACTTATGAATTATTGACACTTCGGTCAAATTGTCCACTAACCCAAATTGGGCCTGTCGCCCGTGATTGTAACTTTTCCGGGCTTGTTTTCATCGATCCCTCGTGTCCTGCGGTAAATGTCGAACAAGCTTTTTTTTCGTTTATCTGATATTATCTAGTTTATGGGAGACTCCTGAACTCTGCTGAGCTGTTGACTCGACTACACTAGCAGTTATGGAGGACTACCAGCATGCATTCAGGTCTCACGACTCTTTCGGCCTCGGACCCGCCTACTCCGTTCGTACAAAACGGTTCCCGAAACTAGCAGACTACGGAGTAGATGCTCTCACTTCTGATACCTAGAAACTCCCATCAAACCACTCACTCATCATAACAAGCCTCTCATAGTTTTCTCCTGCGGCAGACCGGTCTACCCAAGTGCGGTGAGTCTGCTGGATTCTGAGCAGACAGTAGTTACTATATGCCAACCGCACGTGGCAACGTATCGGCATGTTGACTTTTACTTCGTCCACTACTAGTGTAGTATTGCTTTTGTCAATCAATGCGCCCAGTCTCGGGGGTTTTCTGCTGCATAACGCGTTAAGATGAACACCTACTCGAACAAGGATGGCTCAGAATGGAGTGAAATCAATGATACAGCCCAGAGTTCAGGCCATGTCTGCAGGGTCTTGTTGTAACGAGACACGGACTCAACCACGGTTAAATGTCGGATGTCTGAACACCCTTGACTTCGTTGTGCTTTAGGTCAAGCGCGATGGTTGCCGGAGGAGTCATTTTGTAGCACGCCGTTGGTAGGGGGTGGCCCAGATATCGCACCAATGGTATTGGGGGATGCGACATAGGTCAGTTAGTAGCACTATCGGAATAAATGAAGTGAGGTTATTAAGTGTCCATACAGCTAGCCAGCAAGCAAAGTAAGCCCGAGGCTAACTATAACCTATCATGGCTTTCCCAAATTCTAGGCATATTCATAAAATGCCAACACGCGGTAGATCTACCTTTTGATCTACAGGATAGTCGAGCGTGGCTGGTGATCCTGCCAAAGCTACTGTAGCGATGAGTGCGATGTTAGATACCAACTACAAGAAGGCAGGTAAGTCCAATTACAAAATCTCAAGCAATATGCTACTATAATGTCAATCGTTTACCCTACTAGATAGATGAGACGTTCTCTGGAACGGTCGACCGTTTCCATCGCAAAAGCTCAAGAGGGGTTTGTTGATTTGTCGGAGAACCGTTAGTTAGCCTGACCGATACGATTAGCGTGGTCCCTCGGAGAGATCCACCCTCCCTTCAGTAACAGCACTACTAGTGGTCCCTGATACACTCAACTCAACTCACAGGCACACCACACTAGTAAGAGCCATCTAGTACTAAACTAACAGTACTAAAGTAGCCAGTCCCAGCTTAGCGTCTTAGCCAGCAGTCCCTGCTTTTCTTTCCCTCCCCCCTGCTGCGATGGAGTTACTTATGGACCGACAAAAATCGTTCCATCCAATGGTTAACTAGACAGAAGTTGACAATTCTCAGGGTTACACTTTTAGTGTTATTTTCGACCTAGGTAGCTAAAGAAACAAGCGCCACTAGTGGCCGCTATGAAGGTTTCGAGCAATGAGCACTGCTCTTTTCAATGGGACCTCCGAAATTATTTCGTTTGGGTTTGCTGCATTTCTGCTCAAAACCCCCCACCTCTCTCCGTTTGCTCTCTCTTTTTCTTCATAACCCATCGCGTGCTGTTGTTGGATCGGCTATTGCCGTCGTTGCCACCGGTGGGTGGGATTTGGTTTTTGGGATCACTTTCGCTTGCAGAAAAAGTCTCTGTTTGCATGCATGCATGCATGTGTGTAGGTATTGCACAAGTATTGTACGTAGCGATCGATCGCATACCATTCATTCATTCATTCTTTCTTTCTTTCTTTCTTTCTTTCTTTCTTTCTTTCTTTCTTTCTTTCTTTCTTTCTTTCTCTCTTTCTCTCTTTCTCTCTTTTCTTCTTCAATCACTTGGTACACACTCACACGCCTCTTTGTTACAGGCGTGTGATATGTCCACTTCTCACTACTTCAGTATGAATTGGTCAAACACTGCTTATCTCGCTGCAAGTGGACAGGCAGTGAAATTAGAGCAGGGAACAAAAAAGACTACTAAGGTAAATTCGATTCCAAGCATTCCGGTCTCCCCATAAGAGCTTGAGATGGGTCTCTGTCTTGGTCTAAGTACTAAATAGAAAGAAAAGATAAAGAAAATCCCCGGTGGCGGGTTTTGATTACTCCCATGTGGAAAATCAGTCAACATTGGCACTTCTTTTTCCCTTTGCACTAGTAGGACTAACACGAACTTGGACTGAAATTGATCCCTGGTTTTTAGAGCCACCACCATCACTCCTTTGTACTTAGTCTACCACACTAACTAACCAATCCGAGAGGCCCAAGCGGCCATTAAATCAAAGTAGATAGCAGTTCTCCGTCAATTCGTAGCATTGACCAATGTTTCGCATTTGCTGCTTCCCAGTTCTCTCTGAACTATGATGTCTTTCCAAAGAAAGAGGCGGGTGGGGAATTTGTTCAACCTGTTCCCCCCTTCCCTTCCCCTTCCCTTCCCTTTTTTCCATGGACCGAAGGGATGGATGGATGGATGGATGAGTACGTTAGAGGGGGAAAAAAAAATGCAATGACATCAGCGATACCCATCCCTGATCATCCACGAACCCGCATTCCCAAAAAAAAAAAAAAAATAATAATAATAATAATAAAATAAAAAAATAACCAAACATCCGATCCTCTCTTTCAGGAATAGTCTGAATGCGTGAGTTCTACTACATACTTTGTAGGCAGTAACTCTGTTGGTTTACTACTCAGTTTACCATACCATGTGCGACCAACCACCTGATACATAGACAGTAGTAGTCCGTAGGGTACATAATAGCTGAATGAATACCTACTACTTATTTACCTACTACTTTGGTCAGGCGACTAGATATTTGTTCAACTTGTAAGTATGAATGAATCCTGTTTCAAATTATGAGGAAAGGATTTATTATACTTTCTGCATTACATCCATGCACATTGAGAGCTGAGTCCTACTACTTACTTACCCCTCCCCTCCCCTCCTCGTCCCATCCCATCTCCCAGGATCAATTAAATGAAGGGTACTACATACAGTAGTAGTATGCCATGTAGCACTAGTTTTGCGACAACAATGCCTATGAGGTCATCAGCCGGAATGCCATAACTGAATCTCCCAACTAGGACTACTATCTGCCTGTCCTGACTCGCTTGGCGAAAGCAAGTGGGATTTCGGGTATGCTTGCTTACTTGCTGCCTAGTCACGAACCCCCTAATTACCCATATTAATGAGTGATTTTAATTTTATTTTGATTTCTTATTATGATGAAGAAACTGTTCCCTTTCAATCCATTCCTGGCATAGATGATTAGTAGATCCGCTCTTGGCTGTCTAGGAAAGGAAAACCTCCTGTTCTTCACATTTCCTTTCGCTTCCGGTTTCTTCGAATTCGCCTCGGGGTTCTCGGATGTGGGTGGGCAGCTAACTAGAGAGTCTTTCCGGAACGATTCCTCCCCCCACACACATATCATCGTGATATGGTAATCTGTGTTGGTACGGTAATTTAGTACTACTAGGCTGCCTACCGCTGTCATGTTGAGAGAAATATTCAGAAACCAATTAAACCCTAGTTAGTTGGTTTCTTCGGATGGAGGTTTCCCGCGGATTCGAGCCTTGCCTTTTGTCGGGCTGTCTTCAAGATGTGAGTAGTTATGTATGTCTGTGACACCGAGGAACATATACAGTAGAAAGTCAAGAAAGACTAGAGATGGGGTGTCCGTACCCCAGTTTCATATTCGCTGTGGCGTCATAGCCAGTTAGCGGATACTAAATACTACTATGGTACTATAACTTCATTTAGTCGTTGTTATCCCTTCGTACCCTGCTAAGCACATACGAACGGTAACAACTGCAATAATACGGGTTCCATCGGAAAAGACCCTCTGATACGAGGTCGCGTGCTCTGGAGATGTCTCTTACAACCCTTGGGACTCTCTGCCTTGGCCTGGGCTTCTCGTGCCTGATCTATACGAAATAGATCGCACAGTATACCCTCATCGATGAGGCACAGTCGAGGTGTGCCTCGATCTCTCCAGAGCTTCGGCGCGGCCTCTGATTATTAAAGCATCTTCCTCGATCGATTTAGTTAACCGGCGAATCTTCTCCATTTCGCGAGCCCGATTTTTAGTCGCGATAGCTACCAATTTGCGCGCCGTTTCAACCTCAGCCGCCTCCATGTCTGTCAGTCCACGCGTATGCCGCGACTGATGATTATTTTTGAGGTTCTTCTTAATGTTGGTGATCTTTGTAACAGCTTTGACAAGGGGTAACATGAATATCATGTGCGACGTGAGCCAGGAAGCATTTTCAGGTGTAGCGCCTTGATGGCCAAAGACCACATCCATGGCCGCCGCCCGTTGCGTAAACCTCTTGAGACTCTGAGCTCCCTGGGGCACCGGCGCCACGTTCTGTTCCCAGTCGAAGTATGGGAGTTTCATACCATTGCGATCCTCTTCGCCGCAGGAACGGTCACCATTCGTTGACTCGGCGTCTTGTATCATCTTCATCTCCTTCCAGGTCTCATACATCCACAGCTCTTCCGGTGTCAGCTGGCTCATGGCCACGCTCTCCGGGTCGCTTTTCGATGGGTATGTTGCCAATTTCAGTCCCGTGAATAGTGCGAGACTGTTGCCTTGCTCGACGGTTTTAGCTAGCTCTTTAAGCTTCGTACATGTCGCTTCAAGATCATCGGTCTCGGTAGGCACAGCCAGGAATTTGAAACCCTCGTTTACTTGTGTACTGTCCGCAGAAGGCGTACTCTGGTCGTGGTATTCACGCTTCACTCCATGGCGCTCTGGTGCTATCTGTGTATCAAGAACGCGTACCCCACGCGTCGGTAGTTGACGTTCCATCTTTCCGTATCGGATCTTGTTCTATGTAGGGATATCTGAGTTTTGGATGCGGACGGTCTGAAGAGACAAGAACCGAGATGGGACAACACCTTATGAGCCAGCTGGCAGAAATCGTTTCATGTTAGTTCGTGAAAGAAAGTTCATGGGCTAGTGATTATTCCGTAGGGGTCACACCGACTGTCATCCAGCTGTTCGAGGAGTTTCTCGCGGAAAGCTTACCACGTTCTGGTTCAGGTAATGATCACGTGCATTTCCAGACCGTTCGTCTCTGATCCTCAGCCGTCGTCTCCTTCCTATTGATGGCTTGCACTCCCTGCTAGCGAGAGTCGATGGTATCTGGCAGAAGACTTACGGTTATTTGATGCCAATGATCTTTCAAACTGAGAGATATCTTCCCCGTGAAGGGATGGTGAGCGGAAGTCAAGATGAGGTATCAGTGAGAGAAGCGTAAAACCAAAGAGGGCTTTTCATATAAGAGCCACTATGGTAGTCATGGAACATGCGACTACAATAAATAGAAGCAAGTGAAAGAAGTAGATGTGAATTGCATCGATATTGTACAGAGGTGCAGCCGAATTCAGTAAGAGTATCCGACCGGCCGCCCTTTCCTAATATACACAATGTTCTGATCCGTGACGTTTCTCGTTGTATACATGGTGAGATCATATGCAGGTGTCAAAGTGGTCCGAAATTTCAGAGTGTGACCGTGAAAGGAAGGAAAAGAAAGGTTCAGAAGGGTAGGAGAGTGTCCGTCAAAAGCAAAAAAGAAAGGAGAACCCCCAAAAACGCCAGAGCTCCACGCTTGAATGTCGCATATATATTTCCCGTGTTGGTCGCCTTATTCTCCAGTTCGATGAGAAGCTCGAAGTCAATTGTCGTCATCTTGAATAGACGCATGCCCATGGCCGGATAGCCAAACTCGCTTCCAGGGACCACCCTCCGGTCCGAACGCTGCCTCTCGATCTTGACGCATCCCTTCAAGAACACCCACAATACCGCCATTACGCAAGCGCTCGAGAACCACATTCATGCCCTGCTTGCTCTTGAGCACGGCATCCCGGGTGCGGTTCAATCCAATCAGCTCAATTGTGCGTTGGATTCCCGCAGTGGACAGGGAGGTGAAAAGGCCTCTTTTCGGAGCTTCTTCTTCATAATCCCCGGTGTGGTCGCTACTCGGCTCGGTCTTCCTTCTACCTAGCAATTTTCCTTGCCCGAATTTGGAGCGGAAAGTGACTGTGGTGCGCACCGTAGTCTGTTCGCTTTTTTTGTCATCGAGCGAAAGCCCTTCCAGCGTGCCGAGTGGACCTTCATGGGGCTGGCGTTGATAGAATTGTCTCTCGACCACGCTCAATATCCCGGTCCATTCCATGTTACGAGATTCCGTCTGCATCCAACCCTCTTTGGCGTCGACGACAGTCGTTTCGAGGATATAGCTCTGGCCGGAATTGTCTGAGCCGCCAATCCCCTTGGGAAGGAGTTTGAGGATTCCCGAGGGAACCTTGGATTTCTTGAGAAGGAGACGAGTGGTGTGGAGACGCTGGGTCGTCGGGTCGACGTAACGGTCAATGACATCGGTGGTCAACACATGGCGAGAATAAGGGTTGGGATAGCGAAGGAAGTAGGCCAGCGACACGGCCGGGAAGGAGTAGTCGTAGGTGAAGACATTCTCGAAGAATTTCATAATTGCGAATGATGCATACAGAGTGGATTGGAGGATTGAGATGAGAAAGTCACGCCGACTGGATGGGTGGAGGAAGAGGATGGAACTGGAGCAGAGGGTGGCGTTGGGGATGCTGCTTGGTTTAAAGTGAATGAACTGCAGTGCTCGCCTGCTCAATCGCCATTCTCAGTGGCCGGACGAATCTGCCCGAGCCTCCGACTGGGAAGAATTTCTGTCAGCTTCTGGCCGCTCGCCGCTAAGCCTGTTCGGTAATGCGGGGATGGGCCGGTGCATCATCTGATTGTCCCCCCACGGGCCAATCATCATGTAGTACTTAGTAGTACTCTTTTTCTTCAGCTGCTACTATAGACCAGGACTGCGTGGCAGACAGCAAAATCTATGCTGATCCTCGTATGATCATGTTCGAGGTATCACTTCCTGACGTCAAGATGGACAGCCTGTCTGGGATGGGTATTTTGCAAATGCTACGGAACTATCAGCCAATCTTCCGTCAATTTATATATCCGAGCTGTAACTAAGCAAGTACACCAACTAACTATGCCGCAAGTACTACTACTACTACTACTACTACTACTACAGTCGGAGTATTACTTTTCAGTAGTAGAGCTTCAATACTATATATTAAGTACTTACCAGTACCAGTACTGCTAGTACTATCAGTGCCGTTTTGCGACGAAACGGAGGAGCCATGACAGCCAAGCTTTTTGACTCTACCAGTACTATCAACTACTACTAGTACTAGTAACAGCAGAGTAGTACTTAGTACCCACTACTAGTCACACCTAACTATATACGAGGGGTAGTACTGTAGTACTAGTAGCATTGAAGAATCCACGCAGTACCGATTTCATCATAGGAGTACTAGCAGAATTATATAACCCTGCTCGTTTTGGATATGCTGCATCTCATAACAGCCTTTCATCATAATCGGGTGCAGTACAGTCGGACTCTGACGTGGCCCTGCAATATAAATGGTAGGTGCGGAGTAGTACTATTTGGCGCTTCTATGCATAAGATATGTCAACAAAGGTGACACATGCCCGCAAGTCCATACTCCCAACATGAGCGATGGGGAAGGCCTGGTGTCTCATCGGGGTCCGGGATTTCTGGATTCTCAACTCCCCTCGGAAATCCTTCTTTTGGCGGGCTTAGAAAGACGTTAGGTGTGTGGCTCGTCGAACCCTCCTAGTACGATTTGACCGCGGATAAAACCTCGGACACTATTACTGAGCCAACACTCCTCGCCATCCACTAGGTCAGTAGCTGCAATTGCCTCCTCAGTGCAGAATCCTTGTGCTAAAGCATATTGCCTCGTGGTACCCGCATTGCCACCGCTGGAAAGCGGCGGTGTAATCCAAGCCGGCTTTCCCTCCCCATCCGTCGTATCTCGTCGCCTGAAGTATGGTGTTGTAATGCTTCCTTCCATGATCTCACCCGCCGGATTTACCAGAAGAACTTCCGCAGGCTCTACAAAAGAAACTATTCCCGATCGAAGACGCGCAGCTGTGTAAAAGTCGCGAGTCGTAGTCTTGTGTGTGGTGAATGCAGAGGGGGATATGCGTTCGGAATCAATGTATACACGCCAGGCCGTAGACTGGAGGTCCGTTTCGAATGGAGTTAGAAAATTCAGCGGATTTATCGATGTCGTCGGGTTGACCTCAACCTCGCAAGTGCCCGTGCTATCGAGGAGTATTCGGAGGCGCCATGGCTTGGAAATATCCGGAATGAAGGTGTCCAGAAACTCGACGAACTGATTTGTGTCTTGTTTCAGAAAGGTGAGAGCATTTCCCCAGCTGAAACATGCCGCTGCATTTCGGAGGCGTTCTTGATGATAAGGGAGGAGATAATACGGTGTGGTTAATGGATCGGGTGAAGTTCTTGCCGCTGTCCGCTTGCCTATCGTTAAAAGTGCAGGATCGTAGCGTAAAGACGATATGATTTTGAAGTCCTGTGGCAGCAGATTCGAGGCCATTCTTTGCCGTCGCGGTATTTGCGACCGAGGGTAGGAGATGAGACACTTGTGAGTAGTAGTAGCTAGACAAAGCACCGAGCTGTTAGCAAGTACTGGCCGTGCTGTTGAACAACTCGGCACATTAGACGGTCGCACACTAGAAAAAAGGCGTTTGCGCAATTGGGAAGATCAATTTGTGCCAGCCTGAGCTTGGTGAGAGGGCCATGATCCAGCACAGGGAACGAGACATTGGTCCATTTGCCTTGGAATCACGGATGATGATGTTGTGGAGAAAGCAGGAGCTGACGGAGCCCATCCCCTTGCGGCGAGTGTGATTGGCCCAAAACAGCTCGGAAAGCCCGCTGCGTCGCCGGAACCTGAACATCGCAACGCATAACTTTTCAAGCCGCATCTCTCCTCGTTCTCTTCCAACCCCAAGACAAGTTGTTCGCCCTGCCGACAAGCACTTGCTCTGCACTCAGGACCGTCTGTGCTCCTCATCAATGTCCCCTCAGGCCCCTTCGCTGCCACGATGCTGACCGAGCTCGCTTGTAGATTATATAGGAAAAGCGATAAGAAGACGGGTTCCTCTGTCGGGTCATCATGTCAAGCCAGTCGCCATTGCCCCAGCCTACGAAGAACGTCGTTCTTGACACGACTTCTCTTCCCCCATCTTCATCAGCATCAGTTTGGGACCGCATCTCGAAATGGGTGTCGGAAAATAAGGCCCTTGTTTACACCATTGCCGGTGTTGCTGTGGTCGTGACGAGCGCGGGTGTCGTCTACTACCTCTCCGACTCGAGTCGGACTACCCCGGCCCCTCCCACAGAGAAGAAGAAGAGTAAGAACCAGAGAAGAAAGGAGAAAAAGAAGGCAGAAGAGGAGAAGAAGGCCAAGGCTGCCTCCGTTCAAGAGGGTATGTCGATGAGAACCACACTCTGCCTCTCCCGTCGACAAGCATCCGGTTCGGGCTGACGATCTCCTTAGAGCCTGCGGCGAAGAAGCCGGAGGAAGCCTCTGAAGAACTTCCAGAAGTTGACGAGGAATCCGTTGCACAGCTGTCGGAAGAGGTGAGTCATTGGTCTTTTACAATGGAAACACCCAGGCGCCGATACCGCAAATGCTAACACCCATTTCAAAGACAAGGAAGGCTTACGCAGCCAAGCTCAAGGCTGCTGGAAACAAGGCGTATGGCTCCAAGGACTACAACAAAGCCATTGAGCTCTACGGAAAGGCCATTCTCTGCAAGCCCGACCCAGTCTTCTACTCGAACCGTGCCGCCTGCTACAACGTTCTGTCGGAGTGGGAGAAGGTTGTCGAAGATACCAGTGCCGCTCTCGCCATGGACAGCGAGTACGTCAAAGCCCTGAACCGGAGAGCTATTGCATACGAACACCTGGAGAAGTTCAGCGAGGCTCTTCTTGACTTTACTGCCAGCTGCATCATTGACGGCTTCTCCAACGAGATCAGCCGTGTTGCTCTGGAAAGACTCCTGAAGAAGGTTGCTGAGAGGAAAGGAAAGGCCATTATTGAGGCGAAGGGCAAGAAGCTCCCTAGCCCGACCTTCGTTTCGAACTATCTCCAGAGCTTCCGCCCCCAGGCACTGCCCGAAGGCCTCGATGAGTCTGTGGATCTGAGCGAAGAATCTGGCAAGGGCCAACTCCGCAAGGGTCTGCTTGCAATGGCCCTGAAAACTGGTGATGGCTATGAGGAGGCTGCTTCTGCTTTTGAGAAGGCCCTGGAGCTCGGAGACTTGGGTGAATACGAAGCCCTTGCTCTTAACCTGAGAGCCACTTTCACCTATCTCGAGGGTAACGCCCAGGCCGCATTGTTGGATCTCAACAAGAGTGTTGAGTTGCAGCCGTCGTTGGTTCAGAGCTACATCAAGCGTGCCAGCTTGCACCTCGAGCTCGGTATGTCAAACGCCGTTCTTTATGGTAGATGCTTTGCTGACAAGTCGAAAAGGAAACAAGGACGCCGCTGCCGACGACTTCGAGCTCGCCATCACCCACAACAAGGATGACCCCGACATCTACTACCACCGCGCCCAGCTTCACTTCATTCTCGGAGAGTTCGCCGAGGCTGCTAAGGATTACCAGAAATCCATCGATCTCGACCGTACTTTCATCTACTCCCACATCCAACTTGGTGTTACGCAGTATAAGATGGGCTCCGTTGCGTCCGCTATGGCTACTTTCAGAAGATCCGTGAAGAACTTTGAAGAAGTGCCCGATGTCTACAACTACTACGGTGAACTTCTTCTCGACCAGCAGAACTTCTCGGAGGCGATTGAGAAGTTCGACAAGGCCGTGGAGATGGAGAAACAGAGCAAGCCTATGGGTATCAACGTTCTGCCCCTGATCAACAAGGCTCTTGCCTTGTTCCAGTGGAAGCACGATTTCCAGGAGGCTGAGAACCTCTGCCAGAAAGCCCTGATCAGTAAGTCTTGCGGTCCTTTGCTATAAAGTGGTGAGAGCTTGGAACACTAACCGGCTTGCAGTTGATCCTGAATGCGATATCGCCGTAGGAACGATGGCGCAGCTTCTGCTGCAGCAGGGCAAGGTCTCGCAGGCCCTCAAGTACTTTGAGCGTGCCGCTGAGCTTGCTCGTACCGAGGCGGAGATTATCAATGCCATCTCCTATGCTGAGGCCACCCGCACGCAGCTGGAGGTCCAGGAGAAGTACCCCCAGCTTGCTGCCCGTCTGCAAGGCATGGGTGCTGGCTTTGCCCCCCCTCCCTCTTTGTAAGATTGAGTCCTGATATATCTTCATTTACACCCGTCAAGACACCAAAAGACGTGTACGACCTAATCTCTTCTCCCTCATTCTCCTCTGTCTTGGAATTCCGGTGCTTGAAGCGTTGCAGGCTGTAGGTCATGCCTGGTCTGCTCAGGTAGGTGCATGGGCGCCTGAGCCATTCATCTCTCTGTGTATTTACTATAAGGACTTCTTCTTTTCGTTTTCTATGTCTCGTTTCATTTGACGTCTGGATCTTTTTTTTATTTTCATTTTGTGCTGATATACTGTTTTATCTCCTGCTGCGACTGTGTTTCCATTTTCTATTTGCGAGATGGTTTTTCTTTCCCCTCGCTGTTTGTCTTCAAGTTCTCTCCATTGGTTCTGGGCGAGGCCACACTGGGCTCTTTTGTCGAGGACGAAATGCAGGCATGATGAGGGAGGTCTGCGGACCGGAAGATACACATATTCTTTCTATCCGAGCATGTCGTTTTGAAGGGAGAAGGGCAAGAACGAGCGATGTATGTATGTACCATAGTATAGGGAAAGCCAAGTGTGGGATGATTAATTTCAAGTCAAGAAAGAGTAATGATGAGACGTGTCGAGTGATGGGAGTAATTGATGAGAGTGATAGTTCCCGCCAAGTCACTGGATCACCTTTTGAGTAACTGACTAGTTACTACTCCGTAGTAAGTAGTAACTCTAACAAGCCTTACTACTCCGTACTCCGTCCGACTAAGAAGTGCTGGTCCACCTGACGGGTATTTCCCCCCACCCACCCGCCTATCAGCACTCGCTATCTCGCCCGCATCGGCGTCATCCATCTTGTCCGAACATGTTATCGTTCGACTCATCTACTCCCTATCGGACACTCACTCTCCAACTTCTCTGTTGAGTGACACCCTTCCTACTTCTTTCTCCGTATTCCTTGTGAGTGAGATGAGACGCTGTCTCAGTTTTTCTTGAGGTGTGTTAAACTGCCCCATTCTCTTTTGTTTGTGAACCAAAATTGGTAGTAGGTACTGCCCCTTCATATCCCTTATCAAATACACTATGATTTACACCCTCGGCCTGATCGCCGTCAAGTCTTCCTGCAGGCAACTATTTGGGAACCGTCTAGGCTGCCTCTGACATTTACTGCTGGAACTAACACTTTGGTACCGTCTAAAAGCCAGTGACTTTTCTTCTACGTTTCCCGGGTGCCTGACAGCGACCGCCCATTGACCTCAGGCTGATCCCATCGGGTCGGTTGAATGCTCCTGCCCCTCCTACCCAAAGCTTCCTCGGGTTCCTCCGTTGGCCGCCTCGTCAGCCTGCTGTAAACACCTCATCACTTTCCTGCTCTTCCACTCTCGACTTTATCCTGGTTTTTCACCTACCTTTAAAGGCTACACTGAGATCCGTTTCCGCTCTCTGCCGTCTTGTCGGTTGACGTTGATGCTAAGTAGTAGGTAAGCGCCCAGGCAGCCTCTCAGGTCTCTGGCATCCAAACTTGACATTCGAGCGCCCGGGAGTTTGAGATATAAGACACTAATGCCTTGGTTCGATCCAGACTGCACGTCTTCACAACTGTCGCTCTATCTCTCTGCGCTGACGGCACCGCCACTTATCACCATGCCTGCCACACAGGGTAAGTGCCTGCTCTGCACTAGCCTATACGACACCGAAGCCAAATCGAACTAACACCTGTTCTTCGGGCAGCTATTGTGACTCTCCGCCCCTTGTCTATTTCCGATGATTTGCCATATCGTTCCCTAGAGTTCACTTCTACCAATAATCAAGTCAACATTGGTCGGGCGTCTAAGCGTCAATCCAAGAATCTAATCCCCGCCAGAAACAATGGATTATTTGAGTCTAGGGTCATGTCACGAAACCATGCCAAGCTATGGGTGTGCTTCGACAAGCAGGTACGTGGTTCATGTGGCTATCATCTCAGTTACAAGTAGTTGGGCTTCAGGCCAAACGTCGCTGAACGTTGTTTAGCTCGTCTATATTCGTGATGGTGGGTCGATGCATGGTACCTGGATAAATGGGAAGAAAATCCCCACAGAGGAGGACTCGGTCATCAATCATGATGACGTGGTCACCTTTGGCTCCACAGTGTATCGTGGCTCTGGTGAGTCTTGCCCGACTACTGAGAAAGGTACAGATGTTTTATTGACGTGTCATATAAGATACCTTCCCTCCACTAAAAGTTCGTTGTGAATTCGAATGGCCTGACCCTTTGTATGCCACATGTGTTCCACCGACTTTGAGCAGTGTTGACACCATGGACAGCCAGAGACCTGCGCTTGCAACCAATACCTTTTGTGTTCCTGACGATGATGACAGTGATGCAAAAGAAGATTCCGTTCCTATGGTGGTCGCATCCGGCAGTGCTTCCGAGATTGATAACTCTACCCCAGATTCAGATTCAGACGACCAATCTGTCATGGAGATATCGTCGCCTTTGACGTCTCCTCTGAAGGGGGACGACGCAAGGAATTCCCACGTGGGTGCCTGCTCCAACACAGATCGAGTGGGTAAACATGATGGCCAGGAAGGACCCCAACTGAGCCCTATAGATCTTGAGCATGGACAGCCTGAACAGCCTCTGGTAACCCCCCGAATGACCCCACCCTCCGTCATAGATCTCGTCGACGATCCGAGTAACACGGCTCATGATTTTGATGACTTCATTCAGGAGGCGGACAGTGCGTCTGCGATGAGTTCCTCTGACGACGAAGATTCCAGCTGGGGTGAAGATGACCGTGCTGGCTCGGACGACGATGACGATGACGAGGTGGATTCCCAGTCTTCGTTCAGATCGGAAGCAGAACAGTCCCATGAAGATGAGGAGTCTGTGAGATCGAGCAGCCTTCATGTCCTAGGTATTCGTGACTTGATAGCAACAGAGGCGAGCTTTACTGCGGAGGAAACACACACCCGCTTGCCATTGGGAAATAATACTTCTCAGCCCGATCGACTTGGGGAGGACATGGCCTGTGAAGCTGAGCCCTGTGAGCCGGAGTTGCTGGCCGTTAGGAATCCCACATCAGATCTGCGTTCTCAGAGCACTGGCCCTTCCAAAATAATGTCGACTGAAGCTCCACCACCGCCAATCTTATTGCAGCCGACTCTATCATTTTCTTACGGAAAGACAGTTGATCGTTCGGTACCGAGCTACCAGAATAGCCCCCCTATGATGCACATGGACTGGTGGAATCCACGAACCACTGCAAACACTTCGTACTCCCTCAATATTCCCCCAACTCCGCAAGTGCCTTATGCCGACGGACCTTTTGTCAACAACGAGTCGTTCCTGCTTGGTGAGACTGGTTCTGCTTGCAATCGTGGTGCTGATTCAGTCATTGCATCTATGGGTACCCCTGGGCTTATAAGTGAGGAAGCAGCTCCGAGCGACGGACAAGAAATCCAAGAGACACCCATGCCTGAGAAACAGCCAGATCCCACTCCAACACCATTGCCACAGATGCAAAGGTCCGAGACGGGATTGGATAGCGTTCAGACAAACAAGTCACTGAAGAGGAAGGCGGGGGATGTTGATGGCCCGTCTGGGAGCTCCGAACCATACGTTGCTACTGATCATCGAGACGGAGTTGACTCATCTATGGCAAGCGATAGCCAATCGTCTGACCAAGAGACTTGCTATCCAGATGCTCAGCCACAGATGCTAGCGGACCAACAGGAAATTCCATCCCAGTTGGCAGACTTGGACAGTGCGAAAGAGCTGCTGTCAGTTGACGACCCTATCGATGATGCTAGGATGACCGCACCTCCCACGAAGCGAGCAAAGACTTCTAGTGCGGGGAGGTTTGCCAGCCATGCTGCAACAGCTGCTTTGGGTGTAGCCATCGGTGCTTTTGGTACTATCGCTGCGTTGGCGTCGCTTCCCCCAGATTACTTTCAGTAAAGGACACAGGATTTGTCCCGGAATTGGTCACTCGCTTTGGAAACCATGCGCTTTTGCGATGAAACACGGTGCTGATGAACCACACCGAGTCGTGGTGCTATCGGCGTTCTCTTCTTATACCTTTCCGAATTGGGATATGGCGGGTGGTACTTCTTTGTCTCTTACTCTTCTTTCTTTCTTTCTTTCTTTTTTTTTTTTTTTTTTTCCCACTTTTCCTATGTTTGGTATTCGGGCGTGTTTTCTCGCTGTTTTCTTATCTTCCTGCTCTAATGGGCTTCTCAGAACTGAGGTACAACCGGCCAGCCCACAGAAACCTGGATGTAATTATTGTTCTAGCAAATATTACAGCCAGTTCTTCCGATGGCACACTAGTTGGTGTTGTTCCGGGGTGTATGAGACGGGCCAATGTAACCACGGCCGCAAGGCAGGCTCGTCTCGCTCTCATGATCGGTGGGCCGGCTTTTAGTTACGACCGGGGGTTCATCTTGGTTCTCTCTGCTGAGCAGAGCCTATCGGCATTGGCCGATTGGCCTACTGACTTGGTGACCGCCATGAAGTCGACCATGCCCACCACGTCGGCACCTCTATCAAGGCTTCTCGTTCGTTCGGTCCTTTCTCCCCCCCCTTCCTCTCTCTTTCCGCCTTTGCATATCCTTATTTATCCTGATCTGTCGTAGAGGAGCTGCCACCGCTTCTTCTTCCCCCACCTCCCCCCTTATAACCCACCATTGTCGGGGTCGTTGCGCACCCGGGGTAAGATTTCCCAACGAAGGGCATTAGTAGCTGATTCGAAGGTGTCTAACCGTTTCGGCCGGCCGGGTTGACGTATGCCACTTTCTCTTTTTCTTTCTTTCTTTCTTTTATTTTTTCTTCCCTCCTCCTAGCCTTGCTTTTCTCTGTACAACAAACGGTGCCTCTAGCAGCAGTTCCACTCCGTCAAGCGCGCGAGTCGCATCCGGTTTCCCTCAGTAGTGTCCCTGTCTCTGTCCCGTGCCCGTGGCCTTGCCTTGAGTTCCAAGGCGTAACTCCTTTCGCCTGGCCTGCTTTTCCTTTCTCTTTCCAGGGATCTCTATCCTGGCCAGCACTTTTCGCTGTGAGTCGGGCAGGTTAACAATAGCAACTAGAACGTGCCCTAATCAAATTCCAAGTTGGGCCCTCAGTCGCGCGCGTGATGCCTGCCGGATACTTGCAGCTCACCGACCATTGATCTCACTAGAGACCTGACTTCGCCCTCCTCCACTCTTACCTTACTTGTAAGCCACCCACCCTTGCAATTTTTTCCCTCCTTGCTCCTTTCTTTCCCCTTGTTCTCTCCGTTCCTTTATTCGGAAATCACTCCTGTTTCGCTGGTGGTGGGATCCACCCATGACCTAGACGGAAATGAACCACATGGATGGCATTGTCAAGCTTGTCAAACCCACACCTCTGATTTCTTAGACCTATTCCATCCCGGACTCGGGTTCTCTAACGATAGGTTTGGCTCCTTCAGTTTACCAGGACTCAAGTGGGCGTGCCGTGTTCTGTACCTGCGGCAGGAGCATCAAATTAAAGCAAGTTTTCCGCCATGAACTGCGTGAGTTCCAATCGCAGTTCGAATCCCATAATATGGACGGGGGTTCATATAACATGTGACCAATCCGCAGACATAGGCCACCCCAAGAATCCCCAGAATCTTCGCCCATTGGTCCACGCGAACAAATTTCCTTTGCCTTTTCATGAGGACAACGCAAGATTAATCCCCCCAAAGCCGAGCAATCACGCTACACTGCGGTTGCGATGGGATCCCCATGTCACCTTCCTTTCTCCCTTGAGTATAGAGGGTCGGATACCTGCAGAAATCAGGAATGAACCGCCATTCGCGAGGCACGGAAATTACGGCCTGCAAAATCACTATCTGATCATCCAGTAATCTGCTACTCTCATTAATTTCTTTTCTTTTTCCTTCTCTCGAGGGCGCTTGTCCGTGTGTCCTCGTGCCCCTGCGGTTTCATGGCTCCCGTCACACTGTACTCATTGTTCACAGGCCCGCATGAACAAAATTCCTCTCCCCCCACTCTTCTCTGGTTCTACTTGCTATTTCTTCTTTGACTTCGTCAGCCTCCTTCTGCTCTATTCTTCAGGGGACGAGAAGACAGCTTTTAGCGCATGGGCAGTGGCGCTGCCGCTAAATCGACCTAAACGCCGCACAACCGTTGCCCCATCGCTTACGGACACATTACATTGGGAAGCCCGAGGAGAATGTCGCCTAGAAAATAAGCTGATGCGTAGCTTACAGGGCCACGGAGTTAGGCAGAAATTGTCAAGTCTATCCGAAGCCTCTTCAAGTACCATAACATGATTGGGTGAACAGCCCGGCTGTGATGCAGCTTCGTGCATGAAACAACCTACGATCTATACCAGAATATAGGGAGAAGCCCACGGCGAACTCAAGGCATACCGTATTGGCGGACGCCGATGACTCTGTATGGCTGCGAGTTCAGTGTCACTACGTCCACAACACGTCGCTGGAACAGAATTCCGTGTTATCAGGATATGTTGCCAACCATGATCGTGTAGGTGCGTGTCGCACTGCGCCTATCCGTTATGGGAGGCCAGGGAAAGGCTTAAAGGGCCACGTCGCATTGGAAGCAGTTGACATGGGATGTTTGCCGAGCTTAGCGATTTTTGTTAGTCGTGTAACACAATCCTCCGTGGCTGCCATGCTTCTGGGTCTTGTATCCCGCCGTATAACATTTCCGGCTTCTGCTTGGTCACATACTCGAGCCTGGACTGACTTCGGTATTTTAGACTAAGCGCACCACGCAGCTGTAATCACCTGTTCGGTTTCCCAATCCATGATAATCGAGATCCATCATTCCCCGATACGCTTGGGCAAGCTGTGCATCTAGGCACCTGGTCTAGTTGGCAACGGCCGGCACAGCGCCCATAAACTGGACCCGGCCCTATGGATCAAGAGTGCAGGAAGGGCTCCACTGGGGCGCGGAGTCTTTCCTTGAAGGAATCTGAAGTGTTGACACACCCGACAGGCATATCCTGCATCTCCTCAGGCGGCCTGGGACTATCTCTGCGGCCCCTTCATGATCCTGGGGCAATACCGCACCGTCCGGCCTCATGCTATTGGTGCGGCATATCGAAAATAAAAACTCCTGGATGTGATTGAACCTTCGTGCCTTGAATTTTGTTCGGACGATGAAATCCCGACAGATAATTTGACGTTGCTGATACGAAGTGCACTTGACTCGAGAGCAGGTAGCACACATCGATGACCGAATGAGTCTTACAGGTTCCCGTCCCCCGCGAGCTTGCCCTTGGCACTAAGCAGGGAGCTGGCTGACTTGGCTGAAGCCATTAGCCATTGCTTTTTCTTTCTCAATACCTTCCTATACGGGAAGTCTTGCTGATTTCATGTCTCATCTTAATAACTGATAATCCCAGTGGCCCCTTTACAAATAGCGCGTTTGGTCATGAAAAATAGCATATTCGACTCTTGATTCCCTCTCTCTGTCCGATAAAGTACTACTCCTCTCCAGAAGTTCTGGACCAGTCTCTAAACATAGCCTTTTATTGGACTGCACATTACCACCTCGTCTTTGTTTCTGAATGAAGACATGTCTCACCAATCTGGGCTAATGTATCAACGAGACCCGGGGCATACCTCCTGCATTGGGGGACGGACAGTGGTAACATGCCGAAGCTGTGCGGGAAACGCACCGCGGTTAGTCGATACATCCAATGGCCTTTTATTTACTCCATTGCCAATGCTAATCGGAATCAGAAACTCTGTTTGCAGTAGCTGCAATGGCCGTGGGTTTAATGTGTTCATATGTCCTCATTGCCATCCAGCCGCTGCGGCGGCGGCGTTCAAGGGTTGTGTTGGATCATCACAAGGCACCACACCGAATTCTTCCGTCCCTGCCTCGCCGTCATCTCTGAGCAGGAGCTCGTCCACCTTGTCCTCTGATACCAGGCATATGGGGAACGAAAGGCGGTCGGGGGACAGCGATGAGAGCTCTTCAGGCGGACACATTGGAGCAGGGACTAATCCACCACGGACGGTATAAAGGATTCTTAGGGGACTTGGGCCAGGGGCGCTGGTCGCTGCTGTGCCCAGTGGGCTTTCGGGCATACTCATTCAGTTGCTTTATACGATGTGCTTATCGTACATTTCTTAACTTATGAGGGACTACAAGGGCGGGTGTGCTAAGACTCTCTTTTGGCGAACTGCAGGCGCATCAGGAAGTAGAGGGAAGCATGGTCTTCCATGCCGGAAACGTGTCGAGGATCTTTGATTTCACACCATGTCACGATGCCCCTATTCTCATCGCACTTCGTTTCGATGTACTTACTGTTATACGCCAGGTACCGATAGGGAAATGAAATGTCAGATGCTTGGATGGAGTGACGTCAGCTTCCGGGGTGAGTTTCCCCGAAGTCTCTCTCCAATTCTGGATTCCGAACTTCTGGTTTGCCTCGGATGCGAAGAAGTGCAAGGATCAATTTCATTTGCCCCCTAAACTCTCCTCTTTACTCCAAGGATCCCCTTTGGGCTTCTTCTCAGCCACCTACCCCCGGATATCCCGACCTCCGCTCCTCCACGGCATATCCGACAGCCGACAATGGAGGTCTGGAGTCCGGGGCAAGACACGAAGACGATCACTCCACCACCGGTTCCGAATGCTGTTCCGCCCAGAAACCTATATGTAGGAACCATGACTGCCCCTGAACTCAAAATCTGCTTGTTCTTTCCTTAGTCCTCATTAACACTTTGCTGTTCTCACAACATGGCCTTGTCTTTCACTGAAAAGCCCCCGCAGGGGAGGGTCCCTTATGCGATCCCGCAATTGGAGGGCGAACGCATCACAATCCCCGGCAGCAAAGGAGCCTTTCGCATTCTGGCTTCCTCCAAGCAGACCAATGGCCTCATGGCTGTCTTTCAGAGCGGAGCAGTCCTTTCAGACGCCCCAGGCTTTCACTATCACAACCACGCCCATGATGTCTTCCTGGTGACCAAGGGCTTCTTAAAACTATGGAATGGAGACAAATGTCGGATAATGGGGCCTGGAGATTTCGCCTATGTCCCTCCCGTATGTTGGAACCTGTTCGCTCTGCTGCATTCCCTGCCCTTCCTTTCTTCGCTCCCGGCTGACCCTCCAATGCCTACAATAGACTGTGGTTCATAACCCGGAATTGCTAGGACCACATACAGAGACCTACGGCGTCGTTACTCCCGGCGACTGGGTCGACTTCTTCCGCTACGTCTCCGAGCCCTACGAGGGGATCTTGGTTCCGGAGAACGACGAACGTGACCTCAAGGCGCTATTGATACCCAAAGTGATGGCTGCGAAGCAGGACTTTGACGTCGTGTTCCAGCCAAACTACCAACCTCCTGCACTTGGGGACTGGAGTGCGGACGAGGAGAAGCTCCCCGAGTCGCCACAACCATATTTCCTGCGTGCCAACACGGGTCCCAAATGGATGCTGGGAGGTGTCATGTCCCGACCGTTTATCACCACCCGTCAGAGTCAGGGTGTCTGCGCCATTTCCAGCATTGAATCCTCCAAAACATACGGCGAAACTCTACTCTCTAAATTCTTGACCTTTCAATCGGTGGATCATTGCTTATGTGTTCAGGAAGGGACGTTAACCGTGCAGCTGAAGGATGGCCCCGAGTCGACTTTCCGCGAAGGGGAAACGGTTGTGATTCCGGCTGGCCAGGCATTTGCTCTGAGATTTGCCAGTCGGTATGTGCGGGTCTGGTCATTTACCGATGGCGATGGAATTGAGACTTTGATCCATCGGTTAGGCACACAGTTCGAAGGCGCTGTCTTACCTGATCAAGTGCCGAACTGGAACCCGGCGGAAGTCGGGTCTGTGGCGTCAGAGTTGAATGTGACCATTGAACTGTAAGCGGGGGAGGAGGGGAGAAGAGGATGCATGCATGAACTTAGCGTGGCTTGAGCCCTTGTGACGACTATTTCTATTGGAACTGGAACTATTAGCGATACCTGTCTTGCTACCTTCTTTTGTATTAGTTAGCTTGCTTAGACAGTGGAAGGAATCGAATCCTTTTCGAATTAATGGATTTTCCTCTGCACCCCGCGGGGACCCCGCAGAGATTCCCACGTGACGTCCACGGTCGGAAATCCCGGCCGATTCTCAACTTCCAACTTCATCCTGGCGATTAACTTCGGCCTCTAACTACGATCTACTACGTTCTCTTATCTTCAATTTGCCCTCCACTCTTGTCCTCATAGTTCGCTCTGGATACACATCCCAGTCTTCCCTATGTCGTCGTCGTTCGTCTAGATGGATGATGGATGAGTCGCCCCCCATTCACACCGCGGGTGATGATTCTCTTCCCCCGCCGCGGGCCAAACGCCCTCGCGCTGCACAGGCATGCGACCGCTGCAGGGCCAAGAAGTACAAGTGCGACGAGCAGTATCCCTGCTCGCACTGTAAGAGTATGCCGTCTATCGCGATAAGCTGTCCCCTTCTTAACTAACCTCGTTCTAGAAAGTCAACTCAATTGCGTCTATCAGGGGAATTACCGCCAACGCGAAAGCAGCCGGTCTGCACGGTATGTATATTATCATTCATCAAAATCGTAGCTAGCTAGTTAGTATCTTGGAATTTGCTGACACATCAGGCAGATATGTTGCTGATCTAGAGCGCAAAGTAGACGAGCTGACGGCTCGACTAAGGTCGGCAGAGGCGGACACTACATCTCAGCATTCCTCACGGTCCCAGAAGGTAGTAGTACAACCAAGCTCGGGGGTCAAACAAGCTCCTCCCCCTCCTCCTCCCGTAGGCGTTGAGGCGACCCCATTGTCGCTGCCTCGCGCTGCATCCACGCCGAGGGAAGAAGCGCCTTTCATTTACGAACACCACGAGGAGGCTGGGGAGTCGGTAGGGGATGAAATCAGCGAACTGAACCATCACACCAACGGTATCGAGTTTCACGGCAGCACTTCATCTGCAGCTCTCCTAGGACATCTCCAGAAGGCCCGGGAACCGCAACGGTCCTTGGAGCGACGGGACGCACGTTTTGAGGATCCGGGGTATTCAATTGTCTCCACGCTGCATAATTCGAGCTTTTCACCCTCGGGCACAGGCTCCGCCCAGCCCTTGACATTACGGGAACAGAACTATTACTTTGAGCAGGCTCATGCTTTTATCAACGGCTATTTTGAAAATATCCATTTCATCCACCCTCTCATTGATAAGGAGGACTTTTTGTTACGCGCGCACAGTCTCTGGTTCAACCGTGGCGTTCAGCCGGAGCCCAGTTTTGTCGCTTTGTATCTGAGTATCCTGTCGTTTGGGGCCCTGGTCCGGGTTTGGGATGAGGACAGGCTGGGTGGACTGACTCGGTTCGAATGGAGTAGAAAGCTGTTTGGAGAAGCCCAGATGTACCTCAACTACCTGCAATTCTCCAATACTTTGGATACGGTGCAGTGTTTATACCTAATGGTATGAAATTTACTCTTCCTGGGCGAAATACGGGCTAACTTTGTCTAGGCTAAAATTTGCCAGAACGAACTGAACCCAAACCGTAAGTAAATCACATCGCTACTTGCTTTTCGACTGATAATCCAACATGTTTAGTGGCATACATGTACCTGGGACTGGCTATCCGCACATGTCTGGCTGCTGGATTCAATCGTGAAGTGCGCAGTTCGACAGAGCAACGCTCGGAGTGGATTTCAAAGACGTGGTGGTGAGTTCGTGCCTTTCTCGGATAGATCTTACGCTAACTCTAGCAGGGGACTGTTCTCTTTGGAAATGTAAGTCTTGCTGGAAATGGGGCTCAGTCATGATCCTAACCATACCAGTGAAATGAGCTTTTCAGTAGGCCGTCCGGATACTCTAGGCATGGATGAATACCACAACCGAGCGCTACCTGAACGGGACGACTCCGAGTACGCTGTCATCCCATGGATGGTGGATTTTGCATACATTATCCGCAAGGTTTCTGTGCAGATATATCATTCGCGCATTACGTTACAAGAGAAGCTGCATCTCGCACTCCAAATCGAAAACGAGCTCGACCGGTGGATGGCGAGACTGCCGGACAGGATCAAACCCGACATTGTTCAGCGCGCAACAGGAGGGGCATTGAGGGATCCCAAATGGGCACGGAGACAACGCTTAGTGCTCGGTATTCGTAAGGGCCCTTCCCTGTACCTCATATTCGGTTTCACGCATAGCCACTAATCTTTTCCCGATCAGGCTACTACAATGTGAAGATGCTCCTCTTCCGACCATTCCTCAGTTACTTCACACGCAAATTACGACATACGCCTATGGAACTGGAAGAAACGATTGCCAAATGTCTCGACGCAGCAATGAAAACCATCCAAGTCATTTACGATATCTACCGAATCCACACATTCTTCCGCTGCTGGTATGCTTGTCCTGCCCTTATCTATGCCCTCCTTTTCTTACCCCGGTTAACCTAAAATCAGGTGGTACAACACCACATATGTCATGTTCGCTACATCCACCCTCCTCCTCCCCATGTCCAAACTAGGCATGTGCGCCGAAACCATCCCGCTTCGCCGCTCCGTCGAAATGGCCGTCGAGATCCTCGAAGCAATGGATGAATCTGTGGTGGCGCGTAAATCTGTTGAGATTATTAAACACTATCTGCGAGAATTCCGGCCCATCGACGTCCAAACCGCTACCACACCATCTAGTAGCAATGACGGGACCAAAATTGCCGACTTCACTGCTGACCCAGAAGCTGCTGCTGCTGCTGCATCTGCTTCGGGTACTTCTCAGACAGGGTTTGATATTCCGGTATGTTCAACCTTTCGTCTCATTTCCTGTACAAGAAGGTAAGAGAAGTTGCTGATATTTGGAGCATAGGAATGGGCATATGGCTTCGGGTTCCCGGATTGTTCCTTTGAAGGGATCGCTAGGCTGTTTGATGATTTGGGAGGTTTGCCGATGTTGGATGGGTGATTATGTATTACTAAAATATTTTACCATTTTGTTTATGCGATTCAATTGGTGGGTATTGGGGATCTTGGAGGGTTGTATAGTGGATCTGTCTTGTATATAGCTACTTGGTGGAACTCATAGATAATTTCATACTCTATTCAGTATTCTCTTGGCTATATCAGATGTTAGACCGGTGATAAACCAATTGTACTAGCCGGCTAAGAGCGTTCAGTCCAGGTGAGAAGACCAAAGACGGATATTGAGCTTTCTTCATTATTCTGCTCTACCCAACCAAGAGAATCAACATATTATTAAGAAACCCACTTGATACTGTACTTATACCCAACTAGAACACCGTTCTATAAATGCGAAGTAATCCCTCTCTTACTACTACTGCCATTAAACAATCCCGGATTCTGCTCCACCACATTCTCCACCTCCTTGATAGCATCATATCCATATAACCATGGCTGGACTTCAGGACACGTCCTACACCTCACCACATTAGCCTCTCATAACTCTCCAAATACCCCCTATCCTCGAATAAAAGCAGCAGTAAAAGTAATATACGTACCACCGACTCGGAAAAGCCCCCTTTAGCTCCTTCCCCAACTGAGAAAGGAATATGTGATCTCGTTTCTCTTGTTCGGGGCCGTCGTGCATGTGGAAATCGTTTCTCTTTTTGATTTGATTCCCTGGTTAGTATATCATCTGGAAAGGTGGAAGGTATCAAGATATGGGTGACTAACCTGCTTGAACGTCTCCCTTACGATAGCCTCACCTCGGGACTTGCGTAGCTTCTCGTATATACGGAGGATAGCGGGGAGATCAGATTTGTGTTTCATGTGGCCGAGGAGGCCTCCGAGGACGGCGCCGTCTTCGAGGGACGAGTTGGCCCCTTGCGCGAGGTAGGGGAGCATTGGGTGGCAAGCGTCGCCGCTGGAGGTTTGGTTAGTTGGTGGGTTGGTTTGGGGTGAAGGGGGATGTAAATATACATGAAGACGAGGTTGGATTTGTCGTTGATCCACGATTCCATTTCGGCGTCTGAGTCGAGCTTATTAGTTGATGAAAGGAGGATTGGGTTGCGGGTAGTAGTGGTGGTGGTGCATGCACTTACGATGCATGAGTTTCCATTTGTCAACGCCGTTCACGTAGCCCAGAAAGCGGGTTAAGCTGTACTATGTCAGTTTCTTCGGGCTTTCGATGTGTGCAATATGCAAGAGAGATCAAGCGTACACTGGATCCCAACCCACGAATAAACGCATCATTTCCTCCAGCGAGCCAGTCTGTCGTGATACACCTGGGGGTAGATCATCCGGCACCAAGAGTACAATATTCATCATCTTTCCCCCGCGCAGGGAATATCCTACTGCATGTGCGCCAGGTCCAATCCAGAAATGTACCGTTGGATTCTCAACCCAAGCCTTCAGGTCCGGGTCTGAGATCTGGTCCGCTGTCAGGACAATCCGATACGCCAGGTCTCCCGTGGGAATGGGGTCGTCTTTTCTCCCACAGTAGCATTCTCGACAGCGAGACCAGAGTCCGTCTGCGGCGACTATTAGGTCCCCGGAAACAGTCCTGCCCTTGAGGGTGGTGACTGTAGTCGTGTCGAAATCAATTGTGTTGACTCTCTCGTCGAGGTGGAAGGTCACGCCGAGCTCCTTGGCTCGCGCGTATAATGCTTGCTGCAGGTCTACGCGGTGCAAGTCGATAAACGGTGCGGAGTACTTGGAGCGGATATTCCGATCAAAGGATTCTTCATGGGCAAGGACTTCGCCTGTGTAGCGGTGCACTGTTAGGGAAGTGGGCTCTGCAGCGTCAGTCCATAGCTTCTCAGGAAGTTTCCAGTGTGAGAACAGGCGGGAAGCATTAGGAGTGATCTGGAGACCGGCGCCGACTTCTGCCAACTCTTTCGCTTGCTCGAGAACTGTAACAGTGTGGCCGGACATGGCGCAGGAAATGGCGGTGGCGAGGCCACTGAGGCCTGCACCAACGACAATGATGTCAAGGTGTGAGTCGTGATGGCTCTGCCTGCTGGTTTAGTAAATACCTTCATCACCTCCCCCCTCCCAAAGTTATTAAGGTACGGCTCAGGGATAGAACACACCATTGTGGATCCTTCACTTCTCCCGAGAACACTGTTAAAGATGCCCATGTTGGCAGAGGCTTCTGAGATAACAATGGCAGAGCGGAATGGCAAGTAAGGGGAACAATCGCGATGTTTTTAGCTCTTTAAATCCACGTCGACACGCTTTGCCGCCGGAGCTTTACTTATCCGCAATCACAAGTCGTCAATTGGTTCAGATAGGAGAGAGTCGATGAGCTCAAACTGGGGCTGATTTGTAGGATTTGCCCCGGTGTCCCCGGCTTTCCCGAGTGTCGGGATATCCGGGGGGGTGATGCAACGGTTCGAGTGGCTGGCGCTCATTCCCCATCATCATTCTGAGCAATTGCGGGGGATCCGGGGTCTAGTGCCTTGGCTGGCACGGCAATGGAAACGAAGATAGGAAAATAGCGAACGGAAATTCCGTGGAGGACATGATATGAAGTTACTGCAGAATGAGAAAGCGAGAAGCCCCCACAAAGTCAAGAATGGCAGAGCAGGTGACTCCGTCACGTGGGGCCTTTGCTTTTCTCCCTGCTGGATTTGTTGTGCTTCTTCCTCAACACTGTGTTCGGAATTGTCAACCATGGTTCACTCCATGGACCATCGACATAGCCAATTCAATGCTCGTGGTTGATGTCGTCTGCGAAGTGGATCGACTAAAGCAGGCAGAAACATCCGAAACCATATATATTTTTCCAGACAGCTGTAAAGCGGCCAAGGATTTTCGGGGGATAAGGTCACTAAATTAAAAATGCTGACAGAGTAAGTCTAACGATCAGATTCGCTGTTGGGAATCTCAATCAATGGGTATGTTTGAGTTACCAGAATTTCCGGAGGCTAGACTTATCTGACAACCAGAGTTATAGATGATCTCAGACAGCTTCCCCAAAGTCGGGAACGCTCTAAGCACGGTCCATGCTTGACTTGATTCGTCAAAGTAAGCTCTCCCAGCACTGAATACTACTAAGCACGACCTTCCCCGCTTACCAGGCACCAGTATCCCACGTGTACAGATTTTGAAAGGCCCTGATAGGAGCACATCAAGACAAAGCTCTTTATTATTCCTCGAATACACAGAGCCCAAGGTGCTGGCATCGAGAAGAACCCACGCAGGGGGGAGGCGCACAGTCTATACGGTCAACACGCAGGGACACGAGCACGCCGTACAGGTGCTTCGACCAATCCCCGAGACGCCGTTAATATAGCGGTCGCCGTAACAGGCTCTCCTATTGAACAGCATGGGCCTCTGGATGCGACACTATCCGGTAGCTTTACGCCACTAGTGTACTATATCCCACTCTTCCTATCACAATTCTTCCACAGCGCAGGATGACAGGTGGTCCCGATCATTCGGGGAACCCGAGGGCCACATCCCGGGATGGAGTGGCGTTCCAACTCCAGTCACTACCTTATTCAAGGAGATTCCGGACGTTTTAGCCCATGTGATGATGGCATGGATTGTGTGGGGTAAACCTGGAGTAGGACTGGCAACTACCGAACTGCCGATATATGAACCGCTTCATGTCTAGATATATAGGACTTGGCATCGTATGATCTTTCTTCTGTCCCTTGCGACAGTTGGACACTGAGTGGCCCGACAACTCCCCAATACTGCTACTAGTACTAGTACTTCGATCATAGTACAAGATGGCATCCCAAATAGATCCTAGGGTGTGTCACACCCCTTTTCACACTCTCTCCCTTCTTATTTCATCGAATCAAAAAATAGATTAGAAACAAGCGCTGACCATCTGCCCTATGTCTTCCTATCTGGGATTTACAGCTCTATCCCCGCAGAGTCCGATATGCAGCTCTACTTACTGTCAATGTCTTCGTCTTCATGGGCAATATGTACTCGGTATCATACCCACTATCTACTCCGGTTGTTTGTCCCAGCACACACTCACACGCATGTTCCACAATAGTCAGGGATAGCGACCGGCTTCGACAACCTTGCGGCCGATCTCCATGTCGGATACCAGAAACTCGCTGACTTAGTCTCTTGGTCCGTCTTGTCTATGGGTCTAGCAAACCTGGTCTGGATGCCGCTGGCACTATGCTTCGGAAAGCGCCCGGTTGTACTCGTGTCCATGGCTATGTTTGTCGCTGGGATAATCTGGACAGTCGTCGCGAAGGACTACAATAGCTTGATGGGAGCTAGGGTTTTTGCTAGTTTTGGTATACTACCCACCATTCCTGATTTTTTTCTTCATCCAATGGACGGGTCTATGCTAACATCTGCAGGCTATGGATCGATCGAGTCACTGGGCCCTAGTATTCTTGCTGGTTCGTATTCCGTCGTCTAAGATACATATGATGCGAAACGACCAGGCCCACTAACAAGCCTAGACATGTTCTACGAACGCAACTACTCCAGTGCAATGGCAATTTACGCTCTCTTCCTCTCGGCCGGCTCCCAAGTCGGTCCCCTCATCGCTGGTTACCTGGTGGCTGCCCGTGGCTGGCGCTGGTTCTTCATCCTGTGTCTCATTGTTGCTGCAGTCAATCTCGTGACAACCTTCTTCTTTCTCCCAGAGACGCTATACGAGCGTGGACCCGAGGAGCAATTGGATGTTGACGATGAAGAGAAGGCCGAGGCCTATCAAAGCCACATCGAATCCGTACCCGAAGTCAACGCCTGGCGGCGCCAGCAGCAACAAGAACAATTTTCCTACGGAGGGTATTGGAAGAGCTTGTTCAAAGTCGGTCTATCAGATGCAGCAAAGGAGAATGGTGTCTTCAAGCATCTGGCTCAGCTGTTCTGGCTGCCACTGCCCATGCTTCTAGTCCCGGGAGTCTTAATAGCTGCGATGATGTATGGTGTTGTGTTAGGAGGGTAGGTTCCCCTTCCCTGCTCAATTATCTCATGGAACAAGCACTCTGACCCTTGTATGCCTACAGAGTGGTCTCTATATCCACCCTTTCTGCCAACATCTTCTCCCCTCCGCCATATAGTTTTTCCTCTGCTGCCCTCGGCCTCTGGACACTTGGCAGCTTCGTCGGTATTCTTGTCGTGTGGCCGATCGCGGGCCCTTTGACCGACGCTCTCTCTAGCTATCTCCGAAAACGCAACAACGGCGTCCACAAGCCTGAGCATCGGGTCCCGGCCCTCATTATCCCGTTCGTCATTACCCCACTCGGTCTGGTTATCTTTGGATACACGGTCTCCCGCCACATGCAGTATGTGATACCAGCAGTAGGCTCGGCCATGTCCGCAGCAGGGTTGACGCTAGTCCCTTCGGTGATGTTGTCATATGTCGTTGACTCATACCCGCACACCAGTGGCGAGGCGCTAGTGTTGGTGAACACTAGCAAGAACGTGGTTGCTTTCGGGTTGAGCAAGGGATCAGTGAGCTGGATGACCACTCAAGGGGTTGATAAGATGTTCTATGAGTTCGCCGCTGTGCAATGGGCGGTCCTCGCTTTGGGATTGCCACTATATTTCTTCGGGCCGTGGATCAGGAAGAGAACTTCCAAGTACTTCTAACGATGACCAGTCTCTGTATATACAAACTCTATTAAGTATTCTTATTTCCATCAATCAATGATATTGTCGAGCCAAGGTGGCTATTTGTTGAATTGTTTCCGCCATTGGACGAGACACGCTCCAGCGCGATGTGAGAGTTTGAAGACTGATCTGGAGAAAGTTCATTTCGTTGAGCAGATGGACTTTGGTCCCGTCAGTATCTTGTTGTCGGAGGTACTGATCAATGTCATGCCCCTCACGCCAAATGTCATGCCATGGTGTATCTAATCCAACGTGGATCGTCTCTTCGCGGGCTAAACACCACCCACCCATCACAACTGCCGACGCAAATATAGCAGCCGGGATATGAGGCGCATGAGCTAACCTGAACGGAATCTGACTGACGATTCGAGTAATAGCAAAAGCATGTAGAACTGCCCTCACAGCACCAGCACTTCTAGCCCACTGGTTCAGATCAAATGACAGTTGATCTTCTTTGGTAGCCATTCCTCCAAGGGGCTGCCGTAAACCATATGCGTGGCATATCCTTTGACATAGGGAAGCAGAGGAAACTGCTAGTTCAAGACAAATGGTGTGCCAGCGGAGGGTGAGTTGAAGATTGCTGTCATGGATGGCTGCTCCCTTACTGATATTTGTGTCGTAGATATTCAACAACGCTTGGATGATTTGCCTTTCTGAAATTGCGCCAAATACCGGTCCGTTGGTTTCGTGGAGGTCGGATATGAGGGACTGCAGACCCTCTATGGTGACAAGGGTTGAGAAGATTGAGAGACGTGGTGGGGAGAAATTCGGGGATTCTGGTGAGAAGAAGGAGACAAAGACTTCGCTGAAGGGACATTGAGTTAGACTTGACCTTTCCATTTCGACGATCCAGTCGTCTGCGGTCTTTGCGAGGAAGGCTGAGTCAGGGCATGCGGTTCTGATGGAATTTATCAGGTGACGAGTGCTGGCCGGGGAACCGGAAGCTTGTGAGATGAGGCCGTCGAGTATATAGTGGCCTAGGATTGCGCGTCGTTTGGTTTCAATGGCCGCCCATGTCAACCATGCTGCGTGCTTTGTCGAGGCTGGAGCATCTCGTCCTGGAATATCGTATTGTTGCATACCTTCGGCGGCATACATGCCAGATGTGCGCGCCCAGTAGAAGCCAAGTCCATGCCATACAAATGCTGTCGTTCGTATGCCTTCATTGCTCGATAGTAGGGCAAATAGCTGCCCCAAAAGCGCCGTCATGACCAATTGGACCCCATCGCAGGCATCTCGCGGCCCCCGCAGGCTACTAAGTGTTTGCCAGGAGGTTGCTACCGCGGTATGGCCCAGGCGCCAGAGCATCTCTCCTTTTTGAGATGAGTCTGGCTGGCATACAAAGAGAGAACCGAGGGCTACCATGTTTAGCAGAAGCGGTGGGATGGTTTCACGTGTTGAAAATGTCGGTTCGTGTATGACCGGAAAGCATGGGGAAAGCCACTCGAAGAATTGCTGCAAGCATGCGTCGAGGAAGGCGGATGTAATTCCGGAGCTATGCAATTCCGTGTTCAGACGTTTCGACAGATCTTCTATCAATCTATAACTTTGCTGCATGGCTATCTTTCCAGGTTCTTGTTGAGAAGCTCCCGGGTACTGAGCGGATAGGAGGTTGGGGCCATTGGATATCTGCGGATGCGGTTGATTTAGAGGGTCTGTAAATGGTAGCGGGATGGCCGGTGGGCCCCAAAAGTCAGGCATAAACCAGTCCAGTAAGTTGTCGGAGCTGAGCAGTTGCTGGTTCCCGGACAATGGAGATTGCTCGAAGGAAGACATGCCCAGAAGACTCAGTGCAGATTCTTTGGGACTGGGTAAATTGCCCTCATTTGCGCCGCCTACTGATGGTGCTGCATCTGAGGGGGCATTTGCTCGAGAACGGGCATGGAGCCTCTTGTGTCGGCCAAGGACGTCACCTCGTCCAAAGCTTCTGCCACATTCGTCACATTGAAATGGCCTGGTATTGCTATCTATGGAGTCTGAGATTCATGCAATAATGGATGTCACTGGAACAACCTACGAGTTCGCTCATGTCTCTGGGCCTTGTTAACAAGGGTGCTCTGGCAAAGGACAAAGTTGCAAAACGTACTGAAAGGTGCTCATATTTGGTATATGACCTATTGCATTGCTTGCACTTGAACTTCTTGGCGCGATCCATCAACCTCAGGTCATTTACGCAATAGCCAGCAGGGTACAATGGGTTAATTGGTCTTTGCGGGGAAAGAAAAGAAATGTGGAGGACGGAACTGTTCGGATGCGGAGACAAGTTGCTCTAATATTTAGCGTGACCGCCTTGCGCGTCAGATGGAAGCAATTGGACATATGCTGTCAAGGAAGGGAATCATGTGCAATATATTATGAATAAACGTTGATCGGTATGATGCTTAGCTACCAGCTTTAATAGATGCATCTCGTAAAAACAGTGGTGCATAGCTGGAGAATCAAGGAAACGCCGAATGCTGCCTATTATATGCTCCGAAATACCCATACAACGCCATCAGAATCTAGAAATAACTCGCTGAGACCTCAGCTGGCAACCGCAAGCTGGGCCACCAAATCCGATGCCACGTCAAGGAACGGATAGGGACTAGTAACCTCTTTCTCCTTGTTCCAGAACCGCTTGCTGATGGGATGCCAATCGGCATCCCCTTCGCCGCGGATCACATTCTGATATCCGTCGCACTTGAAATCGACCATGTAATTGTTCTCTTCAAGCTGGTACAGTTGGATGTCGACGAACACCCATACTCCATAAGAGATGCGCGAGATGGAATGATGCTGCGTCGCAGATGAAGGACCCGACATGCTCGCATGCTCCGGGGTTAAATTCCTGTCATCCAAAGAAGCCGGCGCACTTGAGAGGTTCACGCGGCGGCGAAGTTCCTCTAGATCACTCCGACTGCTGTGGACGCTGGTCGACGGGCCTGGAGCTCTGACGCCTTCTTTCAAAAGGCGGGCTCGTATGAACCACGGTTCTTTCGGGATGTAGTAGTCAGATGGTAGGTCAGGATACTTGCTCTGCAGCGGTGGCGGCTGTCCTGCGTCGGCTGGCTTGACTCCGATCTGCAATCCGTCTGAACGAGAAAGACATTAATCAACTGAATCGAGGAGTAGATCTAAAATGGACTCACCTGCACCAGCTGGCTGGATTTCCCATATCCCGCCTTGTGCTTCAATCGCCTTGTAAAGGTAGAGCATTGCCTCGTAAGGCTGATTGCGCGAACGAATGCCAAATTGCCATTTGCGAGACTTCTTGGGTTGATGTGGGGCACTCCGACCTTCAGGCGGCTCCAAACGCAACTTCTCAAGGTCTATAATACTACGAGAATGCGGCTTCAGAGCCCTTGCGGTCGCCTCTTGCTCCTCCGGGGAGCGGCCACCACGGCGCGAGTCCCCTTCAGATTCTGGTCCACGTTGTGCTTGCTCATCCGATAACCGATCGGCGGCCTGGTTTCTTTGCTCGCGTTCGCGTTCGCGTTCGCGCTCGCGTTGTTCCATGAGTTGGTCGTGAACATAAGGTAAACTCGTCGGTAGAATTCGAACATGGCTCACGCGAGGTGCGTTTAAATCGTCGGAGTCGCTCTGCTGAGGTGGTTGATAGGTTTGGCGCTGCGAACCACTTCGTATCCTGGTTGGAGGACCAGGTGGGGTTCCCGGAGCAGGAACAGGAGTTGCTCGTCCAGTCGTTGCAGTAGGCTTAGGTATCCTATCGGGAGGCGGCGAGGGTGTCACTGGGGGTACCAACATATTATCGTCCGTTGGCGCTGGAGAGTGTCAGCACGCTTCAACATGAGACAAAGACAACGGCAAAGACGAGATCCCATAGAAATAGGTCTCTTGTAGTACTCACAATTTGTCTGCATCATCTCATTCTCCATGATGATGAAGAAAGCATCCTTAATGGCGCTAGGTTCCGGGTTCTTGAGCGCATCCTCGATATCGTCGCGAGCATAACCCATACTTCTCTCCAGCTTGGAAATGGCTACTTGATGGATTTTGTGCTGCACTGACAGGGGCTTTCCCGGAACCAGCTTGCGTGGATCAATGGCCTTGTTTGGATCCACCCCTGTAGCAATGAATTCTTCGGGCGGCGGCTGTAGGTATTTGGGTAGGTCTTGAAGGAACCAGGGGTCTTGGCGGATCTCAGGGATAGTCAGTCTATGAACAGGATGTACCTGCAGCATTGACCTAATTAACCGAGCAGCTCCGGGGGATATATAGCCAGGCATATGAAAGTTGCCCGCGGCGATTTTCTTGAAAAGGGCCGGTATATAGTCGTCGTCGAATGGAAGTCTTCCTACCAACAGCACGTAGAGAATGACACCACAGCTCCATACATCTACCTCCGGCCCCGCATATAGCTTCCCGGAGATAACCTCTGGCGCTGCATAATTGGGACTTCCGCAGCTGGTTTTGAGAAAGTTTCCGTCCGTCATAATGTTGCTCAGACCAAAATCTGCAATTTTCACATTCTTCTCGCTATCGATCAGAAGATTCTCCGGTTTGAGGTCACGATGTACGATTTTATGGCGATGGCAGTACTCGACAGCACATATGATCTGCTGGAAGAACTTGCGGGCTTCAGCATCATTACAGCGACCCCTCTTGACTAGATAATCAAAAAGTTCCCGTTCGGCATATTCCAACACCATGACGATGTCGGTTTTGGTGGCAATGACGGTGTACCTGTCAGAAAAGCAGCTAGTTAGCTATTGTTTCAGATCTCAGATCGGATTCTGTCTGCCATTACAGCATGAGGCAGGGAATAGTACAATTTGATGATGTGAGGGTGCCGCAGCAGTTGGAGGTATTGAATCTCACGTTCAACACGGCCAACCATGTCACGAGACAGCAGTTTGCGACGGGAGATGATCTTAAGAGCGACCTGGCGGCCACTGGGCTGATGAATGGCCAATTTCACCTTGCCAAAGGAACCCTCCCCCAATATCTTCACCGTCTGGTACTGGTCGAGGCGCTGCATGTCCCGGGTGGTTGCTGGTGACTGCATCGGAGGCTCGCCGCCCTTTCCGATCGGGCGGGATGGCGGAGGCATCGCCATGGCGGGAATGTTGGAATTGGAAGGAGGCTCAGTCCCGGCGGTACGGTCACGAGAGCGATCGGAATTGTTGAGGGGTGGGAGTGAGACAGAGAGGTCCTCGTCGTCGAAAGCAGCGGCCATCCTGACGGAGACTGGAGGTTGACGGCCGACGTCGGTTCGGCAAGGACGGGGAGGACAACGTGACGTGATGGATTTTGGCCGGAGGGGTGGTCCCGCGCTTGGGCAGATTGCCTTTTTTTTCAACTCCCTCTTATTTTTCTCTCCCTCCCCTTTTTTTTCGCCCTGATGGTAGCTCTAGACTGATTCGTGGAATTTGGGTCGACACCTCACTAGCCTGGGTTCGACAAACCCAATAAAAATATGATCAAAAGGGCGGGCTGTGGATAGAGGATCGGGTCTCCCCCACAACCGGTCAGGTTTGCTGGAAGGGCTGGAAGTGGAGCGCTTGGAGAAGAATCGGTCTGGTCGACACCGACAACCATCAACCAACGCACCAGCTAGCGGGGCGGACGGAGGGGCGGAGAGGTTGTGAGGAGAGCGGGAGGGGGGGGTTGGGTAACCGTGGTTACGAGGTGATGGGGATCTCGATGCTGCTGCTGTCGTTATTCTTGAAGCTCAGTAGATAGATAGCAGAGCGGACTATTGGACATACCTCGCTAGTGTGTAACCTCTATTATTATTGGAGAGGGGGAGATGATCCCGCACAAAATGGACTCTAGCTTCAACGGTGGTAGGAAGAATGCTGACAATGGGGAAGGGACAGATGAATGGAGAGGGAAAAACGGGGCGGATTTAGGCTAGATGGAAAGGAGCTGCGACTAATCCTTTTAGCAGGTTAGCACAGACACTCTGTCCTGCTGATGGTTGGCTCGTGTCTGGGTTTGACCGGGACATTGGATTGGTCTAAGATGAAGCAACTAGTAGTAACTGATGTACCAAGATAAACATCCTTTTGACGTTTGTAATGGTTTTTCTCTTGGGTTTTCTATGCCGTCGGCGATAATATATCGACCTGAATGAATTCCTCAGACTGCTCACATGGATTTTACCCCCTTAAAGGATAGAATAATCAATATACTACTGGTTAGTCGAAAGTCTCACGTAGGCGATAAATGATTGTCGTCTTTCTGAGCTACTACTAGCAAGTGTAGCCAGTTTATCATCATGCAGATACCAAGCACACATGGACTAATCGTAATGAAAGTTCGTCCTCCCTAGGATGCTATGTGCCAGAGAACATGACCCCTTCAACACAAGGCAATTACTTGACTAGAACATGCACAGAAAATTCAGATACGTCACAGGCCTATTATTGAGCATCATCAAGAAATGACTCGTGAACAATTGCACAAATCAGTCCGCTATTTGTAGTGCAACCGAGAATCTCAGGCTTATGCGAAACCCTAGAATATTCGCCGTCAAAACGGCATAAACTGCACTCATACACTGTCTTTAGCATTTGTTCAAGTTTGAGACAAGAACTATAGCGCTTTAATATAAAATGTTGTGTGGCATTCCCGTGGGATTTATCAAGTGAATTCGTGACGCATGTTTGCTGCAGGCAATGCGTCTGGCTATTCGGGCTTGGCAGCCGCATGTCATGTGGTGGGGAAGCTCTTCCGATCGATTCAAACTATCGTCCACCATCAGCTACGTCTGGCTTTCGCGCTGTGACTGGTGCTGTTGCCGCTCTCGCTTGGTCTGTTTGATTTTTTTGTTGGGCGCTTCTACTTTATTTGGATATTACAAGGGCGTCCTGATATAGCCAGTGGGATTGAGACGCGGAGGCTCCGACATGGCCTCCGAACCAACGGAGGAAGCTATTGCGAACTTCGTGAGCTTCACCAGCTCGACACGCGAACAAGCAATAAGCTTTCTTAAGGTGAGCTTGGATGCACTTTAGGATCATCGCAGTCCAACTGACTGGATCGAACTGCAGGCGAATAACTTAAACTCGAACCAAGCCATTAATGCCTACTTTGAAGACCCCACGGGCCCTCAGACGCAGGTGACGTCCTGAAACTGCGCACGGTTTGTTGGGAGCAGCGACTGATTGTCAAACATGTGACGATATAGAACATTGGATACCAAAATGATCCCGCTGGTCCTGGTATGATCGTCTCCTTTCGTTATAGTGACTTGAATTTGATTTGGTACTGACAGATGTGCCTTGAAGCGTTCCAGATTGAACACGCCGACCCGGCCCCCGGATCCTCCATCACCGCTCCTTCACGCCCGCCATCAACCCTAAACTCGAGTGAACACGCATCTGGCGCTGAATACCAGCATAGCGCCCCTGTACCAACACAGGCTGCTAATGGTGAGGGCATACTGAGGAGCTGCCTGATTTCCTGCTAGGCTAACCCCGCTTTAAGCAGACGCCAACAAGGGCTTATCCTTGGCCGAGCAAGAGGAACGGGAACTACAACAGGCTATGGCTATGTCTTTGAATCAGAATCTCGGGCAGCAAGAGACAGGTGTCACAACGAATGAAGCGAAGTTTGGTCGAGCCACTCGTGATCATTATGACGAAGGTGCCTGGGCAATGACGCTGTTTAATTCTACTTCTCGTGAAATCATAATAAGCCCCGACCCAGCTGATCGGAAGAGGAAGAGCGGTGAACCGGCTTTCATACGTCCATCCCATGACGGCATGTACCTGGGTGGACTATTGACAATCCTTCATTCGATCCCTCTGGCGAGAGAAGCTCTTCTGCTCAGGAATCGACTTCTCGGGGACTATGGAAAAGATTCACAGTGGTGGAACGGCCAATCCATAACTCTTCCTAAGATTGTCACTATCGATGACGCGCAGGACGGTGATACTGAGTGGGATGATATTATATACGAAGTGCAGCGAGTGGCAGCATTTTTGGATACCACCGATCGCGCCTTTGGCAGTGCCGATGCATTAGCTAACCTTAAAAGCATGTCCAGTTACGACTCGGAAGGCAGCGCGGCTAGATTTTTGGAATCATGGCAAGAAGCTGCGGTCCGGGCGGACCCAGACAATCAATTGGCGACCATATTCTCGTCAACTGCATATAAGCGACCTCTATCAATTTATGACACACCATTGGATAAAGAGTTCTTCCTCCTAGATTCCTTCGTGGAGCAAGAACATGGCCAGACTCTTTATGATGTTATCGATCACACCATGTGGTCCGATAGGCCGGGCGAAGATCTTGACGACGTATGGCTAGAACACATCGCAGAGGTCTTTACAATCAAGCTGGAAGGCGCTAGTAAACCCGTTGATGTGAAGATCCCTGCAGTTTTCTATCCTGATCGGTATCTTGCAGCCAACCGAGATCTCGCGCGGGAGTTCCGTGCGCAAAGGCTCCAGATCTACGAGAAAATATTCAGACTAGAGGGATTGATAAATCGCTTTTCAACATCTAAATCAGCCGTTCACAAAGGAATGACCTCTAGAGAGACACTGGAAAGGGCTGCTGCTGCCGTCTCCTCGACACTCCCCAAGAGCTTGTCCAATGAAACGACTGCTTTTACTCCAGAGTCAGCCAATACAGAGGCACAGAGGGTGACTGATGAGCTGAAAGCGATATCCTGTAAAATAGAAGCCAAGCTCAAAGGTATTATCCCGGAGACCCGTATGATTGCCACTGAACGCTAACTAGTCCCTGAAATAGAGCTGGAGACTAAGAAGCAGGATGCTATGGAAAGCCTACGGGGCTATTCTAAAATCCTTACTGAAGCATCTTCTTCCGGCGAATTACCACATCATAAGTACACACTGCGGGGCGTGTGTACTGAGCCACATGTGACTTATGTCCTAAAGCGCCGTGCGTCTGAAGGCTCCACTAATGGATGCGCCACCTCAACCGAGGATGAGTACCAATGGTGGCGGATCAGCTTTTCGACTGACGATGCGAAGAATCGCCAGGCCGGGACAAACTCAGAAGGCGACGCAGCTCTGCACAACTCCGACGTCATAGGGTACACCGCACGCAAGGTCAGGGAAATTGAGGTCCTTCGAGCGGCCCGCGAAGAATCAAAGAATGTTTTGCTTGTCTACGCCAATAACAATGCAATGAATGTGCCGGAAGAACCAGCTCCTAGTCAACTTCAGGTGAGGCAGCGCCTACTAAATGGTGGCAAGAGCGGTTGGAACTAACGGCAGTACTTTTAGAAATTTGTGCATATGGACAATCAAGCATTTGAGGCCGAATGTCAGGAAGCAGATAGTACTAGGACCCAATCTGGCCGCCAGAACCGTGCATTGAGTGCTTCTGTCAGTCCTCAAGAGACATAGCGGAAACTCAAGACATTATGTGCTGACGAATGAGCAGGAACCGCTCAACCAACAGGAAGATCGTGCGACGCCAAATGTGAATGTGTTTGACTACCAGGTTCCATCATTTGACGAGGGATTGGGTCGGGGACAGGAAATGGAGGAAAGAGGTGGACGCCCTCTGCTCAGCCGGAGTAGCACAGCTGGACCTGTGCAACCTTCGCAGAATGCCGACGCGATGTGGGACCAAGTCGACGACAAGGCGACATGACACCCAGGGCTGAAGTCCCAAGTTGATCCGTAATTACTGTCATTTAGACTAGATACCTAGGCGTCCCGCAATCTAAATCTAGAACTTGGCACAATAAAATTTAGCGCTTGGAATTTCTTTCCAAATGAGAAGCAACTTAAGGCTGAGCGACGGATTAGGATCAACAGGGTTCTGTTTTACCATTGTTTGGGACTAAATAATGGCTCCCCACGTGCCGTTTGTTAATGTTGTATGTCACGTTTGCATTGTCCATCCCGACGCCGCCGTCTCCCCTTACCATCGCGATTCGAGAACCGTTGGTTCAAGCAACATTGTCCGAACAGGGAAACCCCTCCAGCAACCTACACAATGACCCTCGAAAACGACGCGGTCGCTGGTGCCACCATTGAGCTCCTCGAGACCCGTCTCCGGCGCCTCACATACCTCTTGACCGGCGATGCAAACTGGACTGGCAATCCCACGCCGCCCGCAAAGCCCGCATCTCTGGACGACAGCGTCTCGCGCCGTCTTCTTCGCCTAGAGAGGGACCTGGAAAAGCTGAGCAGAAACATCCCCGCCGTCCGGGACGTTCTCAGTCTTCGTATGCTGACCTTCTTAATGTACGGGTTGATCAATAGCTAAACTGTTTTCGTCCAGACGACCGCTTCCCCGACCTCTTCCGCCAAACACCTTCCAAATCACTCCCTGAAAGTCTATCGACGCAAAATCTCGCCTCGATTGTCTTATCCTACGCTTCCGCATTCCCCGAAACCGCGTCTCGACTTACTTCATTGAATGACCTCCCCATCCCGAATGCCGAGACTTCGGCGTCGCTTATCCAGCTCCAACCACGACTTGACCAGTTGGCGCAGACTCAGGATGACCAGGCCAAACAAATCTCCGAGCTACGTGTACGGTCTGCTCGAGTCTTGCAGCGATGGTATGAAGTGGCGCTGGTTAGTGGCGGTGAATGCTGGGCCGAATGGGAAGGAAGACTTGAGGATGTGGAAAGGGAGGTCAAACGGGAGGAAGTGGTGAGGGAGCGGCGAGCGAAGGAGCTGTGAAGATGAGGCAGTTGCTTTTTCTTTTGGATCCCTCTTCCTTTCAGCGTGCTTGGCTTGTGATATGATATGATACCTCTTTGTTTGTTCTGGTCATGATTAAAGGTGGACGTTGCAGGTGAGAATGGGGTGTAGTAAGTAATCTTTTCTTCTATGTAGACGAACGGGCCCTTCATCCATTGAGAGACATAGTCTTGTGTGGCAATGATTACTTAGTGGACGAAAAGGTCGTTGAAAATCATCAGTCCTTTCTTTTCTTTCTTTTGGCTGGATATGAAACAGACCGACCGGCCTTTGGTCTTGCTCCCTTCGGGATCGAACAAAGAGCGGCAGCCGGGTTGCAGTATACCGACGCACGGAGAGGATCTGGACTCCCGGCAGAACTGATCGACCACGCCGGAACCCGAAGGGAAGAATGGGCATACCTATCTGGTCGCAGTGATCCGTGTGTACTCCATAGCTAGTGGGGTATTTACAATACCTGCTGAAAGTAAAGGTACCTGCTCATTTCGAGGACACAAGTCACCTTACCTTACGGAGTACATACATTGTACATATTGGAGACGAAGACCCACGGGGAAGAGTCCCGACCGGGTACTTTTGTTTTTCTCGTGATGTCGACCCTTGCATGAGAAGCATGAACAGGCGTTGTGATTGTGATTGTGATGCGAAGAAGAGCCCGTGTGAAATATCCTTTGTTTGGCCCTACTTGAAACTCCTCCATGTATATATTGAGTAATGCTTGGACAGAGAAGGGAGAGCGCACAAGGAAAAGAACTCGTGATCAGGTGTGTGTGATACGAGGTAAAATCACTGCCATATTGATAATAGGCGGAACCATGGATCTATCTACTCGTAATTCTTACTCTGTCGGGCACAGCCAGTTGTCTCACCTGCTTACTGTATGGATACTGTGTGTACACTAGGTGGTTGTGATGGGCTGGCTGGTCAGCAACAGACCGATAGGGGTATCTGCAGGTCTAAGCCTTGCAGTGTGAGACGATTTGTGGTGGATGATGATAGAACAACCATCAAACCCGGGACCTTTGCATTTGTGGTGATGACACCACTCCCACAGAACTAGTTGTGTGGTGAGTAATGCATTCTATGCTTGAATTAAACCAGTATTGTTGCAGTTAAACCTGTGTTCCATACGAGTCATGTTATCCCAAATAACCCAACTGATATCTACCGAATTGGAAAAGCACTGTTATTATCGATTTCCAGGATCACCTGGGCGTAAGCAGCAGCAACATGATTAGGAGGGGATGGAATCGTGGCAGTCAATATAAGGCTTAGAAGAGGGTTTCCAGACGGAGCCGTTGGTTGCTTACTACAAGACTGTTGGAATTCTCCTCATTGAGCCATGTTGTACGGAGTACATCGCTACCAATGGATCTCGGCTATGTATTTGGACTACTCACTATCTACGTAGTAATTTCCCAGGTCTCAGCGACCAAACCAACTTGCTCAATGCGGTGGAAAACCCACAGGCCATTGACGCCGCCACGAGAGCCACAACTCAGCCTCAGCCTTTCCAGGGGCCAGAATGGACGAAGAGAATCCACCGCCGGCACTAGAAGAGGGGCGACGAGGCCCTCCGGGAAATCGACTAATCAAACAACAATCATAGCCGGAGTTTGCGTGTCGTGCCGCCTCAAAGCGGGTTAGGCCGGACCCAGTTTTCATAGGAAAATGCATCGATCTCATTATTTTCTCCCGGGGGAAAAGCAAGAGACACTGACACTAGTAACCGAAATGGTAGTGAGAGGGGAAATGGGAGGCCCGTGGAATCAACTCAATTTTCTTTTGGTCTTATTTTCTGCCGGGATGATATATTGAATTGAAATTATATGATTTGACGTGCACATGTGCAATTAAAATAATCATGGTTATTGTAAGTCGAGGCTGTGGGAGGCTTTCCAAAATTCCAATTGAAAGGGACGAGGACGACATACGTACTAAAGCTGAGCTTAAGTATCCTTTCATTTAAATGTATTCACCCAATGTAACAATGCGACCGTATGTAAGATGAATTAATTAGTTAGTTAACGTTACCTACAGGACAATAGTCATCCTTCACAGCCCGGTTCTTCCCTCCTTCTCTGGAACAACGTCCGACGCGGAGAGAATTCATCACACCCCATTATTATTAGTTACTATAAGAATAGTAACGGCAGAGAAAGCACCCTAGTTCCCGCTTTGATAGCTGTTAGGCTAAGTATCTATGTACTGAGTACTGACTAGGTAGACAGAATAATCGTACTACTAGATAGTTAGATGCCAAACTGCCATACGTCGCAGGCCACGCACTAAACCCAGGGGGGGCCCCCCAAAAGACAGTGTCTTTCTGTGGTTCGCGTGGGCCACTCGGGCCAGGCACCGTCGCTCTGAAACTCGATCCCATTTGTTTTCCCTTTCCCCTTCCACCCAAATGTCCCCATTCCCATCCACATCCATCCATCTCCTTTTCCCGGCCTCGAACCTGGAACTAAGTAGGCCTCGCTCACGGCTCCAGTTCTGGGCTTCGCCTTTCTCTCCATCTCCAGCCGTTCCCATTCCTCTCTTTCTCTCATCTTCCTTCTCCTCTATCCGGTCGGCTTGTCTACCCCATCGACTTTTTCCTTCCTTTTCCCACTCATTTCACTCGTTCACCCCCTCCTTCCCCCATCTTCTCTACTATCACTCCATCTCTCCTTTCGTTTCTTTCCCTCCTTTCCCCTCTTTTTCTCCTCCGTCTCCCGCTTCTTCTGATTCATTTCCTCACTCTTTCCATCCGCCTCTTTTCGACACTAACGTTTCATCATTATTCGTCCTTCTCCAGCCTGGTGCTGCTGTTTCTCTTCGTGTCTCTGCAAGGGGCATTCCGTGGGCTTGTCCGAACACCAAATTAGCCAACCTCTCCGAGCACTTGTTCCTCGATCCCTCCTTCGATTGCTCCGCCGGTTTGAGACGATCGGTGCCACTGCTGCTCTACCTCCCCTTTCGCCAGCCCTCAACCATTCCACATTCATTTTAACCTGTCTGTCTCAGAAGTATGTGATGCGTCGATCCTTGTTCCTGTTACTCTAAATCTTATTTCGAAATTTGGTCGCACCCATCGCTTTACCTTTCTGTCCTATTCCCTGCATGAGGCTCCTTGGGGTCGCGTTGTTGTCGTTCCTCACGATGTCCTCCGTGCGCCGTCGATCGACTTGCATGTTCCTTGATCTTACACGTTCGCCCACCTGAGCACCTGGCTAATTGCTCTGTAGTCGGACACCTTCTTCTACCTTGGCCGGATCTCACGCTCATTGCCACACTCGACGGGTTTCCAATTCTCAGATCACATCCGCCAATACATCGTCATCGACTCGAGAATTAAAAGCACAGAAGGGCCTTCTCTGCTACCATCCGTATACTCCACCGGGACCTTGGAAGTCATCGTCGCATCGCGTCCTGAACAGCATCCTCCCATCGCGGACGCTTCCATATAACATTTCGCGATCTCGTTCGAACCACATTCATGGTGGCTTACTCTTCGCGTTCCCCCTCCTTCCAGAAGCCATATACCTACCCTGAGCCTCCACGAAAAATGGCGCGCTTCAGAGCCAGCAATATTCTGGGCGACCCCTTTGCGCTCGCAAGCACGTCCATCTCCATTGTATGTCTTCAATTCGTCCTCGTGCGGTGGTTAGGATCCGCTGCTAATCACCTTTTCTTCGTTTAGTTGGCTTGGTTGATCGCATTTATCTCCTCCATTGTCACTGGCGTACATGGCGGATATCCCACCTATTCATGGTGGGCTGTTGCTTACTCATTTTGCTGCATTGTCGGCATGGCGCTTGTCTTCGGCACCGATACTGGTGCCGTCTATAACATAGCGGTATGTTACCATCCCTCCTGAATCAATCTTTTGACAACCCTTCGTACTGATTTATGGCAGATCGTGGGGTATCTTTCCGCTGGTCTTGTTATCACAACAATCTCCATCAACACGTTAGTCTATGCAAACAGCGCCGCATCGCAGGCTGCCGGTGCTGGGTTCATTCTTTTGGCTATGGTTATTGTAAGTGATAACCAGCTCCGACACACATACCCACTAGGCAGTACGTGACTTACCATTAATGCAGATCATTTGGATTTTCTACTTCGGATCTAGCCCTCAGGCTTCGCATCGCGGCTTCATCGATTCATTTGCCCTCCAGAAGGAAGGTGCTGGCTCGTACGGAAATGGCAGACCTATGTCAACTGCATTCGGCAATCGACCCGAGACGACATCCAGCCAGCCCCCGCAGATGTACACGTCCGCTCAACTCAACGGCTTCGAGACCTCTTCGCCCGTGTCGGGTTATCCCGGAGGAGCCCCCGGCTCCGAACACCGCAGCTCCTCGCAGCCCCGCTTCGGCAACCCGTCCGCTACGAATCTGCCCAACAATGGCGCACCAGATGAAGTCCCCCAGCCCACGGAATATCCGTACCGTGCGAAGGCGATCTATTCGTATGAGGCCAACCCTGAAGATGCCAATGAGATCAGTTTCACCAAGCATGAGATCTTGGAGGTGTCCGATGTGAGCGGTAGATGGTGGCAGGCCAGGAAGGCCACCGGAGAGACAGGTATTGCTCCATCCAACTACCTGATCTTGCTGTGATCGATGCAGAGCAACCCACGGTGTCACGTCCTTTCCTTCCTTCTGTCTTTTTTGGTCTGTCATGGTTCTCGCCGTTTTGTTGCGAGAGAAAAATCAGTTTTTGATACCCTTCGAGTAGTATCACTCGGCGTGATTCTGGTTTGCGAAGTCATGTTATGTTTTGATGGCCCTGCGTATTCTCTTGGTTTGTTTTGTCGTTCACTAGAGGCATTTTTCTTCGTTTATAGTGCGTGTTGGCATACTTGAATTGTGTGTGTTCCCCGACTCCTTAAGCGGGAATTTGTATTGCTGATATGTTATGTATGGCCTCCGGATCTGTTTTGATCATGTCCAGAAGCATCTCATCCTTGACGGTTATATCTCTTTCGTGTTACTATTGGAAATGAGTCCGTGTTCAAATGCTATGCTATCTTCTCACCTCTTGACTGTTCCTGGGAATGAACGATACGTCGCACGAGTCAGATTAGACAGGTCGTATGAGTCCTACTGCATTGGAATGGTAGCGAGATATATATTAGAATCAAGTAAACTTCTTCTGACGGATCCCATTCCGCGACCACGTGTGTCGAAAAGTCGATTACCCCGCGGGCCAACATGAGGAGTCAGAAAGGCCGACGCTGCATCCAAGTCCAGTCTCGCAGTTCCCGCATCGTGGAGCGACCCATCCAGATGGTGTGAGTTCCTTGGGATTCATCCACCCGTTCCCGATACTCCGCCCGAGCCCAGTCCCCATCTAGACTTTCTCCCCAAATTCTCCTCTGGTTTACCCGTCTCGTCCTAGTTTCAGTGCTTCTTGCTTCTCCATCTGCTCCCGCCTTGTCCAATGATGTGCCCCTTTTCCATCCCCTCCGCCGTCAGGCCCATCGGACGTCTTTACCCAGCACTGACGGCGGAACTGCACCGGACACTTGTCCAAGCTTTATTTCGCTCAGGCTTTGCTTGATAAGTCTGCAGAGAGAGGCGGTAACCACGTTGGTGATTCTTAAATAAACCATTCTGCAGGACACCCGTGCCTTTGAATTTTTTACTTTTTTTGTATAGTATATATATATATATATATCAATATCCTAGAAGTCGCCATACTTCCGTGATTGCACATACCATACACCGATATCAGTCTTTATTTGTTATGCGTTGCGCAGTCCCCAACCACCCCCCGTGTTATGGCTCCTATTACTGCTAGGAGCGACAGTGATGACGGCAATATCACAGTCGCCTCCTATGTCCTCGGCACGATTGGCACCGTCCTCTGGTGCATCCAGCTAATACCCCAGATCTGGTATAATTGGCGACAGAAAAAAACCGATGGGTTTCCGCCTTTGATGATGCTTCTGTGGGCTTCTTGTGCGTTTTCGGAGACCTGCTTGTTCTTTCTTGTACTTTCGTGATTGCAATAGCATGCATGGTATGGAAGGTTGACGCAATGAGTTGTTGCTTTATCGAACAGGTGCCGTACCAATGGGCGCTTATATGATCTTGCAAGTGAGTAGCACGTTTCTTGGTGATCCCACTGAATTGATTTGAGGGATCTGATAAGGGTGCTCGCAGGAAGTCAATTTACCGCTTCAGATTCAGCCGCAGATTTTTGGCTTCTTTTCGCTGGTGAGCTGGGGGCAGATATTATACTATAATCAGTATGTATTTCTAGTTGTTGCTATTGTCGAGAGGAGGGGGTTTGAATGGGGGGAAGTTAATGTCTCTTGTGCGTGATGATAGTAATTATACATGTCTCAAGACAACGTCATTAGTTGTGGCTACGGCGGTGTTGTTCGGTGGGATTGAGACGTTGTTGGTTCTTACTTTGAGGGTTTGTTCCTTTACTTCCTGTGGTTCGAATTGTGGGCTAATTTTCTCGGTGTTCAGATACCATATAATAAGGGTGTGACCTGGCCGGACCTGGTGGTTGGTGTTGTTGCGGCAATTTTACTAGCATCTGGGCTTTTGCCGCCGTATTATGAGTTGTGGAAGAGAGATGGCCGTGTAATTGGGTTCAGTGAGTTTTCAGTTGTGTGTTATCGGGATTGATGCATTGCTGATGGTCCGTAGATTGGGTGTTCTTGTCCATTGATACCCTGGGAGGACTTTTCTCGCTATTCGCTCTAGGTTCGCTTGCACGGGCATGGGATCTTCTTATTATCATGTGAGGTCTGACGATAATTTGTAGCTGCCCAGGGATCATTCGATATACTTGGAGGCATCATGTACATACTCGTGTAAGTGGGACGCATTGACGAGCTTTCAGCGACGTTCAAAGTTGTGGACTGGCTGACCCGGGTGAGTGGCATCAATAGGGTCGTCCTCGAGGCAGGAATCTATGCAAGCCATATCATCTGGCGGATTCGGTACCGCGCAGTCCGCAAGGAAGCCAGGGCATCTGGCAAAAGTATCGATGAAGTGCTGGAGGAGCAAAATAGGGTCCAAACGAACCAGGAAACCAAGAAGGATGGGATCATTTCTCATCACCGTGGGAACAGCAGCCATGTGCAGCAGCAGCAACAGCAGCAACAGCAACAGCAACAGCAATCGGGGCCGAAAGTAACGCAAACCATTTCGGAGGCAAATGCTGCCGGTGCCTGAAATCCGTGGCAGCGGAATGTGGCAGGTGGCAGGCGTTGCGGGTGCATCTGCCATTCGCCGATTTACTCCTACTATAAAGTACTACAGATCTGAAATCGCATCTCGACCCGAGGACCCGCCCAACGGTCCGAACGATGCGAGGCAACTATTGAATAAGAAAGCAAATGGATAGATAGTCATGCATCGAGACCCATTCTGGGCCTGAAACGCAGCGAGAATGTTGCGGACAGGCCGCTGGACAGATGCATGCGCGCAGTGGCAGCTGGACGGTGCTAAGGGATCTTAGTTTGACTCTGGATGTCGCTAGTCATGCAATTGGACGCGGACAACAAAACTTGCGCCTGCCGTCGGGTTGTGTTGGAATTAGACTCAGGTTTTTAGGATTTGAGCTGAGATTTATGGACACTTATTTAATGGCGAGGGAAGCCCGGTGCTCCTACGGGTCCAAGCGTGGGAAAAAATACCGAGCTTTTTTTGGATTCTATTCCGGGTTCCCCTGACTTGTAAGTCGAACTGGATGGAGTAAAGGTGGTGGTGGATGATGATAATCCATCATTCTGATTCTGTCTCGGGTGTAGTAGTCCATTGTCATCGCCATTATCATCATCTATTATCATTTTCATTATTATCCTCCTTTTATTTGACTGTTCAGCGCATCCCCCCCCCAAATCCCAGTCTAGCCTCTTCTCTTCCCCCCCCCCTCCTCTCTCCTCTCTCTGGACCAAATCTCCAGCTATTTCTCTCCATCTTTACGACTGTCGCTATACTATTTCTGTATTGCACAACAGCACAGTCCCTCCTCCCTCCTCGCCCTCCTTCTTTTTATCCATCTTTTTTTTTTTCTTTTCTTTTTCTATTATTCAATCTTCCCCCATCCATCCGGCTGCGTCTCTGCCGTCGTTCATTTTTTAGTTTACTTTTTTAGTCTCGCCCCCCTCCCTCTTTTCGATAGTGTATCTACTTACCATCTTCCTTCTTCCCCATTTACTCCATACTTAGTACTGCTCTTTTGAATCGAGCCATGCCGAGTGGCCCGTTGCTTGCTGCACATTTCCCCCGTCTCTCCTTCATGCTTGGATGCCATTTGGACCGGCGGAGGGTTCACTGACCTTCCCGCGTATCTTTCCTTTCCAACAATCTTTCATTTATTTTTGGGGGTGTATCATCTTTTGCTTTTGCTTATTTCTCGTTCTCTTTTCTTTTTGGGCTTCTACCTCGTCAGCTGGTCCCGTTTTCTTTTCTCTTTTCTCTTTTCTGCATTTACGGTAGTAAAGGAGGAGAAATAGAAGAACAAGGACCATTGACTTGTCACACGGGGATTCAAGGGACAAATTGATGCAGTTGCACGATGCCAGACCGTCGCTGGGCCAAGCTCAAGGCAAAGCTGTTATTGCGACGATCGTCGTCGACCTCGTCCGCTCCCGCCGCCACCAGCGACATTATTGCCGAGAACAATCCCCATGATGTCCACGCCCAGCAAAGCTGCGCCCCCGAACAATTGGACGAGTCGATCGCGAATTTTCCCCCAGCGCGACCCATCAGTTCCAATCGGCGCGCGATATCATTGCAGGCCGTGCCCCAAGCCTTGAAGCTGAGGAAGGAGGAGGACGAGGAGGAGGAGGAGAGGCAGGAAGAGGACGATCGGGCGAGTGCAGCTGAAGGGACGCGGACATCGGTGATTGGCCCGAAAGGCGGGCGGTCGAGGGGATCATTGGAGGAGGAAGAGAAGTTCGAGAAGTTGGAGAACTGCAACTTCAAATCGAAATCCTCCTCTCGCCCCGAACCGGTCGCAGAACAACGTGAGGGACAACGGCACTCGCTCCTCGTTCCTCCAGGTGCCGGTGCCGGTGCTGGTCCCAGTGCTTCCCGCCAGCGTCAGCATCAGCAATTGGACGCGACAACTTCTTGCGATCGTGTTCGCCCCGCGCCCTGCAGGCGTCACAGTCACGGTCCCTTTTCCGAGCACGTCCTTTCCCCACCCCCGACAACTCTATCGCCAGATCTGCTCCCTTCGCCTTCTCCGACCCCTCCTCCCCCTGTCTCTGATCGTGGTGTTGTCTCGCCGTCTTTCCAATTTGGCCACACTCAAGGCCTTGATCGCCTGGGGCCTACGGTCGGGGAGCCGCAGTTGCCCGTGTTGGATGTCGTTGCGGAGAATCCGACGGTCGAACCAGAATTTCAGTCCTCCTCCAACCATACCCCCGCTGCTTCCTTCCCAAAGCGTCCCAGTTTAGGCTCCCGTCGTCAGTCGCTGCTGGCCCCGTCTCATCAACACCTGATCAACAGCTTGTTGGACCCCGGTGTGACTGCAGAGCCTGAAACCAACGGTAACGGTCGCTCCGCCACCTACAGCACAGGCATGTCTCGCAAGATCTGGGTCAAGCGGCCAGGCGGGTCGGCCACCTTGGTCCCCATCTCGCTCGATTCTTTGGTGGACGAGCTACGGGACCAGGTGATTTTGAAGTACTCGAACTCGCTTGGCAGAACCTTCGATGCCCCCGATATTGTCATTCGCATTACTCCGCGAGATGGTTCGAACAGGCAGGCCACTCCCGATCGGATGCTTAGCCCCGAAGAGCCGCTGGCAAGCGTGGTGGACACATATTACCCGGGAGGTCAAGCTATCGAGGAGGCTCTAATAATCGATATCCCTTCGCGTCGCACTCCCAAACCCTCTCCACGCCATTCAGTATACTACAACCACCATCATTCCGAACCGGGCGAGCATGGCGAGTACTTCCCGCTCATGCCGGCGAATCCCAGCGTTCCCACGCCGCCGACGCATCCGTCAAACTCGTCTGCCAGTGTTAATGCTCATCCCGCCCCATCAATATCGATCCTGACGACAGGAATGGCCCCTCCGCTACCATCTCCAGGGAGTCGCGGGACTCGACATCCCCGTCGGCCGCCCTTGACTCGTCATGCCACAAACTCACCCACCATCCTCAATCAGGCGCCAACAGCGAAAGGTTGGTCAACTCTCATCTTAATGAGCTGCAAGACGTAAGATTCCTTTGCTAAGAAGCTTGCTAACTTTGAGGAGACCCCGGAATCGTCCCCAGTAGTATCCCTCCGCAGCCTGCTCCGTCCATCCCTACTCCGCCAGGCCCGCCGCCAGAATCCCCTCAGGCCAAATCCCTGACTCCTCCAGCACGCGGGGCATCACCGCGTCCACGTCCCTCCACATCCTCCGCGAAGCCGAAGAAGACCAGCGCAGCACAATCATTGAGCGGGGTCTTTGGAGGCCTCATCGAGGGCACGGTACCGCCCATCAACGTCTTGATCGTGGAGGACAATAACATCAACCAACGTCTCTTGGAAGCTTTTATGAAACGTCTCAGCGTTCGCTGGAAGTGTGCGGCCAATGGTGAAGAGGCGGTGAACAAATGGCGCCAGGGTGGTTTCCATCTCGTCTTGATGGATATCCAGTTGCCCGTCATGAACGGTCTGGATGCGACGAAAGAGATCCGCAGGCTCGAACGCCTGAACGGCGTCGGTGTGTTTCCCAAGACCGCTGACGGGCGGTCGAGCGCTGCAACTGCCAATGCGGCATCGCCCTCGGCAATTGTGGGCAGTCGGGAACCCCTGAAGGCAGAGGATACATTACACGATCTGTCTCTGTTCAAAAGTCCCGTTATTATTGTAGCCCTGACCGCGAGCAGTCTGCAGAGCGATCGTCACGAGGCTCTGGCAGCTGGCTGCAACGACTTTTTGACCAAGGTATGCATATATTCTCTCGGACTATTGTTCATTACCGGAACTTCTATCATACCATGCTAACGAATTGCGAAGCCGGTTCGCTTTGAATGGCTGGAGCAGAAAGTGACAGAATGGGGCTGCATGCAAGCCTTGATCGATTTTGAAGGCTGGCGCAAATGGCGCGGTTACGCCGATGACACTCAGCCTTCGCCCACGTCTGATGGTCATACGAGTCCCATGCAAACTGGCGGGGACGGAACTTCGCGGAAACAGTCTCCTGTTATTCCGCTCTCACCATCCTCTACCTTGAGTCAAGGAGCCACCAAAAAGGACCGCAAAACCCCCAGCTTCCCTAAACCCATCGACGTTACACCCGAAGACTCTTCCGGCAGTGGTAGCGGCGAGGGCTTGGACTCACCTGCCAGTCCGGTGACATCAGTCCCTGTTCCAGATGGGCCTGCAGATCCTGATGCACTCTGATTGATCCCCGTGCTATACAAGTTACTACCTAATGTGGATAAACTCACAATAACCAATTGTCAGACTCTTGCATGCGTGTGATTGAGCATATCACATGCATGTTTGGTCTGTTATTCCTCTCGCCCCCTGTCTTTTCATCTCATCTCCAAAACCGCATCTCCCGCTATTTTGCGTCTTCCAATGGATACCCAGCATAGCCAATCGTCGATCTTAGTTTCTTCTTATTATACTTTATGGCCTTCCTGGCATCCGCAGGTCCCGTCCGCGGTGGTCATATACTTCATTCCCTTTGTTTGTTTGGTTGGTGATGTTCTCAGGCGTCTCTAATATGTGTTATTCCATCGTTGGTTGCTTTGGGAAAAGGGCAAGGGAAGGAAGAGGGTGGCATACTCACGCATACGAATCGAGATGTCGTTAGTTTTTTTTTTCCTTTTGGTTTCCATTCTTTATCACTGTTGAGCATCTACATGTGTGTCACTTTTGGAAGGCTTGGCCTTCTGTCTCTTGTGTCTTATGTCTGCTTCGTAGAGTTACTCTTGATGTACATAGATCATTGTCTCGATTGGATGGGTGGTTTTGCCCTTTTTGAATTATATATTACCCACATGTACCTTATTTATTTTCTTTTTCTGTTGATTTTACTAAGACGGTCTATTGAGTATAGTGTGAAACTGACAGACATTAGAGAGATATAGTAGTTAAAGTCTTTATGTATGTAGTATTGAAGTATCAGGTTCGAAGAGGTAGGTAGGTGATAAATAATAGTGAAAGGCTATAGATACATATTCGTGGCTTCAAAGTAAGAAGGAAATGAAAAAAAATAATGGGTGGGGGTAGTAACCAAACAAGCTCCTCGAAAAAGAATATCCATCGATCAACAAGTCGAAAAGACTGTATCGTACAGCTGAAAAACAAGGCAACCAAGAGGGCATACAAATACATCCACCGACCATGCCGCACTGCGAGACGGACGGGCTATACAAGGATTTCTCATGTCATTTGGTAAAAATAAAACATGATTTGACGAAGACGGAAGAGGTCAAGATTGCCATCTTTAAACCTCCACACGGGTGGGGATCTTGACTTGACCCTTCTTCCGGTCGTAGCTGGGAACACCGTATCTGCGACCAGGAGCCCGAGCGTTGCGGCCATCCTTGCCGGTGGTTTCCTGGCTGACGACAACGTCGTTGATACGGAACTCGAAGCGAGAATCCTCGGGCTGCACACGCTGCGTTTGCTTCTCCTTACGCTCCTGGGCGAGACGCTTGCGCTCCTGATCAGCAGCATCTTGCTGGTTGAGGCGAGCCTGGTAGAGCTCAGCGTGTTTGGCACCCTCATTCGGCACCCTTTTGATGTCACGGGTACTTGTGACCATGTGGGGGTGCGGAATACGCACGTCCGCCGGCTGGAGGACCTGATGCTCTTCATCGCCTTTGCCGACAAGCTCAATGTGCGATGGGTTCTGTGTAACCCGGCTAATGGCCTCGGAGGGATTGGCAGCATCCTTAGCAACCTGCTCATGTTCTAAAGCCGGAGCAGCGGAGAAGACACGGCCAGCATCAACACGGTTGAATTGGCGGGACTCAGAGACGGGATAGAAGATTTGAGGGTTGGTGAGGCGGTGGACGGGGAGGTCGTTAATTTCTTCATGGGGATGGTCTAGAGGCGTTACGGGTACCATTTCATGGATTGCACGAGCGTAAGGCAAAGCCAAGGATTTACCCTGAGACAAGACTGTTAGTTGCGATTGACCGAAGTACAGGCAGCATGATCAGAGCTTGTGATGGTAATAAACAGAAAGGATCGGTGTATATCAGGAAAATAGGCGTTGTAACCATTCCCAGTCAAGTGGGTCATAAAGACTAATCGAATTTATAATTTTTCTCATCATTGCACCGTAGGTATGTCCGCTTTGAAAGGCCAGAAGGGTAGGAGGGAAACCATATTGGTAATGGGTTGAAAGAATCTGTAAACATACCTGTTTTTCCATCCGCTTTTCTAACTCGACCAGCCGGACTACGGCAGCGACTCTCCTCATGTCAACCTTCAGCTCGACACTAACCGCACGCACACTCTTCTTCTGTTTTACTACCCGGTTGTAGATCTCTGTCCGCAGCTCCTCACTGAGAATACTCTCGGAGCGGTAGGCAGGGTTTGCCGGAAAAATTCTGGTTTCAGCAATCGACAGCTCCTTGAGTTTGGGATTGGTCCGCATGAGGTAGTTTGTTGTGCCTGGAGTGTGGGATTTCAGCATGGCTGCCTCGGTATTGAGCCACGCGAACATCTCGCGGCGACGTCTGGTTTGGGGGGCGGGCGTGGACGAAAATGACCGACACGAACGCCATGACTCATGTGATGAAGGGCATGTGGTAGCTAGCCTGGGAAGACATGTAGAGGAGGATGAGGTAGAAGATGTGGAAAGGTAAGGAAGGAGAGAGTTGGAGACGACAGAGTTCTGTATTCGGGGTGCCATGTTGCTTAGGGGGACAGGGGGTGAGTGGGTAGGTGGAAAGGGATCTCCGACGTCAATGGACCGGATTCCGAGTAGAAGCAGTCCAATTGACGGGGTAGGGAGGTTAGTGGAGGAGGGGATGAAGGATAGTGGGTGATATGGAGGTTCGGGATGGAAGAAAGGCACGAACTCGACGGAAGAAAAGGAAGAAACTTTTCGGCGCGGTGGTGGTCACGTGAAACTATCGTTGGTGCGGCGCTTGGCCCGATTGGGGGGGAAGCTTTGGATGGTCCCGCCAGCATTTCTTACTATTTGGGCTTCAGCTTCATTGCCCCAGGGGCTCGAACTACGAACTTTCTCCCTTCCAATTTAAGAGACTCATACGCTCTCAAGTAACTGACCGGTGCAATTCAATTGTTGAAGCTGGTACATGTAGAGCAATTTCCCGCGAAGCTAGGAGAAGGGAAGCAAATTCAACACGCCTCTTTTCCAGGGTAAATTCCCGCCCATCATCAACAGTTCCCCCCGGCGAAGGGAACAAAAAGAAGAATAAAGACTAGCAAAGTTGACGGGAAAAAAAAAAAAAAAAGAAAGAAAGAAAGAAAGAAAAGAAAAGAAAAGAAAGATGAATAGGGTAGTAATAGCCTCCATGACTCCCATGTAACCCAAGCAATGGCGGAAGAGCAACGACGCTGCAAAACACGATGCGAATAAGGGACGGAACAATGCGCTACAATCCCAGGCGGCCGGCAGCAGCCAACACATACCTCGGGATACTCCCTTGCCCAATGATCAGAGTAAGACAGATAGAAGACGTCCCAGAAATGTATCTCAAGTGTATAGGTACCCAGGTAAACGCCCCGCACAATGATTAGCTGTTGTCCAGATGAATGCTGCAAACAATGTATCACAACACGGGAGGGTGGTCGGTAGATCCAGCACAAAGAACTTCCCTCCGGGATTCCCGTGATTTCTGGCGTTCAGGCCTCGGCCAACACATCCTTCTCCCATCCTGCGTGATTGAGGGGGTCAAACGAAGGGCTGAAAGATTTAGTCAAGCAAAATGATCGGCAATTTCCCACAGATAGACGATAGCACGCACAGAGATTTGGAGAAGAGCAGGCAGACAATCGAACCCTCCCCTCGCGTAGGAAGGAAAGGCAGAGAAAGCAACTATTAGGAAAACATCTGAAAAAAGATAACGCAGCAACACGGCACAGGGTATGAAGGTAGTGCAAACATGACGACAGGGCAAGTGAAACAGGCGAAGTTGGCAATGAAAATCCTCACGGGCTCCTGGACGTATTAAAGAGAAACCCATACGCGCACAAATGCAATGTCTCCCACCCAAGAAAAGATAACAACAAACACGACATGTATAGTAACAGCGCCCCTGATCCCATGCTATCGGAGTGCACAGCAAACGAACGGAATACAATCATAGAAAGCAAAGCTGAAAAAGCGAGAGCCCCGTGGTCCTTACTCCCAGGAGGAAGGCGAGCCTCCAAATGCTGATCTAGCTTATGAAATAGAAACAATAACAACCCCCAATGCGCCAGGTAGCCCAGTGATCATCAAGCATGTCGGACATTATCTCCACTGAAACGTGCATCTTCCTACCGACCCATCATATAATCCGGGTAGTAGGAATTGTAGCCACCCACATTGGGTCCTGAAGCTCCGCCGGTGAGCTGAGGTGGCGGGGACACCATTGCGTTCATCGGATTTGTCCGGATTCCCAGTCCCGAATTGGCATTGAAAGTACCGTTGCTGGGCAATGGCGCATTTGGACTCCCGGAGGGATGCATGGCACCGTTGTTTCTGATTGCCACGGGTGGAACCAAACCCGGGGGCGCAGACAGGCCCGGTGGCGGTCCACTGACCGTCGAAAACATGTGATTGTGCATTCCACCAAGACTACTGCCCCCAGGCACACCACCTTGAGAGGCCATGGCATTAGACGCGCTCATGGACCCGGGCTGTCCTGATCGGACCCCGAGAGGGTTCTTCGAAAAGCTTAGGCGGATACCGGTCTTGATACTGTTGGACAACTTCACGCCATACAGCTCGTTTAGCGCTTTTCCAGCGGTGCCCACATCGTCAAATTCCACGAAGCACATCGGCCCGTTCTGTTTGTTTCGGAAGCACAACCGCTTGTATCCACGCTGCTTCGAGAACAGAGCCTTCAGCTCCTCCTCTGAGGTATCTGGGGGTAAGTTTCCCACGTATAATGTATTGCATGGAGGGTTCATGTCGTTCGGGTTGGCTGCAGGGAGACTATGGCGAGGTACATGCGGATTACCATAAGGGAACACATGGCCCGTCCCGATGTTATTGTTCATCGGTTGGGGGAACGTCGATGGAGGGTTTGGAACGCCAATGTGCGTGTTTCCCCCTTGGTTATAATTAGGTAGTGGAGGGGAATTGAGATTGCCAGACAAAGACATGTTGGCAAACTGGTTACCCAGAATCTGAGGGTTCGTGGAGCGTCGAGGGACAGAAACAGAAGACGAATGCCCGTTTTCGGCATAGCCCACAGGATCCTTGAGCAACTCTCCAGTATCTTCATCAATATCCTGATCAATCATCGATTTGCCACTGACCCGCGGGAGCTCGGGAACGCCGTTGCCGATCGGGGACTGGGGGGAGAAGAGACTGTGAAGCCGGGAGCCAGGTTCAGATGGGGGTAGGGTATCACCAGCGGTAGCAGGTCCCGTGGTCGCGCTCAGCTTCTCCAAGGTCTGGAAGGTTCCGTTGAAGCGTGACGACTGTCGCGGTAAGCCTCCATTAACATGTCCCAGTAAGCCCCGAGTCGCGGTGTGGTCGATTGTGTTTCGCCTGGGCACCAAGGAAGAACCAACGGAGCCGTAGAACATTTCCACAATCATGGTGGCGTCGTTCTTCGAATTTGGTTTGCCGTCGAGAAGTGCTCGTGCTTCTTCCGCGGCAGCCAGGGTGCTGAAACGCGCGACCGCACACAAGTATCCGTTATCCTCCGGAGCGTCAGAAGGCACAAAGTCGGCATCCACAAAATCTTTGGCGAAGAGTAGCATGCTGCGCAGAGCATCGCGACTGGTGTTGCGCGGGAGTTTGCGCATGAGGATCGCGCCTCCACCTGTTCCATTTGTCGGTCGGATAAAGCCATTCAGGCCCTGCGCCGACCGATCCGAGTCGCCCAGACGCATAGCAGACGAGGAAACGTTGTCAAAAGCGGGAGAGGGGCCGATCGGGGAGAAAGGGTAGGTAAACGAAGGACCTAACGAAGTTGGTGCCTGCGATGCGGGCGTATTGTACACGTCGGTCGACATCGCATTCTGAGCCGTCGAGGGCGCTTGAGAGGCCGAAAGCGGCTGGTGGGTAGGCGACGCGCCCGAAGAGACCGAGGGCGTGCGCTGAGTAGTGCTGTAGGAGCCTGGACTCGTACGGGTGGACTGATTCGAACTGCCACTCATGCCTCGCGGACCGAAATTCTAAAAGCGTCTGACTCGATCGATTAACCCCACGAACGGACGGGAGCACGGGCGCCTCCAAGAAGGTAAGGGAGTGCGGGAGGCAACCGGATGACAGATGGGACAGAGGCTGGAGGGTCTCAGCCAGAGGAGTGTCAGGAACAAGTGGAAGATGTAAAATGGTATATCAACCAAGTTATAGGATCAAAATGCCGACGCAATCTCGTTGGGAGGAAGCAAAAGTGCGATGGATTAACACGCGCAATTGAGACCGCGGTATGCGTGTTTAAGGAGGTAAGGATGCGACGGACCGAGTGTCCGAGGGAAAGACAAGAAGTAGGCCACACACGATGGGAATGGAAATGAAGAAGGGAAAAAAAAATTGAAAAATGAATTGATAATCAAATGCAAAAAGGAATGATTATGCGATTCAGCAATAAGATGTAAATGGTACAGAGGAAGTTGGGGAGGTAGAAGTAGAATAGGGGAGGATGGAAGACGCGAACGGGAACGGAAAGGGAAGATGGGCGAGGGATGGGGGAAGGATTGGGGAGGAGATTGGGGGGGAAGGATGAGGGAAAAGGGAAGAGGGAGAGGAGAAGAAAGAGAGGAAGGACGGCGACGACCAAGACCGTTCGGGGGAAGGATAAAGTTAGATTGGGTTGAGTTTGGGGGGGAGGGAGGGAGGAGGAGGGGGGGAGGGAGGAGGGAGAGAGAGATTGGTAGCAAGTCAAGTAATAGTGGGTTAGTGAGTGGTGGGAAGGGAATGAGTGGGTGGTGGGAAGATGAGGGAGGGGGAGGCGCGTTAAGTAAGTGCCGTAGGCAGTTGTGGTAGGATGCGTGGTGATAGTGGTTTAGTTCGTGGTGTAGTGCATGCAGGTGTGGGAAGTAGTTGTAGTAGTAGGAGTAGGAGTAGGAGTAGTAGTAGTAAGTAGTTTAGTAGGGACTCGATGTAATCAATCAAATCATGTACCCAAGAGCCTGCCACTCGGATGGGATCGACGTATTTCTGGGAGTAGTATTTAATGAGAGAAGGAATAGATCGATCGATAGACAGATAGTTGGGTGGATGGATGGATGGATGGATGGAATGGATAGATGATGACGATGATGATGACGAGAGGGAAGAGGGAGGGAAATGGAAAGGGAATGAGAAAAAAGAAGAGGAAGAGGAAGAGAAGAGGAAGTGGAAAGGCTGCCGTACAATCGGCGTTAGGAACCGTAGGAACTGAAACTGGAAATGGTGAGAGAGGATCCGGCGAAATGGGTAGTGGTAGTATCTATGGAGTACTGTAGACAGTACGTTGTTGGTAGTAAGAGTAGTAGTTGTATTACGTAGGAGAAGTGGTAGTACTCTTAGAAATAAGACGTGAAATAAAATAGATAAGAAATAGAAAATGAAATAGAATAAATCAAAAAATAGAATAAAATAAAATAAAAATGATGAAAATAATAATAATACTACTATACTAATAATGAGGAAAGATGAATGAACGTCAAGTTCCGGAACGGTCCTTTACTTGGAGAAGTGGACTGGCCGGTTCTTTTGGAATTTTAGGGGGGGGGAAGAAAGAAGAAGGGAAAGCTGAAGGGGCGAAAAGGAAACTACCGTCACTGAGGACGGCCGACCGACCGACCTTCTTCTGTCTCGTCTGGTCTGGTCCACGGATCGAGACTGGCTCCGTTCCATGAAGCGATGGCCAGTCGGGAGTCCCTTGAGCCTGTCGACTAATCCCCGAACTAGAACGGGTCTAAAAGGAAAAAAGTTGACTAAGATGCGCCGTCCAACGAGCGCTTGCAGCTGAAGCGCGACCCGGCAGTTTAAGATGACACGACGCGCTATCAATGGAGTGCCAGCCGATCCCGTGCTGATGCTTGCTTTGGCGTGCTTTGGATCTGTCCGGTGGCCGTGGGTGCCTGGAAAGTCTTCATCCATGCATCGATCAACCACTTCGGTTTAGACCAATTCGAATGGTCTGCTTGGTCGAACAACAGATTCACCTGCTTCTAGGTATCATTCTAGGAGACATCTTCGCATCCAGACCATCTGAATTTTCCCCATCTCTCCAAAGAGGACCCCCCGATTGCGGCAATCTTCACGCAAACAACCGAAACAAAGGAGGGAACAAGCATCCGGATGCGACAGCACAGGTGCGTGCCCCCAACGCCCCAAGGCGCGTGGCAGATATGGAGGCAGGAGCCCTCTCTCAAAGGCAGATTCACATTCACCACAACATCCAATCTGGATAAGTTCAATTGCCGAGGCCATAGTTATGATGCGTTGGTTTGATTCTGGCCTGGTAACGAACATCATGGGGTGGATATTTAGTCTCGATACTTTCGTAGTAACGCTTATCACTTGTATATTACGACAGAACAAAAGGGATGCGGAATAGTGATAAAGATGAACAGCAACATCAACGTTAAGGACCTACAGTAATCATGAAGATCCAGATCCAGCCAGAATCTACCTAACTACGCATCTACCCGATTGTACCAGTCAGCTCAGACGACAGGGAATCAATTACCATCCCCCCTCAGTCGCTGGTGGGGTTTTCGGAAAGTCCTCTCATACAGTTGGCCATCATTTCATGCCGGCACTTTCTGGGGCTATACTGCAGCCTTCCCTTCCTCTGCCAGTTCTACCTAGAATACCGCCATGAGTCGTGTCCTCCTCTTGACTCATGCCCCCGAGATAGATGACGAAGACCTTTCCCGTGTGATAAAGGCAAAATTATTTCAACCGTGTTTATAGGAACCCTATTTACCCCATCCACCTGATCACGGGGGGGTTATCGCTCTGTACGACACAAAAGCCACCCCGCGGAGCATACCCATGGATGTCGAAGAGCCATCCTGCCTTACAGCCCGAAGCCTTCCTAGCTTGCTGCACATAATCAAACAGAAATGAGTGATCCACTCCGAAGCCTACAAGTACCGTTCGAGTTAAGCCCAGACTCGTACGTAGGTGAGAGGCTACTGATCTAGTATAGTATACTAAAGCACTATATTTTTCTTCTCCCAATGCACTTGTTTTTGGATATGTGACGATAGTATTCACTAAAACCCGCGAATGCTTTCCCTTAAGGGCTCATTGAGTGACTGCCTCGGCACCATGGACCATGGACGGAATGTATAGGCGATGCTCTCAGCTGACCGTACGAAGGGGAAAATATAATAAGGGACTCTTCATCACTGTGACAAAATTCATGACAGACTCATTGGCAGAAATGGTTACTATCTTCTCTTCTGCTGAAATCAAGGCTAGTTCTTATTGTCTGCACAAACGTAGCGATTAGCGCGCATAGCTAGCCTGTTAATTATCCTGGGTGTTAGATAGTCAGACCGAACCAGAATGTCCTTCCTGGGTGTTTTCTGGCTTCAAACAAGCTAGTCAACCAATCACAGTATCGCTCAATCGGGCAAGACGCTTACGTCCAGCTGGGACGGATGTGCGAGACCTCGCCGTACATGAGCTAACATGAGCACACATGAGCGTCGATAGGTACCATTATGTACCTCAGTAGGGATGAGTGGGAGAGGCGGGCCCTGGTGGTGTGGCTGCCACAGATCCATGGGAAAGACAAACTCTGACGCTGATCTTCCCACCTGAAATTCCCTACGACAGCCAATCATCACGGGCAGTCAGACGTCTGGACTCGGGACTGGTGCGTTCTGTGCCTTGCCCGCAGAACGGGATTGGTCCATGACTGATCCTCATTGCGCGGGCAATGATTGGGATTTGGGACAATGAGAGAGGGGAACGGGAATCCTTTCAGGTGTCCAGTGGATGCTGGTGGTAAACGGTATCTACCCAGTAGTTCGAAAGACCCAAGGCGTGGTCATTTCCCCCACCCCCCCCTTATTTACCTCTCCCTAGTAGTGTTTGCGGAGTACCATGTCTCCGTGTGCCAGGTTGCCGCTCAACCTGGGAAGGATGACGGCTGAAGGAGTGGCACCGATGACTCGGGATTTACAGGCATCATAGCAGCAGCATAGGACTAGATGCCAGTAACGCGCTATTTCATCTAGATGCTTATATGCAGGTTAGGTAATGTATACGCCAGGCTCGCGAGAGGGAATAAATCAAGAAGAAAAAGAAAATTTTTCTGCTTCCAAGTTCGACTCGTCGTTTTGATACGTGGATGTAGTTAGACTGATAAGACGCGATAGATAGAAAGTACACACCTCATGAGTTTCGTCTACTTTCATTCCGTCTGATATCCTGAATCTCCCATCGCATTCTTATTCACCGAAACTGAAGACGTGCATCAAGGATCAAACGCCCTTTTATTGTCGCAGATGTGGTTGGCTCGGATTGGGCGATCTGGGTGTGCTTCATGACAGTGCTGATCTAACGGATAGCCAAGTGGTGATGCCTGCATGGTCACCTGCCAGCCTAGAGCGCAAGGGAGCTGACATGCACAAAGTACGGAGTCCCTCGGGACTTTCTGCTACCCCTGTCCTTATTAACTAAGCAACATAAGAATGGGTCAATCATAATGAGCCCGACGTTGTTCAGCAAAAAAGGAACACATCGACGGCGTCTGTTTGGGGTATCTCTTCAGATCTACCACACCGCATCTGGAACTTTCAACACGAACATAGTTTAGAACTAATGCCCTCTTTCTCTGCTTCTGTGCCCGCCTGTGTATGAAAACCCTGCCTGATCCCGGAGGTGGCTTTAGCATTATTTTAGCAGGCTCAAGGAAGGTATGCCTGCTCATGCAGCGCGGAAATCTCATCCCTGCCAGTCATAGTCGCCATACCTAACATGAGGCATCTGGCTGCATTTTGAACGACTTATACAGGGAGAGAGGGAGACAGAGGCCCGATAAAATGCAAATTGTATATCACACAAGCACAGAGGCAGCACGTAATCGACTCACATAATGTACATAAAGCTCGACCCATAAATCAATTCCAGGAGAATAGTTCTCAGTAAACGCCATGAGAAATGCCAGTAGCATGATATTGAAAAAGAAAAACAGATACTTTTCCACTCCGGAAAAGCCATCGCCAACGTTCCCCCAAATGACAGTGTTCACCTCACCCTATCCGAGCAATGGAAGCTCGAAGGTGAGTACACCGTGCAATTATACAGATGTCGAATTCAACAGATATCCACGCCTCAGTTTTGCACATTTTTGCTTTCTTTCACAATCCCGGCCTGTAGTAAATACCGAATATTAGTCAATCACTGTCGTTACCCAGGTCCATAACCCTTCCTACTGGCGGACATGCTTGTGTGCAGTGGCAGGCAACGTACGAGGCTTAGTAACTTCCAAACACTATCACTGGGCTGCGCACCAACACCAATCCAGTACTTGGCTCGAGATCGATCGAGCGAAATCTCCTTGTATGCTTTGGCGGTGCGGGCCTCCTGCTCGGACAAGTTCGTAGGGCGCTGCGGGATAGGGTTGAAAGTACCGATGACTTCAAGAGGTTTTGAGTCGCGGGCCGACCTATAGGATATATCTCCATTAGCATTAGATCACATATTGCCCTTAGAAAACCTCCAAATGAGTCGCTCGCGGAACGCGATATACTGATTCCCGGTATCCATAAAAAATTTACCTACCGTGCCTGGGCTACAACAATGTTGTAGAACGGCTGGTGCCGGTTTCCAAAGCGGGAGAGGCGAATGCGAACAACCATCTTGACCGGTGATCTCTGCAATTGGGAAGGGAAATGAAAGGAGCGACTGCACAGCAGAAGGGCAACTTGATCAAGCTCAAGCAGGCCAGAGTCTCCGACTCCGCGGCAGTTTCCAGCCTGTTCGGGAGATCTGTCGGGCCGAGACTGCGGAATCCGGACTAGCGTCGGTCAGTGGGGAGGGCCCGATAACAATGATGCAATGGCCTTTACACCACCTTAAAGAATTGTCTCCTCCTGGCGAAGTTTTCTACACTTATTTATTGCATTGAGGATAACGGAGTGGTGCTGCATATTCTTCACACTCAACCTTGCACTTAGAGCTCCATTGTATGTTCTGTGCCGCGCTCCCCAGGCGGAACCCTGTCCCCGCATTATTTCGATACTATAGTAGATCCGCCAAGATGTCGTTGAAGGTGTGCAACATCTTTACTATTTCCACTGAGGAAGAAGAGCAGCACAGACTCACAAGGAATGAACAAATAGGCCATCTCCTCAAAGGATGCCGCATCTCTCGATAAAGACCTCATGGAAATAGGTGGGTGGTCCTTGGACCAGTTAATGGAACTAGCGGGCCTCTCTGTCTCTCAAGCCGGTGAGAATGCGATCCTTTCCAGCAACAATGTAGAACCAGGCACTCTGACATCTCAGTCTACCGTGTTCATCCGCCAAGCTCGGGTAAGGATGTTTTGGTTATCTGTGGCCCAGGAAACAACGGTAGGCCTCATACGACCCTTCACCTCCCTCGGGCACAGAACAAACAACGGTTTTAACCTCCTCCCAGGCGGCGATGGTCTGGTAGCCGCACGCCATCTAGCTCACTATGGCTATAAGCCCTCGGTTTACTACCCAAAGCAGGGCAAGAACGAGCTCTATCAGGTAAGTTCTCAGTAAACCCCCCACAGGTCATTGACATGGCCCGAAGCATGAAATTGGAGCTCCCCACTCTGTATATATATCTATATACACGCATCCCATCCCATCACTATACACATCACCCTCGAATCATAAGCCCCAGCCTAACCCCATGAAACAATACAGCGCCTCAAAATCCAACTTGAGAACCTCTCTGTTCCTTTCATTTCCGACCTCCCCGTTGCCATCAAATCCGCCGACTTCCTCGTCGACGCTATCTTCGGCTTCTCCTTCGGCGGACCCCTCCGTGAACCCTTCCCGACCATCATCTCCCAAATCGAAACAGCCAGTATCCCCGTTCTGAGCGTCGATGCGCCCAGTTCCTGGGACATTGAGAGCGGGCCACCCAAAGAAGGCCCAGGATTGAAGTTCATGCCGGAGGCGCTTATTAGTCTGACTGCGCCGAAGCCGTGCGTGAAGTATTACAAGGGAAGGCATTTTCTAGGTGGACGATTCTTGACGAAGAGTATTGCGGATAAGTATAAATTGGATTTGCCGGAGTATCCGGGTATTGAGCAGATTGTCGAGGTGGGGGTGAATGCTGAGGGGAGGCTTTGAATGGAGTGGGTAAATGATGGAATAAAGTGGCCTAATCAGCAAGGCTTGGGTACGTAGAGAATGAAGGTCAAAGTGATTATTTACGTTGCCGTTACATTGAATGTATAGCACTATACGATACCTAGTGTTAGCACTGATTTGGAATATGTCCAATGTTGAATTCATGCAGTGTAGTGTGTATCGCTATCGTGAACTAGAGATGTATACGTGCTATAGACAGCAGTGGTGAAGCAGAACACAAGACGCTCCTTGAGGTATGAGTTGACTTAAGACCCGGGCCTCAACATTTTATACCTTGATGATAACGACTCCTTGATCTCGCCTATGATACCCTTGATTCTTGGTTCTTTACCAAGACCAGAGCTTGAAACCTTCTTCAAAACATCATCGACATCGTACACTTCCTTGGCCGCAGTCCTGACTTCTTCCCCTAGTCCCTTGATCAAGGTCCCTAGAGCCACAAGGCCGCGGTAGACTGCTTCAGAGTCCTTTTCACCGGTAATCAATGTCGTTAGCTCGCCGAGAAGCACCAGAGCCTGTTCCGATGACTCAGGCATCGATTCTCTGCCCGCAGAGGTCAGGTAAACGGCAAAGTTGATGTAGAGTGTTGTAATGGCAATGGTGAGATTTCGGTTCGGCGTCGTCCCACTGTTGGTTAAAGCGGACTTGACGCCGCTCAGAATCTGCTCAAACTTGCTAGTGGCCAGGTCACGTCCCGCATCCGTTTCGAAAAGGTTGGCGAGCATGCGTATTGACAGCATCGCATTATTGACATTGAACGGTGAATCGAACACCCCGCTAGACTTAATCCCTGAGATGAGATCCTTGCCATCGTAATCTGCAGTGGCAGTCACGGGAGTAGCAGCGGCGGACAAGCGGAGAAGATCAAGACCTGGTAGTCTGCTTGCGACGGGCCAGACGGTTGCGACCTTGTATAGTAAAACAACACCAGCCTCCACTGCCGGAGACTGCTCAACATTCGAAGACTCCAACTGACCACACAAGGTTGCCACCGTCTCCAACTCTGAAGGGCTGAGCGACAGGTCTTTCGATCCGGAGGATATGACGTGTTGGTTCAGCTCTTGCAACTTCTTAGCGATCAGTTTAAGATTAGCAGATTTTATGGAAAGATATGTTTTTTGCGGAAGGACCTTCGGTCGGGCCTCAGGAGCAGGGGGCGACTGCGCATCTTCAGGACGATAACGCCTCTCTTGACCCCAGGGATCGGCCCCCGCGGGCGTCGGCCCCTGAGACGTCTGACCAAGAGTCGCACCTTGCGTATTCTGAACGATGAACTGAGCAACTTGATCAAGGTAATTCATCGACAGTTCGTTGTCCTGGATAAACTTGGTCGCAGCCTCGTAGGGGTTTTGAGAGACGTTGTATGGCAATTTGAGGGGGGGTTTGCCGTCTTCCACGTCGACATCAAAGACATAGTCGTAGTCTTGACCCAGATACTCCGTTTTCCTTCCACTGCTGGCAGCGGAATCAACTACCGTGCCAACCGCAACCCATTCCCGTGAGGCCGCTGACCAAGTGTGAGCAGTAACGCTACCATCGGCCTCACGGATCATCTGCACCTGCCCGTCCTTGGTCCCGGATTTCTGCCTGAGAAACTCCGTACCCGGAAGCTTATCTTTGTTGATCTTCCCAATCTGCTGCTCTGGGATTGCCGACTCCTTCACAGTCTTCTCGAACTGTTGTACTACTTCTGGGCTTGCCACGCGCTCCTGGCTCCTGCTAAACACGCGTGTGATTCGGTCACTGGCTCCTGTAACAATGTCGCCGGTCTCCTTGCATACTGCGACGCTCCAGACAGAGATCGCAGGGTGTGTGATCGTCTGTACGCACTGCGTACCATCCCAGACTCTCACCGTCCGATCTTCTCCGGAACTGACTAACTCACCCGAAGGCAAAGCGGCCAGAGAATAAATGAAGCTCTCGTGGCCATGCATCTCCCCGACGAGTTGGCCTTGTATGGTAAAAAGACGAATCACTCCATCGTTGCTCGCCGAAGCAAAGTGCGCCCCGGTGGGGTTCGAAGCGGGAACCTTGCAAAGAGCTCTCACAACGTCCTGTGAATTTTCGATTGTTCTCAGCAGTGTGCCAGAGGTGTTAAAAATACGTATTATTTTGTCCGCGCAGCCTGGGGAATTATTAGCATATCCATAGAACGACCCATCTGTCTCATATACAGGGGTAAGGCGCGCCTACCTGTGATGACCGTATCCTTGTCATAGGCAAGCACCGTCCAAACACTTCCTTGATGGCCCTCCAGCACGACATCGGTTTCCCATTTACCCACTTTCCATAGTCTAGCTGTCGAGTCCCAGCTTCCGCTGACTACCCATCCGCCATCATGTGACACATCCAGCGCACAGACATTATGTGTATGGCCCAAGAGCATAGCATCCGCGTTATCGTCGGCAGCTTTGCCTGGTTGTCTGGCTTCAATGATAGTATCTTGACCACCGGAAAGGACAAGTCCATCGGGAAACTGGGGGGTAGGTGGGTAGTATGCCAAAGCGTTGATGAAGGCCTGGCCGTGAGAGGTGATGGTGTAGTCATATGCCGGAGGTGGGGTAGAGACTAGTTTCCAGAGTCGGACTGTTGCATCTCGCGACGCCGAAAATATAGCATTGGGATTCGGAAAGGCCACGGCGCGAACCTGAGAGTGAGAGAAAGAGGCGTCAGTGGGCGACAATGGAGGGGGGTTGAAGGTGAAAGGTGGCCAGCGTCAACAGCCGGGATGTTCTTACATCATCGCCGTGGCCCTCCAAAGAAGCGGAGATCTTGAACTCAGGCATACATAGACCAGTGGAGAGAAGTAGGGAAATATAGATCCCAGTAGGGAAGGTTAGAGATGAAGAGGGGGAACTGGCAAGAGCCAAAAGGATGAGATGGAGGCACCAAAGATGGCCGGGAGGGTTTCAAGGCACCTTTGGGAAGAGAGAGAGGGGGGGAGTTCCTGCTTAGTAGTACCAACTAGTTCACCTGGAGTACCTGAGGAGCTGCTTAGAGACTAAAGGGAGGGCCATGGGACCATCCGGGGCAATCACGTGGGCGGTGGCTCGCCAGTGTATTCGCCGGGAAGAAGTTGCTAGAATCCGAGTCTTGATAAGCCAGGTTACTAAACAGTTACTTGGCTAATTTAACTACTATCGGAGTTGGGAAAGAAACTATTCCCTGGCTTGATTGGGTACTTGACTAGTGGCGATTTTGCATTCATTACTAGGTTTAGTTTGCATTGGGTTCAATGAGGAAAACATGCTGAGTTCCATACCAACGTTCTTCTACGACGATACGCTGAAAGGGCCACTCACTCAGGGACCTCATCGCATGTTAGTAATACAAGATCCATAAGGTCCCTGTGAGTGCAAGATATGTTATGCCATTGTTCAGGAATTCAACAATCTTCTACGTGTGGTTGAAGTATCCCAAATCATAGTCCATGAATGCATCCAGGTTGCCTATTTGGGATCGATTAGGAACATTTACCCCTCACGTGCCATCTGACACTAGGCCCCGATAGGCTTAGAGCGGCTAACGGCCCGGCGACGATTCGCGTGAATATCAAAAAGAAAGTCCCAAACTTCCCCCCAACCGGCTTCATCTCCATCGTTCTCGTTGTTTCGGGCTTGAGTCCCTCTCCACCGTGTCTGTAGAAGCGCTGGTGGCCCATTCATCTGTTCGAGGGTTTCGCCTTATACTGGGAGACCCGAATCCTCCACCTAATTCCTTGTCCTGCCTTTCCTTTCTTCCACCTCCAATCATTCTAGAACGACCCCGCTACCTCGGGCTGATTGATGACTTGACGAGACTGACGAATTTCCTTGTGTACTTCTACGCTCTGTTCATCTCTCGTGTCTCCTAGTTCACTGCTGCTTTACGCTTCATCCGCGACAGTTCAGAGACGGTTTCTTTCAGTCTCAACTGAACACCTTTATCGTCACTTCACATTACGGCCGCTACTATCGAATGCGACATTGTTCTTTTTGCAATTGACTCTGTACATTACCTCAACTGAAGTCTATACAATGGCGTCAGGTGCGATGGATGCAGTGGCTCATTTTTCGAAGCAAACGACTGTTGACACATTCCAGACATCCCCAAAGTTGTGCCGTTGACCTGCCACGGACACTCACGTCCCGTGCCGCATATCAACTTCTCATCCACTGTCGAGGATGATCAGTACTACCTAATCTCTGCCTGCAAAGGTGAATATCCTCAGATCTACGGTTATAATTTCCGTGCTAACATCCACCAGACAACAATCCCATGTTGCGTGATGGTATAACAGGTGACTGGTGCGCGTTCCCCGCATTGCATACTCCGCACACCGCACATGCTTACCATAAATGCCATTCAGGATTGGAACCTTCCTCGGCCACAAGGGCGCGGTATGGCAAGCCCGTCTCTCGACAGATGCGAATTTGGCAGCAACCGCAGCTGCGGACTTCTCCGCGTGAGTACCTACCTACCCACCTTCAACGCACATCGCCGTCGCATCTCACTGACCTGCGATTTCTCTCTCCATACAACAGCAAAATCTGGGACACTCACACTGGCGAATGCAAACACACCCTCCAGCACTCGCACATCTGTCGTGCAGTAGCGTTTCCCATCCAGCCTTCCCCCCAGGTCGTCGCAACAGGTGGTTTCGAGAAGAAGCTCCGCATTTTCGACCTCACTCGCAGTGGGGGCAGTAACAGCTCCTCACCGACAAGTGCCACCCCCAACAACGACGCCAGTCCTTCCGCGGTAACAAGCTACGAGATTGGCCCCGGGGTTCACGGCGGCACCATCAAATCGATTGTCTGGAATCAGGACTACAACATCCTTACGACCGCCGCGGAAGACCGCAAAATCAGATGGTGGGATCTTCGCTCGCGCCACCCAGTCGTCGAATACGCCGTAGAAGGTACCATCGGGAGTTGCGAACTTAATTCCCTCGCCGTCAGACCTAACGACGCCGGAATTCTTACCGTCGCGGCCGGCAGATCCGTTTATCTATTCGACGGACTAAGCCCCGGTCGTCTCCTGAAGAAGATCGATTTCCGCTATGAGGTCGCCAGTGCAGCGGTCAACAATGAAACAAGCAGGTTGGTCACAGGTAGTGCCGAGGATACCTGGGCGAGAGTTTATGACGTCCGCACGGAGGAAGAGCTGGGTACGTTTCATCCCCATTTCAACCCCACATTATCCATTGCTGTTCACTTCGATGTGGCTAACAATCCACCGCAGAGGTTCAAAAAGGCCATCACGGCCCGATCTGGTCTGTCAGTTTCTCGCCTGACGGCAAACTGTATGGTACAGGAAGCGAGGATGGAACGATCAAGTTGTGGAAGGCTTGCAGGGAGCCGTATGGCCTCTGGCGGTGATGGAACGAAGAGCGGGAGGCCATCTACTCACATATTGATATGTACAAAAACGACAAATAACACGAAAGCGATCCTTCCATCTGCCGAGCTGTGGTGGCACGGATCTGCTTATACACTACGCAGTTGCGGCTGCACACTTCTAACCTTGAGATAAGATATTCGCAATATAGACACCCATGGCCATGTTGTAGACCCGTAGCAGTATACAGGCGATCCGCCATAGTTATGGTCATCTGTACGTCTTTGAATCGTTTGGCTTTATTATTCCAGACGTCTTTTGTATTCCAACCCGTATTGATACTAGTTACATGTGATGAAAAGAAGGCAAAGCCATCAAAAAGCCCTCGCAAGTGGGCGTGAATGTCAGACTAGAAGATTCCAATCGAAATGAGTCCCTCACTCAATCATGTCGATATCATCATCACCAGCAGCGGCCGCAGACGCCGGTGCAATCTGCTGAGGCTCGTCAGGGACAACTTCTTTATCAGCTGCGCCGGCACCAGCGTTGCCGGAGCCACCCCAGTAATCGTCCATTTCTTGATCGAGCTCTTCCTGTGTCTTTCTGGGCCGTCCGTTAACCATGCGACGGCTGTCGCCCTTGTTCTCACCTCCACCGCCTTGGCGGCGCCCGTTCGTAGCGCCGCGGTTGCGAGTCGGCGACCGCTGACCAGGAATGTATCTGTCAATGTGCTCGGGAGCCGGTTTGGAGACGTCACTGCGCCGGTACCCGCCGCCGCCACCACCGCGACGACCACGACGGCGGCGTGCACCTCCATCAGGACTGCCGCTCCTACTACCGGGGCTGAGACTCCGTGCGTCGCGGTCACGGGGTCTCTCGACGCGGTCAAATAGACTTCCCTTCGAGCGTTCCACGTTGTCAAATGGGTTGCGGTCGCGTCTTCCGGCACCGGTAGAGATCAGTGTTAAACGAATAGGCTGGCCTTTGGCGTTTGCGCCGTCGAATTCTCTAATCGCGGTTCGCGCATCGCCGATATGAGTGTAGGTCACAAAGGCGACTCCTTCGGAACGTCCTGCCCGGTCGTAAACGAGAGAAACATTACTGATTGGTCCGATGCGGGTGAACAGGTCCTTTTACATTGCATATGTCAGAGCTCAGTAGGAAAAAACGCGGGGACTGGAATGAGGCCTACCTCGAGATCGGTTTCTGTAATGTCGTAATGGATGTTCTCAACACGAAGTTTAGCTCCGCTAGATGCAGTGCTGTGTCTGTACAGGTCAGCTTCGTTCACCGAAGCGCCACTGGATAAACATACTGTTCGGGAGAGGGGGAGTAGCGGTCGCCACGCGGACGTCGGGGGGCACGAGAAGGGCGTGCTGAGTAAGGTGTTAAGAATGACCGATCATGGATGATTTCCCATGGCTATTCGCCATATTGAGAGTCGTATAACGCACCATCTCTGTCGTCTTCGTACTTGTCATGAACCCAGTCACTGTATGTCGACAAACGCATCAGCGATCCCATCATTCGGGCTGTAGGACTGGACAGAAAGCAATAGGGGGGAAAGGTAATTACAGATCCAAATCAGGACGTTCTTCTCTGTGAGGCTGTTGTAGTCGAGTAGAGAGAGAAGGTCAGCTCGAAGTCACACTAGGTATCACGTAAACAGCTCCATCTTTCTGCGGCTCTTCGCGGCGGTCTGCCTGTGCAAGAGACGATGCTACGAGGCCAGCGAAATTTGCTTATCACGATGCGCGAGCAATGCTCGAAAGGAGACAAGGAGGGAGGACCTGCGGGAAGCAATGCACTGGTTAGCATCGACACGCGCAAAACAGACGCAAGAAACAGCAGCAGCTCACGATGAGATGATGACAGGGATGAGGAAATACCTTTCTTACGCCATCACGGCGACGACCTTGAGGGGGGCGACGGCCGCGGTTCTGATTCTGCTTCTGATACACGAAACCAAGTCAGCGCACATGCAGGGTGTGGTGTCTAGCAGACCAGCTGAGACTTGTCATCCCGGAGGCGTTAGCAGGGACCTTACAGGACGCTCCGCGATAATCTCGTCCAAACTGCGGTCCATCTCGAACAGTTGGGGAGGGTCTTTTGTCGGAACTGAAAACTGAAAATAACAATCGAGTAGTATCAAAATTCGCACTGTGGACAGGTGCGTAGTGGGAATTGATGGATGGACAGTAGAAAGCTGAATGAAGGTCGGAGATGAGCTTGGAATAGATCCATGCCGGACCGTGCCTCCTCAGACCGCCCGGCCAGGAAGTTACATCACGTGACCGAGTTCCTAGCATACAGGAAATGGCCATCTGCTTGCCTCCAGATACTACCTGAAGGTGTGTGGCCTAATTGTTCGGGAATTCGATGGGTTGTTGTTAACATGAGACCGTAATATCTTTACTAGAACAGTTGCCATTACATTGAAATGAGTGCTTTGTTGGGAATGTGCGTATATGTAACCTACTTCTTCCCCGGAAGCTGGGCGTGCCCGCTCAGAACCGTTGAGCCCAATGGCAGGAAGAGAGGCGCAGACAAGGAGAAACTCATGGATGTAATGCAAAAAGGAAGAGAAACGACGCCTCGGCTCATAGTCCTGTATGCATAGTCGAAAGCTCACCGAAGACACAACCCTCCCTTTTTGCTCCAGAAAACACCATAAGCAACCTCCAGCAAGACTCTTCAGAAGGGTGACAAGCAAATCAAAAGAGGAAAAGGACAAAACTAGGAAGAAAACAAAACTCCGGTAGTGCAATGCAAAAGTAGCCCATCAACTCCCACCATTCAAAGAGTCATTGTTGTTGCTGTTGTTATGCTCTATCATCTTCTCCATAAAGCTGATGTAGTCATACTTGGGAAGATCCCTGTCCTCTTGAAGGTCCGGTCCGTTGTGTGGTGGCATAGTCTGGACTAGATGTTCGATTACCTCGTCGGGGATGAGAGAATGTCGAAGGTCGAGCTCCGTGACATAAGGCTAACACCAAAGTCAGATATTGAATGAAATTACAGTCGTTTCCAATTTTGATGGGGTACATACCTTGCCATCCGCAACCTCGCGGAAACTCTGATAGACTTGCTCGGCCGTGTTCTGATCCTCAGTAACGCTGACCATGAAACGGATGAACTGCTCAAAGCTGACACCGGCATTCTGCGCAAGCCGAGCTGGTCCACATGTGTCCACGTAAACGTCATGCATCTCCTCTTCATCATATACAAGGCCAAGACTTGCGAGGGCTGCCGAAAATTCAAGCTCATGAAGGGTATTGGAAGCGTCGCGATCGAAATGTCTGAAGACAGACTCAAACTCCTCCAGTTGGATTGGTGTCAGGTTGGTCATGTTCCGAGCCACGAGTTGATTGTCCAGGAAAGCCAGCTTTTTGGAGATGCTAGACTTGACCAAGCTCAGCTCGTAAGAGAGTTCATCTAAGGTATAAGTGGTGTAGTCATTTTCCTCAATATTCGCCTCCGCACATTGCTCGTCCAGAGCCGCAATGGTATCTAAGAAGGCATCGAGGGGAGGAAGGTTGTCATTGAGTCTCTTGACATGTGCTAATTGGTCTTCTACATCACCATCGAGACCAGATATTGCCAAAGACAGGGTCTTCAACGTTAGCGCAAAATCATTGGCCTTGTCCGCAAAGGATCGGCGGAGGGCATTCTTGATGTCCCGAATGGTCTCGTTAATGAGCTGGCTACGTTCGTGCTCGTCACGAGTCAAGCCCTCCCACTCCTCATCGCAAACCTCAAGACTTAGTTCCTTGGGCGGTTGGTAAGGGCGCAATCGGTATGTGCTGAGTTTCGTCTTGATGTTACCGAGCAGGGCTGCGAGATCTGACTTCTCTGCAACCCACTGGCGCTTCTGGTTTCTTTTATACAAGGAGAACTGGTGGGCTTGCTCCTTGGCATCCTTGTATGTACCTTCAAAGGAGGAGTTCTTCCATGCTTCACGTTGCACTCTGATAACGCGCAATAGTTCCCTCATTCTCCGCTCGTAGGAATTCTGCATCTCCCAGGCACCATGCATATTGTTGATGAATTTCTCCACCCGACGTCCGGCGTTCTCGACGCGCTCCAACTGCGAGAATGCATGGAACCAATAAGCGATGTATGTCATCAGTGACTTCTCGTCAGGCCTTGCTTGATCGCAGACATCATCGACATCGAGCAAGTCAGGAATGCCTATTTCGTTAGCTGCGATGTCGAAGGCAAGTTTCATGTTACCCCGGTGGTCCTTCTTGTCCAGAGCATCGAAGTCGATCAAGTCCGGACGATGAATATCCAGAAGGGCACAGAAGGCCAGACCATCATTCCAGCTGGTGGAGAAATCCCGGACTTCTACTCCTTCGTAACAAGCAGTCTTTCGTTGACACCACAGAAGGAGGCCCGCCTTCGCGGTCATTCCCTCCGCGTTGATGTCGCTGATCGTGAATCGCAGAATGAGTGTCCATATCAAACCCAAAATGATCTTCCGATTTCCATCCACAACATCCTCCGCTCCAATGTTTGTCATCGGGATCCGCCTTCCCTTGATGAAATCGAGACTCTTGTTGACATTTTCGAATTTCTGCACCCGCAACTTTGGCTTCGAGGCATATCGACCAAGTGACTCTCCACCAAGGATTTCGAGTAGATGGATAAGGATGACCTGAAGTTCCGATAAGAATGATTAGCAACCGGAGCTTCCCTCAGTTCGCCGCAGAGGTTGGCGCCCGAATAAGGACGGAAGCAGGGATGTACTTACACCGTCGGAAAGGTCGACCACCAGGTCATCGATGAAGATCTTCCGCACCTTCAGCTTGTCATTGAGCCTGCAGACAATCCAGGGTCAGCTTGCTCAATTTCGGGAGAGTGCATTTAGAGAGAGATAGAGAGCAAGAGAAAAGGCAACAGTTAGAAAAAAAAAACCAATTCGGGGTTTGTGAGAGCAAGATGGGTAACCCGGGAGAGGCCTCTTCTCCAGCATGCGACAAGGTAGAATGAGGAAGTTGAACCAACCATTTGGTGAAGGTCTTCTGTTGCACATTAATCCACTGCTTTTCAACTGTCAACATGATGGATGGCGAGGGTGGTTGAAAACATCCAGGGCGGGCGGGGAGAAATTGGGCGATTGAAGCACGGACTGAGGGAGCGTTTGCTGTCTATCTGGAGGCTGGTATCCAGTGTGTTAATGGATGGAGCCGACGGAGACAGACTTGAATAGAAATGGCAGGATCTTCAAGACGGAGGTGACTAGAACGAGTGGGAAGGGGGGAACTGCGATTCGCCGGTTTCAAAGAGATCGAATCGCCTAGATAGATAGTCGGCGGTTGGGCGCAGAGTTGAAAGAAAGATACTAAGCAGAATGAATAATCATTGACTAGTAAACTAGCAAATTAATTAGTTAGTTAGTTTGCTCGTTGGAGCCTGGAGCGTGAGGGCGACGACTAGTAGTAGCCTCGCCTTAGTCGCCGTACAGTTAAGCACTTAAAAAGAGGCCCCAGTCATTGATTAAGGGGCTCTCACCCACTCCCTCTTGTCTCTCCCGCGCGGTGGAAAAGGGCCTGTCAACAAACTTCCACCCCCACAGCAACCGCCGCTGGTCCTGCCCGGTCGGCTGCTGCCGGTAAGTTCAGATCCCATCCCCCGTTCGTTTGTTCGTTCGTTCATTCAGTCAATCATTCATTCATTCATCCATTCATTCATCATCCATTCTCCATTCTTCAGCCACGCAGGCTTCTCTCCTCGGGGAATTTCTAAAAGTAAATTTGGCCCAATCTCTCGCATTTCTTGCCCTATAATCATTATCTAGCGTCGATTTATCTCCGTCCAAATCCCGTAAAGAATTCTTTCATATCGATTGTTGACCCGGTTTCTGTTTATAGTACAGTTCTAAGAGTACTAGTGGTAGTCCAGGGGCAGGGAAGGCGCTTGATGACCACTCAGAGTCGAGAGAATAACCATAGTACTCGAGTTTTGCGCATGGCGCCCAATCCACTATTATTACTCTGCAGGCTTTTGTCTTTCTCGAGTCCCTGCAATCGATCTGGGAATGACTGGTGGTTTCAATGGTTCCGAAGAGGGAGTGCCCAACCAAGGGGGGATATGCAGGTGAGACGGGCGTCAGTTGGTCTGACTCGTAGACTTTCTTGCGATATGAATAGCGTGGCTCCTGGAGGAGGATCCATGTTCAATTTTCCGAAGCGACGCTGATCAAATTCTTGAGTGACCCACCAACCTGGCCTCAATCAACCAATGTCGATGGAACTGCAAGAGGAAGGAGGGGTTACTACTAGTACTTAGTAGTTTCTCAGGTTGTCGCCCAACCTGAAGTCGTGATCATTGCGGGCTATGGATGGATGTCTAGTTCGTCTGCCGGAGGCAAATCCACGATTCGGTGCACATGTTTTGCCGGCTGTATTGTTGCACGAAGACAACCCCAGTGAAACGGGTCTCGAAATGCCGGGATAAACATGGAGGGCACACGCGAGAAAGTACCGTGGTAGAAACCTGCATTTTACCTTTCCCGATGCAAGGGCGAGGATACCTGTTGCCCCATAATTTTAGCCATCTTCCAGCTTGAACAACAAGCTCCTTATCCGTGCGGGGGCGCAAAGACCGAATGTCTCGCTATAGTGAGAACTGATGTAATTGCCAACTCATCAAAGTATGCTGCATCCATCACAGAATCCAGTCATACTAGTACATATTAGTATATCAAAATCAAAACAGATGAGGCCGGAGACACAAACGGAAGAAGGTGGGCTGATGATATCATCGGATTCGCCGAGGCGTGATGGGGCCCGCGCGCGAAACATTCAGCTCAACTTAATCGGCTTCCCCTCTCCCTGTCAGTCATTCTCCAAGTCCACGTCGTGACTACTGACTACCTTGCGCCTCTTCATACCGAACTCCTCAGATTTCCAAGCTTGGTTCGCTTTGCCATTCTTGACTCTTTAATTTCATCATGCCGGCCAACTACTCCTTTGCAGACGTGGTACCACTGCCTAATTCCGCCGTCAAAATACCCCGCCTCGGCTTCGGCGTCTATCGGTCGCCTTCCGCACAATGCGTGCAGTCCTGCCTCAAGGCCCTTGAAGTTGGCTACCGGCACATTGATACCGCCCAGTTCTACGCAAATGAGAAAGAAGTTGGCGACGCCATCCGTTCCTCTGGCCTGCCCCGCAGTGAAATTTTCGTGACCACCAAAATCCTCAGCCCAGCGGGCTCGCCTGAGGCAACCTATGAGAGACTGCTGGCTAGCGTCGAGAAGATCGGTGGCCCGGATGGATACGTTGATCTGTTTTTAATCCATAGCTCCAAGTCCGGCTCGTCGGGTCGCAAGCACTTATGGCAGGCCCTGGAAAGGCTGCTGGAGGAGGGCAAAGCTAAGAGCATTGGTGTCAGCAACTTTGGGGCGAAGCACATTGAAGAGATGAAAGAGTATGCGAAAGTCTGGCCGCCTCATGTTAATCAGATCGAGGTTAGTTCCCCACGCTTTTGTTCAGTTTGGTCCGTACGGTGCAACAGGAAAGGGAATCTGGCTGACTCATAGATTCGCATAGCTTCACCCTTGGTGCCAGCAACGCGTGATCGATGCATACTGCAAGAAGAACGGAATCGTTGTCGAGTCGTATGCCCCCATTGTGCGGAACTATAAAGCAAATGACCCTACCCTCGTGGACTTTGCAAAGAAATACAACAAGACGACCCAGCAGGTCCTGATACGCTACGCGCTGCAGAAGGAATGGGTTCCACTTCCTAAAACCGACAATCCAGACCGGATTGCGGCTAACGCTGATGTATTTGATTTCGACATCAGCGAGGAGGACATGGCGGTGCTTAATGCTCTTGACCAGGGAAGCAGTGGCGCCATTGTCGAGGCTGTCGAGAACGAGTAATTCGTCCATTTATAAACATAATTAATTGTGATTTTCAGGTTTATATCTTCTAGGTATTAGTAATCTGGGCGTTGCATGAGGAAGGCATTGACCGATTGAAGCGTAGACCGCGAGGGATTCACATCATGTTTGGAGGATGTGATCCAGGCAAGCCGCTGACGAATGAATTGCTTGCCGATCAGTTGGTTGGTGGGAATAGCATTGAATTCGCCTGAAGTATTATTAGTATTAAAAAGACGCCCAACAAGAGACACACGATGGGTTGACAGATCGATGAGAGACTTGCCTTCCTCATTATAGAACAGACACAATATCGCAAGTAGAGCACCGACCGAAAGATCCTTGCCAGTCTCACATGTCACCAGCAATGATTGTGATGGGTCTGAGCTCAGACGGGACTTGACAAAGTCTTGGACCTTGTCCAGGTGTTTGCGCAGGTCACGGCTTCCAAGCTTAGAAGACCCGCAACCGAGATTCAGGCGATTTGCGTTATCTTCCGCCCCTTCTGGGCTCGCATTACAATCTATAACCAGATTGAACATGCTGCCATTGTTTAGTTGTGGGTGTGTTTGGCTGATATATAAGTTTCGTGTTGGCGCAACACGTATCGCTCTTTGATCAACGTTCTTTTTGCTGTGGTCTTCAACCAGCTGCTCGATTACGGTTGGGAGATCTTCTTCTGAGTACTGGAACAGGGTCGCTTTAGTAGCCCAAAAGACAGGAGGAGTTAACCCATAGGCCCAACTCTCGCTGTCATCTCCTGCTCCTTGGATATAGCCGCCTTCGGACATTTCTGCGCCATGGACTCTTTTAGATGCGGAACAGAGGACAAACAGGCGATAGTCATTCCCTTTATGCAGATCTGTCGGATGGAAGTAGGCGCGATTGGCCCATGCCACCCGAATAGGCTTTCCAAGCTGCTGCTTGAGTTCATCCAGATCGAGTTTCAGATTCTAGAAGCCTATCAGCCTACATGGAAGTTATAGGACACATTCAGAGCAGAGCGAGAGTTACCTCGAGGGATTTGACGAAGCCGTCAATCCTCCGCTCAATCTGGGACTCTTCAGAAGCGCCCAGATAATTTGGCGGAAAATTCACCGCGTGATATGCAGTGTCAGACGGAAACAGCGCCCGGTTGATGACGGCACACCAGATTGGAACGGTTTTAGACAGGGCATCAGGCATCACTGGCGCATACCTCGTTAAACAGTGCACGAATGGCATGCTTTGAGGGGTTAGCTGATTACTTACATTTACCCCGGCGCGTGGAATCCACGATAATGCAACTGTATTCAACGAATAAGGTCAGTCATTCAGTTAGCCCGAAACAGAACGATCAGCAGGGATGACAAAAGAGAGAGAAGAGAAAAAAAAAAAAAAAAAACAAAAAAGACGGATGACAGGCTCACTGACCCCCCATGTTCTCTGGCAATTGGTAGAAGCTGCAAATTTAGTCTGCGAAAGCTGAAATCCCACTGGCCCGTGTGACCATCTGTACTCTTGAAGTACGCACTGCCCGACTTGACTTCAGGCGGGATATACCAGCTCCCGCATCTTTCGTTGGCGATGAGAGGAAGGTCGTAATGGGCTGCAACCTCACGGACAAAGGCCGCGTCGGCCTCGATGGAACGCAGTCGGTTGGTGACGGAGAGCGCTGATCGTCGCAATGCAGATAGCGTTTGGGAAATCGATTGCTGCTCTGCTGAGGGGAAGTGAAGGGACGAAACAGACACGGGGTAGGGATCGGAAGCAGAAGCAGATCCCATGTTGCCCGGAGTGCTTCGTATTGGCTTGAGGGCCAGCGGTCGGGTGGTATTCGCAGTGGGATCAGAGACTCAAAAACAGGTTACAGTATGCTTCGGGGAGCAGGAAACAATATCACACTAGGCTTTAACGTCCCTAGTAGTAATGAGAATACTGGGATCAAATGCGATCGATAATAATAATGATAATGAGGGGCTCTAATGCAAGCGCCATTAGAATTTCCTCGCCGGCCAACGATCGGCCCACAATTAAGGCCGGCGCCGACAAGTCGAACGCCATCCTCACGCGGGGTGGAGCACAGCCATCGATGGTACCTACAGGGGGACTACTTACTGACATGCTTAGAAGGATGTATCCAGGAACCTGTGGTAGTAGGGAAGTAGGTAGTCGGTCTGTCGGCTATAATCTCGGACGCTTTGTAACTAATACCTGTTGCAGTCATATTCTTACTCATGACGGATGAAGCCTGAGCACCCCTCGAGTATTGTACTCCTGTCCCGTTTTCGCAACAACTGGCTTAAGGAGTTGCATTCAGTATACGAAAATCCCTAATGGCACGGTTTCATCCGATCGCATGGCGTCTCTACTATACTACAGCTTAGTATTATCGAGGGTATCCGGGTAATGCTCTGGCGTACAGAGAGTATTCAGCGCTGATTTGGTGAACTATGGTCCGATCCTTGGCGACGTACTATTGCTCAATTCAGGCAGTAAACGGATTGACCTAGCGGCAGCTAAATGGAATACTGTGCTCCGGGGGATGTACAAAGTAGACGGACAAGAATTTCCAGGCATTATTTCAATGGTGGCTTTGACCGATTATACCCCCCTCGCATGAGCACACCTGGTGACTGACTGAAGGTTACCTAGCAGGATACATGAGCTTGGTAACAAACAGTATGGAGTACAGGATTCTCTCACTCTTGTCGATACATCTTGCCTTACATGACAGGGAATAGAATCATTGTGAATAGCAAAGAAAGTAGAGGAACAAACGGTTCCACATCTGCACTATGGCGCCCCAGCACAGGGGATATCGATAAACATGCCATGGAATCCTATCGATTGGCTATGCGCTTCATCATTGGGCTTTTGAGGCGTCGACGAAAGGAAAGGAAAGGAACCGGAAATTGAAGGCGACTGGAAGAATGGGCAGCGAGGATTCGGTGCCTTTCCATCAGGTGATACCGCTATGCCTCAAGGGGAAAGGAAGAGGGGCATCCGAGCGCGATTGGAACAGCGCATGGCAGCGGGTGCTTGCCTGAATCGGTTTAGCATCTTTCACTAGCACTGGAATTTGGCCTGTTGATAACGTCATGGGTGTTTTTCAAATGTATGATCTCAGGGAAGTCCAGGGCCGACACCCCGCTCCTACCTTGGATACCGGTAACTGTGTACAACAGGAATTGGGAATTCCCCTCGGGGATTTCTGGATCTCTATCACGGGCAGTGGGTTCAAGCGTACTCATTCCGTGGCTGGGTCCCCTTCAATTAGATACTACTCTTTAGGGGCCCCCCTTTCACCCGCTGGCTTCCTTTGTATTGGTCCCTTCCGGTACTACTTAAACAAAGTGAATGCCCTCGTGTTTGCCCCTCTTCTTCTGTGACTTTTCACAGATAACCCACAAACCATTCATCTCCTTCCGTCATCCCTCCACGAAATAGAAAGACAAACAGTCTTCCTTTCCTGTCATCCTCTTCCTCCTTACATCGTTCCCCACCCCCAACTCTCTATTTCACTACGTTCCATAGACGTTTCTCTACTGTCATTGCTGTGCTACATTCTTGATCTCGATTAAGAAAAGATCTACTAGACATACATCCATCATGCCGCAGGTAAGCTATCCATCCTTCATGCAACGTTGGTATGGATTCAAATATACTTACGAACCTTAATCGCAGATTACCGAGATCTTCTTCGACTGCGACAACACCCTCGTCCTCTCGGAGGAGCTGGCCTTCGAGGCGTGTGCGGATCTTGCCAATGAGATATTGGAGAAGAAGAATATCTCGGACCGTTACACGGGAGAGCAGCTTATCCAAGATTTCGTTGGTCAGAACTTTCGGGGAATGATGGTCTCCCTCCAGGCCAAGTACAACTTCGAGATGTCACAAGAGGAACTCGAGGAATACGTGAAGAAGGAGGAGGACAAAGTCATTGCCAAGCTGACTGACAAAGCTCAGCCATGCGTTGGTGTTAACGCTGAGCTCGACAAGCTTCTCGAATCCAAGAAGTATGGCCTAGCGGTGGTCTCTTCGTCTGCTTTGCGCCGTGTCCGTGCTTCAATTACAAAGGTCGGACAAGACAAGTATTTTGACAAAGATGCCATTTTCAGCGCAGCCACTTCTCTTCCCAAGCCAACTTCGAAGCCGGATCCGGCTATCTACATTCATGCCCTCGAAGTGCGCACGAAGAAGCCCGAAGAAGTGGTCGCTGTCGAGGACAGCAAGTCTGGTGCGCTCAGTGCCATCCGTGCTGGAATCCCAGTCATTGGTTATGTCGGAAGCTATCACGGTGACGCTAAGCAGTTGGAAATGTCACAACTTCTGCAAGAGCTCGGTGCCAAGGTTATCATGAAGGATTGGAGTGAATTCCAGAAATGTCTCTCTGAAATCGAGGCGGCCTGAACCTATGGCAGGTGGGGCCATTCTGTACGCCAGTTACGATTATGAACACGAAGTCACGATAGCAAGCGCGCGGGCCGTTCTGGGGTTAAGGTCACTTTCTTCATTTTACGTGGTGACATCTCAGACGCTGTTTAGTCTGATCCTCTGGTCCTTTCCTCGGTCAGAGTAGTTCCCTTAGTCCATTGTGCAGAAAACAATCACCTGGGACCGTCGTCTTGACAACCGTGCGACTTATTGTCTCATCTGCATAATTCTTCATGACCGGGATATTTGCATTATTACACAATTCTCTTATAGAGAGGTAATCATGGATTTAGGTACCTTCTTCGGGCGACTGCTGCCTGCACAAACAAAATAGAACTTATCTATCATCTCTGCCGTTTTCAGCTAGATGGACAGTAGTAGTAACTCTATTTCAACTAAAGTGTATTTCCACTATTTCAAGCATCCTCGGTGTAGATTTGGTGCTTATTAGCACCTCCGCAACACAGCTAGACAAGATTGCAAGCAAACAGCTACCCGGGGAGCTGCGGTGCGACTCCGGCCGGGTGGGGCCTGGATCGTCTTCAAAGGATCTATAGATTGACCTCGACCATCAGTTTCATTGCTTCTCCCCGAACTCATATCCAGCTTCTTTCTTGCTATACATAAGTGGATGCCTCTAACTCGGATAATCGGCTGTATTATCTGCGTCCTGGTTGGATATGCGTCCATGCAACCATTCGATCCCTCGACCGTTGCGGAGTAGAGCAAGATTAATCCCTGTCCTTCTTCATCCAATAATTATGGTTTTCTCGAATACCTGCTGTTCCTAATAGCCCAGTGCTACCTGCTGACAGGGGTTGGGCAAGTAATGGTCAGTATCCCAGACACTGTAGGGGTATAATGACCCACATGGACTGTGGCCACTCTCGGCCAGGTATTTAGAAGGCCCTTGAGCCTATATAACCTGGCCTGCAGTCTCGTTTGACTCACTCTTACTTCCTAAAGAGCAAGTACAATGCCTTTTCTGCGGTGGCCTCCAGGCCAGAAAATCATGATCACACCTACCACTCCTTTCCGAGCTGCCAGAACTCTGGCATTCGGTGGACGGATACTATCGCCCAAAAAGTCATCCTCGTTCGTATACCCTACAGTTGATACAAACTCCCATGATGCTAATGGTAAATCTAAACGTGTCAATATAGTCGTCTTCTCTCCTCAACTGCACATAGTTATGCCGACGAAACACTGAACAAAGTCTCCTCTAAGATCACACAACCCAAGTCCCAGGGTGCATCTCAAGCGATGCTTTACGCGACCGGCTTGACGGAGAAAGACATGTCCAAGGCACAGGTTGGAATTTCATCAGTGTGGTTCGAAGGGAATCCTTGTAACATGCACTTGATGGATTTGTCGTCGCTGGTTCGCGAGTCGGTAGCCAAAGCTGGCCTGGTTCCCATGCGTTTCAACTCCATCGGCGCCTCTGATGGCATTAGTATGGGCACATCTGGCATGCGATTCAGTTTACAGAGCCGAGAGATCATTGCTGATGGAATTGAAACGGTCATGAATGCCCAGTGGTATGATGCTAATATCTCGTTGCCTGGCTGTGATAAGAACATGCCAGGTGTGCTGATGGCTATGGGTCGGGTCAACCGTCCGAGTATCATGGTGTATGGTGGTAGTATCAAGCCCGGCTGCAGTGCGGGGGGTAAGCCACTTGACTTGGTCAGCGCCTTTCAATCGTATGGCCAATATCTCACTGGTGAGATCGACGAGAAGGAACGATTTGATATTATCCGACACGCTTGCCCAGGTGCTGGTGCCTGTGGGGGTATGTATACGGCTAATACACTGGCAACGGCCATCGAGACCCTCGGAATGACGGTCCCTGGAAGCAGCAGTACACCGGCAGAGGATCCGAGGAAGCTGGCAGAGTGTGAGGACATCGGTCAGACGGTGAAGAATCTGCTGAAGGAGGACATCCGTCCCAAGGATATCATGACACGGCAGGCATTTGAAAATGCTATGATTGTTGTGAATATTCTTGGAGGCAGCACCAATGCAGTGCTGCACTTGATTGCTATCGCTAATTCCGTTGGGATCAAATTGACTATCGATGACTTCCAGGCTGTGTCAGACAAGACACCTTTCTTAGCTGATCTAAAGCCTTCCGGCAAGTATGTCATGCATGACCTGTACAAAGTCGGGGGCACGCCTGCACTGCTGAAGTTCCTGCTCAGGGAAGGCCTTATTGACGGCTCCGGCGTCACTGTTACTGGCAAAACCATGAAAGAGAATGTAGCCTCATGGCCCGAATTTTCACCTGAGCAGCCCATCATCCGCCCTCTAAGCAATCCCATCAAGCCAACCGGCCACTTGCAGATCCTTCGTGGGTCATTGGCCCCCGGCGGCTCGGTTGGAAAAATCACCGGCAAAGAAGGTCTACGGTTCGAAGGTCTTGCTAAATGTTACGACTTTGAGGACGCTTTCATTGAGGCTCTCGAACGAGGCGAGATCAAGAAGGGCGAGAAAACGGTCGTTATTATTCGATATGAAGGGCCCAAAGGCGGCCCCGGGATGCCTGAGATGCTCAAGCCCAGCTCAGCTATCATGGGCGCGGGATTGGGTCAGGATGTTGCGCTACTCACTGATGGAAGATTCTCTGGAGGTAGTCATGGCTTTTTAATTGGGCATGTTGTGCCTGAGGCTATGGAGGGTGGGCCCATTGCCCTGGTGAAGGATGGCGATCGGATCGTAATTGATGCGGAGCAAAGAGTGGTTGACCTGCTGATCACCCCAGAAGAAATGGCAAAGAGAAGAGTGTCTTGGACAGCACCGGCACCTCGGGCGAAGAAGGGGACATTAAGCAAGTATGCGAAGCTGGTGAGCGATGCGAGCCATGGGTGCGTGACGGATGGTCCAATATAGAACTAGAGGTTAGTTTATCTCTGATGGCAAGCTTTTCCAATGCAGAATTTTTGGACCAAATATGTTTTGCCTTCCGTAATATGTAGTACGTTTTCGTGTATTAGTGCTTATATGGTGGTCCAACCCTGCTACAATACTAAAATTTAATGTAGCAACCAGAGGTTATGTTCAGCGTCGATGATCCTCATACAACATCAACCACCACCACCACCACCACAACAGACCTGACACTACAGTCACACCTTTACACCATCTACTTGCCCATATTAGTAAATGACCTCCTGACCCATCCCACCTGTCTTCAGCATAGTTAATCTACACAAACTAACCTCTCAGTTCAAGACCCCAACACGATAAGATAAGGGCTAGCCCTCTAACCCGATACGGTTGGTGACCCCCACTCCAGCTTTCCCCTCCTGCTACGTCAGACGCCCGAGTCGAGTTGTTTACTCTCTACCTCCCTCTAGAGTTGATCTTTTGACTAACCCTCTTCAATTAACTAATTAGACATAGACTGTTCCATCTAATATCGTTATATCAAAGATTATTTCCTTTCCCTTCTCAGGTGCAAAAACACGGAACAATGTCCGATCCTAAATACGCCGGGTCGAAGTTGCTTTCGAGGGGTCCTCTGGTATGTATATATGGTGTTATAATCTGGATAACTGCTACACGCTGAACGAATCATCACTGATATACAATACTCCCTACTAGGACCCCAAGGAAGCCAAATGGACTCGATTGGTCATGTCATCGTATACGGACCCCAATGGTGTTGAGAGGACGTGGGAGTCTGCGGAGCGTCAGGTGCGACTCTTTCCCCCTCCCACTTTCTTCCTTGGTTCTTTTCGTTGGCATTTTTACTGGTGTTATTCAACTGAGTTTCTTCTTCTTTTTGGGGGTGTTGCGGGTGTGAGGTGATAGTTCCGCATTGAGAAGCAATATATCTACTTGCTTGCATGCTAATTGCCTCCAAGACACGCCCCGCAAACTGCGAGATTGACGGCGTTGGAATCGTGACAATCCTCAACAAAGAAACCGGGCCAGAGCTTCTCCTGCAGAAGCAGTACCGCCCGCCTATCGATAAGGTAGTCATTGAGGTGCCTGCTGGGCTGATTGATCCCAACGAGACGGTGGAGGAGTGCGCTGTGCGTGAGCTCAAGGAGGAGACGGGTTACGTTGGCGTGGCGGAGCAGACTAGTAGTGTTATGTATAATGGTGAGTTCTACTTTCTTTTCTTTTCTCTTCTAGACCAGACGAGACTACAGTACTCGTCGAGCATGGCTTCGACTCGGGTGGTTTGGGGTATCGATTGACTAGGCTGACGGGTGTCTACAGACCCTGGGTTCTGCAATACCAACCTCAATATGGTGCATGTCCGGGTGGATATGTCGTTGCCAGAGAACCAGAACCCGAAGGCCCAGCTTGAAGACAATGAGTTCATCGAGTGCTTCACTGTGCCTCTGTCTTCGTTATTCGAGGAAATGAAGAAGCTCGAGCGGGAGGGATACGCTATTGATGCTCGGGTGGGTACAATAGCTGAGGGAATCGAACTTGCGAAGAGATTCAAGCTTTAAGCTGTATGTAGATGTTTCAGCCTTGGCTCCGTCTTCGTCCTGTACCATGGATTTGCACATTTGTGGTATTCTGACGACATTGCCGTTAGAGTCGATACACTGTCGAATGCGATATATTCACATTGGTGTGAGTGTCACTGCGTGCTTCCAGTATTAGATCCCACAGACTGCTGTGGAGTGTGGAATTCTGCCTACAGCAGCCCCTCTTCCTTGAGGCCTCTATATAGCGCCCACGCGGCAAGGGTCTTGCCATCCCGCAGACCCTCTTTCCATAGATCGCGCAACGGTACTACCTTCAGCGTGATCTTCTCACCATGCTGTCGTAACCCAGTCAATCGTCCCTGCAGGCTGTCGATTTCCTTGCGCGGCATCCGTTTCTGACACAAGAACAAGGGAATAAACTCGTCGCTCCCACCGGCCGAAGGGTACACTGCCTTTTGCAACGTCTCTCCCTCTTCTGGCACCGACGACAGAGCCAGCGATGTCATGTCAATTAGCTCCTCCTGTGGTATTGTCAAGCCTGTCTCCTCTTGGATCTCCTTTGCTGCACCACCAGCGAACGATCCACTGTCATCAAGCATGCCGGCTGGAATTTCGGAAAACGCAAGAGAACCCGCAGGGACACGAGGTTGGATGGTTAAAATGGCACGCTTCTCGTCTTCCGCCGATGGAGGCACATCGTCTGGCTGAAGTATGAGCTGAGGGGGGAGAGAGAGAAGTAGTGTCAGCACCATATCTCGACGTTATCAGTAGGCGATACATAGAGGTAGCTCGCTTACCAGCATGCCTACGCTGCCACCACGCAAGAACACGCTTCCCGGGAGCGTCTCTCCATTCTCATTGGACACCTCCGCTTTGAACTTCAAGAAGCCTAGACGACCACCACCGAAGCGATCCACACTCTGAATATCTATTTTCCGCAGGATGTAGGGGTCTTTGGAGAACTCGTGGGAGGGATGTTGCTGGCGACTCAAGGAGTGTTGCAGAGTGGTGAGCCAGATGCGGAAAGCTGGGAACCGCAGCAGATCTTCACGAGACAGCTCTGCTGGACAGGAGACAGGTAGCGTGACCGAGCCATTGTGGTCCAGATGGCGAGGGATAGTAAAGGTGGAGAAGGTCATTGTGACGATCGAAGGCAGAGCGGAGGAGAGAGCTGGTCGCGTATGTCGCACAGACGCCGATAGTAGCCACCGGGCGGGCGTCATGAACCGAGCCGAGGTGTGGAACGGGCGGAGGAAGAGGGACGGCGCTTAACGTTAAGCAGAGAGCGTTGAAAGTCAGGTAAGGACCGGCGATGTACACGTGAGCCTGATATTCAGGGCCTTCCAGAGGTAGTACCGTGGTCGGAAGAGCTATTGAGGTTATCGGGATGGATTGAAGGGAACATGAAGGGGTGGAAAGTGTTTTAAGTGTTCAGGGGAGAGACGGAGAGCATGACGTCGTCGGTTCGCAGCTGTTTTCCGCACCGTCCGACACAAGAACTGGAGGAAGATCTGCTCGTTTCGGGTCAGAGTCTAGACGCGGTGGCTCCTCCGATCCTCCCAAGACAAGGATGAGTGGATGGATGGATCGATTGATGGATTGATCGATTCAACCAACTCTGAAGGGATAATACCTCCGACGATGGATGGTCAAACAAAGGAAGAGCCGGGGACTGAACGCCGGAGCAGCCTCTTGTTTCGTCGAAGTCAAGTCCGAATATCTTCTTTGACTGGCTGATAGATCAACAACCCAAGACATAGTATCTTTCTTTAATACAAATCATCTCTTACGACATACCGATCAATCAATCAGCCAACCAACCAACCAACTAGCTTTCTTTTCCCCCCCAATATCCATCACTTGACCTCATGTTTCTGATTGCTTCCAGGAATGGATCCAGCGGATCGCCGTGTCTTGCGGGGTCCGACGGTGACACTGTCTTCACCACTCACTGACACCCTCCAATCCAAACCCTCTCTCTCTCTCTCTCTCTCTCTCTCTCTTTCCCTCTCTTCTTCTTCCCTTTCTTTTTCTCTCTCTCTTTCCCTCTTTCCCTCTCCTCTACTCTCTTTCTCTCTAGCTGTCCCTCTATTATGGTCTGTGAGACTCTCGGAAGCTTGTCCTCCATCTTGCAGCAGCCTCATCCCTCCGCATCTATCTCACACTTCTCCTTTTACTACCCTGACCCCTCCCTTCCTCCCATCTACCCTGCAGCTAGCCTTCCAGCCCGATTGGATCAGTGATCTGATTTGGTCCCCGAGGTGCCACTGCTCGTCGTCAGCCTGTTTGCGACCTCTCCCTGATTCATTCTACCCCTTCGTGTCCATTGTTGTAGTCGTTCCAGAAAGCTTCCATATTGCCTGTGCGCTTCGCCTTCCAGTGGTTCGAGATTTGGTTTTTACTTCCTTCAAACCTTTTGCGTTTCGATGAGGTTTTGGCCCCAATTCCACTGGGAAACCAAGTACCCAGAATTCAGGCTCTGCTGCGAGTTGGTCTAACTAGGAGAGACCGGGAAACCATCGGCGATAAGCTTCAGCTGCCATTTGGTTTTCCTGTTTTGGAATTCTATTTCACCCTATAACCGTCTCACGCCTGCTCGGTGTCTCTATTACATCGTTGGCTCGCTCAGATCATGATCTCGAAGACAATCTGACTTTGGTTGCCTGTACGAAACATTGAACGGCCCAGGGTCAGCCTCTTGTTGGCAAGATTGTTGCCGAGACGCTGGCGCTTCTATCGACATCGGAAAGTACCGTTTTCTATGTTTCTCCCCCAGAATATAATATACTCGCGATAGCCAGCCAAGCAACCCGACCGAAGACCGATGACAGTAGGACAACAGGAAGGCAAAACTGAAAATAGCATGTATGCATTCACTCTCTATCCCTGCCTGAATTAAGCTCTTAGCTGCGAGTTTATGTTTATGCGGCTATCACTTCTCAGTCTGCATTGACAAGCATGCTATCCCACTCGACATCTTAAGCCTGCATGTCCTATCGATTGTCTATATGTGTGGAGTGTTACCGATACTTATTCCAGGAAGTGGCAAGAATCTCCCAGTCACCGTGAACGTGATAGAGCTTTGGATACATCGTCTGGTGCAGCGGAAGGAGGCATAATCCGATTGCCTGTCTTCACTGCTGAATTGTGGTCCACTGCCAGAAATTCCACTGGAATGACCACTCACTATTCCTAGTTACTCTGCTCTAGTGAAGCGAACCGCTTCTACACATCACCACCTTAGTATACTATCTCCATTTACGCTCCATCTGTTTGTCACAGCTCTTAAACCTCCCTGTATGCTGTCGATTGCGACTTCATCGGTACATGTTGATAGCCTCTTATTTGTGAGAATTCGACTCTCGCTTAATAGAAGCTAGAAGCGTGTAGCTACTAGCTGATGCGCCATTAGCGTACCACGTCCAGGGAGCTCTACCACTACGCCTGCGGCAGGGTTGCCACCACTCATGGACTCTGCGAGTCGCCCTGCTTTTGAAGGGCTTCCCGCGGCGATTCCCAACAATAACAACTATCAAATCACCCCAACTTCCGCTACGTTGGCCCAGTCTAACACCCAAGACGTAATGGACACCACGATTTCTGACGTGCCGCGTCCGACATACCAACAAGAAGGTCAGTGCAACGATGCCGGTGATGTCTGCTAGTGAAATAACGGAATGCTTCCCAGTCCCTACAGTCGCGAGTCTGTCTGGGGCTCCAAACGCCTTCTCATCCAATGCTATATCGAGCCAGACAGATTCTTTCCCTTCACAGCAACCACCACCGAGGTCCAATTTTTCATACTTGAGCAATGGCATCATCACCATGCCCCGCTACACACCGAACCAGTACTATGGGGAACCGAGCAATATCGGTCATCAACTGGATTACATTCCTGGTGGAGGTCGAGGTCGCTCATTCGTGTACCCTCATGCACGAACACTCTCACTTTCACAGAACCAACACAGCGGCCTTCCTGCCTACCCCCAGCGGGACCCGCGCTCAAGCAATACCCAGCCGACAATGTCCAGGACGACGCCGGGATCAGTGTCTGGCGTTTCACCGGGCGACGGTTCACCGAATACCCCCGATTTGACCTCATCCACTGCAGTGGTTCCGCCAGCACTTCGACCTCGAGGTTACGTGCCCCCATCAGCGAGGACACAGCAAGGAACACAGCACCCGGCCTCTACTACTGCTTCTCCAGTGCCAACGTCGTCAAGTTATTATCAGCAGTCGCAAGCTCAACAACATTCGCATACGGCTGGCCCATTCTCTCATCTGCCACCACATCCTGAAGAATTCGACGATGGCGCCTATATTGCTCCGCTAGTTACGTCGCCCGCCCAGTCATCGTCGGCCAACTTTGTGACAACTGGCACGCCGCCTTCACGCTCGATGAATGCGGGAAACTCCAGATATGGGCGCCCCCTTCCGCAACGGCTAGAACTTGCTCGGCGAGCACATTTACTTGGCCATCATTACAACCCGCAGGCTGCGCAGGCCATTGTGGAGGCTCATATGCAGCTGCAGCGCCAACGCCAGCGTCAGCGCCAGGGGCTCGGTACCCACCCCACGAAGCCATCCGCAAGTCTTGATAATGCGAAAGACGGCCGCCCCGAACCAAAGGAGGCGCATGAAATGCGAGTGTCGCTCGAATGCAAGGTTTGCTTCACCCAACTCGTTGATACGGTACTGCTTCCTTGCGGCCATGCTGTCCTCTGTCGGTGGTGCGCCGAGATTCAGATCCCCAACAGCATTCTGGAACGAGGCTTGCTTGGAGGTCAGCCCCCGTGTGTGATATGCCGAGCGCCTGTGAAGCAAAAGGTAAAGGCCGATGTTGAAGACTTCCCTGGATCATTGACCATCGCTCACACTGACTTGGGGACACAGGTGCGGATTTTTCTTTCTTGACAGATGCAGTGCTATGGACACCCTCCATGTATCGATACACATCACTGGATAGCTGCTACTTACCATCTTGGCCTGAATGGGAGAGAGGGAGAGGGAGAGTATGTGGCGGCTTAGCATGTTTCCGGAGTTTCAAGGTGGGAGTAAATCGGAATGTTTCCAGTACATTAGAATTACAGCTCATGTCCAAATCCCCGAATGAAAATGGGTTTAGTAAGTCGGTATGCATCATTCATGCTGTTTCACGACAGTACAACTACCTGGTTACTAACTAAATAGTGTAGTGATGCGCCACAGTCTAGCTCTCATCCCTACATCACCAAGTATCTATATGCACGACCGCACAGGACCTTGTATCCCACGCCTCGACCAGGCGAATCTGCAGCAAAACCGGGAAGAAGCTTGAAGAGTAGAACATCTTTCCTCCACGAAACCGGATTATTGACTCGACGCGTGGGAGGACGCCGGTGGTGGCTATGGTTGTAGTTGTATTGTGGTTGTAGAGATCGACCAATCATGGTGGCCGGCGATCGAGATCGGGAGAATAATAGCCTATCTCTTCGAGGGTATAGTACTTTGTATTACTTCAAAAGTACTTACTAACAAGTCGGATAGATCGAAAAGGCGTTGGTATTCCGGCTCTCGGCTGTTACCGTGGTTGGAAGGACGGGAAAGTGTATGTTTCCTTCCGTTTTGGGAGTTTAGTATTAGTATTTCATTTCATTGGCCCTTTTCCTTGTTCGGTGGTATTGGCTTGTATGAAAAAGAGATGCTATAGATAGACACAAATAAGAGAGTGTGGGCATTCTTCGTTTTGGGGGGGCCTGTTTTCTTACTAAGTATTGGAAGAGAATCGCTGGGTCGAAGAACGGGGAGAGGCAATGTCTTCGTAGTCTGAAGTCGAGTGTTGTTTATTCATTGGTTATTTACTATTTGTAACTAAGATTGTCTTTGCATTCTTTGCATTATGTCACACAGGTCAGCTAGTAGAGTAGTTTGGATTTTGCATGAATAGGCACTACTTTACTCCAAACATCTCGTTCCTATTGGGCTTTCATGATGTTCGATTGGCGGGTATACCAATGCAGAAGGCTGTTTAGGAGGACATGAGCAGTCTGATGCAGAGGAAAATATCCGAGTTTTCTTGGTCGCATTGAACTTCTGGGATTAAGTAATGACAAGACCAATGGTGGGCAAGGTAGGACACACCACTCACCATCACACACACACACTCTCTCTCTCTATCAATCAATCGCATTATTCAACTAAACAGATCCCACATTAGATTTCGATGCAATCTGGCCCATCACCAACGATGGCGCAGAGGCCGACATTGTCTCCCCCCACCAACCCTACTGTTCCGGAACCCAGAATCACGCTTATCAACATCGCGGAACAACGGGCTCAGATGTATTACCTGAAGGTTTAATCTGGGAATGCGAGTGGTCTTATGGGGCCATGTCAGAGACTGGCAGCTTCTCTGCAGAACCTTCCACTCCGTGTGCTGCACGGGTATTTAAACCTTCGTGCATGAGCTGGCTCTGCTTGATGCGCTGGAACCCTCGGAACACTAGCGAGGAACGCGACCCTCTCAATTCGGACGAAGATTGTTTGGGGGGCCCTATCAGTTGCAGTGGTACTGACTAGTGGCTAACTAACCCGTCAGGGATATTGCGCTTGCGAGGGCACCCGCTTGGCGTGACGGGAGTTGGCAGATTGTGTGGAGTTGACTTGGCAGTTGCGTGGATGAGCTGGATTACCACAGCTCAATCCAGCGGCGGGTCGAGGTTGGTCTTTCGGTATGATCTGGAGGGGCTGGGAGAGTGGCATTGTTTTTTTCTTATATTGATATAGAACTGTAAGCATATCATATGAACAAGTGAATGAAAGCTTCCTGGATGATGGGATATGAAATGAATATCTAGTGGAGGATATGGCCTTGCGACTGCGGGGAAAAAAAGGCCTGGTGGGAGAGAATTTGGAGCAAAAAAATGATGAGTTCACTATGGCTCAGTAGATGTGGTTTACAAGAATAGCAAGCAAGCCATTGGATACGTTGGAGGGAAAGGGTGAAAGGAAAAGAATCTCCCAAGGCCAAAAGGACAGAGGGGGATGAGATCCAAGACGGCGAGATGCATCGCAGGGCCTCCATCCAGCCCTGGACCGATTGCCCGATCAAGGACATGGGATGGGGACCGCCAAGCCAGGGTTTTCTTTCCCCGGCAACGTGCATGGGCCGCATAGGAAAAGGCAACCACTAGCAAAGGACCAGGGAGGCGTTGTTTTCATGGATTTTGGATCGTGGAAAAGGATCTGGCCATTGAGCTTGCCTGACTGCAAGCCACGGTAGGAGAAAGGAGGCCCTAGTGAGGTAGCGAACTAGCCATCACTTTAAGGAACAAACTATCTTTAGGCCAGCCAGGGTCTAGCAATTGCCTCTTAGACACTACTACTAATACTAAGAGACTCCATACACTGCCTATCAACCGGGTTTTGCTTTCTCTGCTCGTGCCGGTGTGGATACTACGTATGCATGCGTGTTGACCGTTGGTCGGTCTCTGTCTCTGTCTCTCCCTCTGTCTCTCTCTCTCGCGTCCAGCTGCTTGTCTTATGAACTATTTGCAACACGACCCTGCATGTTATGGCAGGGGCCATTGCTCGTCGAAGGACATGCATCTGTAGCTAGTGGGAAATTAGCAAACAAATTTCATAAAATGTTGTTCCGATGCAGAAGTGCATGCTGGTGCTTCAATACAGAAGTCTGAGGGCCATGTTTCAAACATGATTTACCAGCCATTCATCATGGCTGTGATTTGATTTCCCTCTTGTACTACTGTCCTTGACGAAGGGGGCATCGATAATAGTAGTTCTCCACTAGTCCTATAGATACGTGAAACCTATTCCACTTCTCCTCCTTGGTAATGAAAACCAATAAGTCAGCACAACAGATAGACCATTACCCGGTGGACCTATCTCAGATGTTGATGCTCATAGAAAGAAGCATACCACTGCCAATATAAGCTATCCTTTCCGTTACCTAAAACTATGGTAGTGTCAGACGTGTCTGGATTGATACCAATAGCTTTATCGTCTACCTAGGTACCACAATCGATAGCCTTGGGTGACTTAAATTTCGGTCTCCGATGGAATATATCATAGCCTAACCTGGCAAGGCTTGGCAGTGAGAGTGGTATGTTATGTAGTTCAGTAACTAGCTTCGGAGTCCTCCCATGGCTTGTCAAACTCAGTCTCGACGATCCCGTATCTGTAAGCATTGAGTCGCACTAGCATCAGTTTCGCCTTGGTAGTCTGCTTTGCTGATTTCTCCTAGGCCATCTTCGATTATTACTGAATGTAGTCATCATGTTGTATGAATCAGGTTCGTATCGATCCGTTAACGGTAGGTCACTTATTTTGCAACCCACTATAGGCTCGTAGTACCCAAGTATATATCTGCAAAAGGGGGTGCTTTTTTCGATTCCTCCCCTTTCACCCTTCTAGCGCGCAGGGAGTTTGTTTCACACTCTTGGAGCATCACCACGCTGTGAAACCCGAGGAAAGCATCCGTCCCAATAGTACCTGCCAGTCGGCATGTACTACCAGCGACTCTTGAACGATAGCCTTGCAGTGACAGGTCATTCCAACGTTGGGTGGCGAGTTAAGAGGGGGGTGGTGCTACCTTGGAACGTCGGATATGGGTAGGCGTGTGATCTCAGAAGGCTTGTGGGAACGCTGCGAACTCCGTACAGACTGAACTGGCCGTCTCTGCACGGCCCCCTTGGGCCCAATATCGGTCAGGCGGACAGCGCCCAAACGATCAAGAGACGGGCCTGTCATAATGTCCTTACTTTTAGGCACTGGCATCTGCAGTGCCTGGCTCTTTTAGTAGCAAGTGTGTCTGTCTGTCTGTCTTGTCTGTCTGCCTGCTTGTCTTATGTCAGACATATGTATCACGACAAGCTAGAGGCGAAAATCAATGCAATCTTGTGCTTTGTCCAAGGGAGACAGCACTGACAGATATTCAATCGCGCGCCAATTGCTCTAGTTAGAGTTGGTGGTATTGACAGATATGAGGCCATATGTATACCAACACCACCTCGAGGTTAAAGGCAGACCGTCCCACTCTTATACGACTGATCCACACCACTAGCTGATAGACTATCAGCCTCACTGGGGCGTCAGGTCGATCAAGCCCTGAACCACACCTGGCAATCTCTCAAGCTCAAGCCTTTCCGACGTTGAACGTGGCGCGCTGATCGCGATTTGGTCCCCACATGCGACATGTTCTACTATTGACTAGCTACCGTCGGTATGAGGCAATTCGGCAGCACTTGGAGTTGGCCGGTAACCGTGCTCGTGCACTTACTTCATAATAACCGACCTACATTGATACGCTCCTGTTCAAGAGGCAAACAACAGTGCGTTGCTGTACTGCGCAAAGTGTCACCAACTTTATGTAAGTTTTGTAGCTGAACCAGAGTAGCGGTGTCCATGCAAGGGCAATCCCGATTATTTAGTCTGCTCAGTACGTACCCGGTGAAGAGGGGGAAACGGAAATGAGACTCGGCCATTGCCGGTTTGTCATCCTCTAGCCCCTTGGGCAAAGGCTTGTGGAATTCATTGTTGGCGGGGGGGAGAGTTTCTGGCTATGGCAAAACACGGACAATTTCGCCCATGGTCAGATCAGGCAGCGACTGACTCTCTTGAGAGCTGTCCACAACAGGGCTGTGGTTCGACGCTGTCAACCGCAGCCTTGGTGCGGCAAATCAAACAGGTCGGAGGTTTAACGCCGCTCAGGCGACCAGCAGTAGTAGCATCCGTTGTCTCGGTGAAGATCGAGTAGCACCGCGTGGGCGCGAATTCGAGAAACTGTGGATTCGTCAAGGGAGGGGAACACACCTTATAAAGCAAGGGCAATAGCATCCTCATTCCTGGAATTAAGCTTGTTAGTTTTAGTGGCGATGAGGGTCGAGTCAAGTATGCCCACAGGCTGCTGCATGCAAGGAGCTCCGGTAAATGTGGTCCTCCCCAATTCGTCGGGTCCTAGCATCAACATCGGCAATTTCAGCTGCTAAAGTAGGTTTGTCTGCCGACTCTCAGTTCTTGCGGAAGACCGTCAAAGATAGATAGTAATTATAGAGACTATTGAAACAAGGGGGGGGAGGGGGTGACAGATAGGTTTGCCACGACCCTCGTGGGTGTTTAGGGGACACAGGGGGTGGGTGGGAAAGAAGAATGTGGGAAGGAACAAGGAAAGAAGGCATAAGAAGGGAGATCCGAAGCGTGGGCAGCTTTGGTGGGTAACCAAGAAGAGAGTATCTACTATGATATCCAAGTTACCCTTCCGGGACGATGTGGCGCTTCGAGGGGAGGGGAAGTCGATCAGCTATTGCTAGCAAACCCTCGAGTGACCATTGACTTTTGAACCATTCAGAGTAAAGCTTGCCGAAGTGTCTCCAAACCGATAGATATGAAGCAGCAGCAATAGTAAGTAGTACGGAGTAGTCTGGTACTTAGTATAGCCGTAGATAATGATAGCAAAGCGGCGCCACACAAGGCCGGGGGCGAGGAAAGAAACCTCGCCACGATGCGGTTCTATTCGGAGTTGAGGGAAAGAGAGAGAGGGAAGAGAGAAATGTGAACAGAGAGTGATATAGGCAAAAGACTGATCGGGACCGATCTTCAAGGTTCACCAGGTGATCATCCCAGAGCATTACCAGGTTGATCCCTTGAGAGGGACTCGAAGGAGAACAGCGAGTGGGACAAAGCCGACGAGGCAACTGCCCGCAAATCGTCAGGCTACCGAAAACTGCGGCTTACCAGCCCCGTACGTATCCTTACCCGAGTCTGGTCATTTCGATTTGGTGTCTTTTGGTAATTACAGGCAGCCGTGGCCGCCAAGTCAACCCTTTGACCCCAATACCGGAAGATTACCGCGGTGAAACCGTTTTCTGGTGATTATTAAAAGCCAGTCAAGCCAGTTCCAGCCAGCCAGCCCCTCTCTCCCAGGTATCGATACCATCATCCAAGTATCACCGGTAAGAGTCAAAAAGTCAAGTCAGTAGTAATCAGTAGGTAAGTAATGGATGTGAAATCTAAGTTTTCGTTAGTAGAACAACCAAAAGGAATTGAGAAATTAAATGTGTTGAGAAATCGAATTAAGAAAGAAAAGGAGGGGAAATTGAAAAAGACAAAAAAAGGTAGAAAGAAAAGAAAAGAAAGGAAAGAAGAAGGTGAAGAAGACGACTACTACTAACTAGTAGTAGACAGCTTTACTACCTGTTCCCTTTTCCCCCTACGGTATGTACTGCTGCTGCTGCTGCTGCTGGAAACTGGCTGGCTGCGTTGGTTGCTGCTGGGTATT